GCTGCAACGGCCACGCACACCGTCGTCGGGTCTCTGCATTCCACGATTCTCTTCTCCGAAAGACCGCGAAACGCGAGACGAGCTTAAATTTAGATGCAGCCTGATTCGAGCCTAGAATTGCTCCGTGCCTACGGCCACGCGTAGAAACCGTACTTTAAACGGCACAATTCCACACGGATCGGGACGACGAACGACCAAGCGCGCGGCGTTCACGTACAAAGCTATCGGAGGAGACATCGTCGCGTTAAAGCCCAAGTTCCAGTAACGCGCGGCTATAAATAGCGCCTCTCTTCGTTGCAATAACAAGACGTTTCACGCTCGTTTCTCTTACACGCGTCGATTTCAGGGGGGAAAAAAAAAAAACCAAAACGCGATATCTTACCTTTCGCCCTGCGGGCCAGGTGCGTTATATTTTGTCTGAGCACCTTCAGCCACATCCTCGCCCCTTTCTGTTTATTCACGAAATCCGACGTCCTGGTGGGACGGGGGGTCCTCCACCCAACGGAAATAATGTCGGCTCGGCGAAACGTAACCGTTCACTGTCACCTGTCGACGATATAGTTCTCCTAGCGCGCGCCGGTTACTTAACCTCACTTTTCGCGATGTTTATAGAGGCGCGCGAATCGATAAACTCGAAACCCTTCACACCGGTGACCGACTGATGCCGAATAACGGATAGAATCGAAAAGTATCGGAATTTGTTTCGTTCGCGTGTAGAAATCGAAACGATGCTCGTACGCGAAATTGCCACGAGAGACAGACACCGACGCTAGAGAGGCGCGACCCTTTTATAGGCGGGACAACGATCACGTAGGCAACTCCGACGGCTGCTCTACTACCGAGCGCGATAATATCGGCCTCGGGCCTTGGAACTTGTCTTGTTTACCGAGCAAAGACGAGCCGCGGTACAGCTCAACCGTATTTTCACGAGGCGACTGCTGGGAAACGGACTCGTACGCGCGGGTTCGCTCAAAAAGATCCCGGAACGTGCATCGAACGTAAGTACGCGTGCACGGCTGAAGCACTTTGACCGTTGGCGGCATACACACGCTCCCGCTTAAAACACGGCAACGCTGCAAACACCGGGGCAAACTGGCAACCAAGTGCGCGCGCAACATTTCGCGCGGCATCGCTGGAAAATTGAAAACTGCGATACGCGCGAAACTCGATACTCTTGATTTAACGAACGAAACAATGGACGTTCGTTAAGTGCCCCATGACGTTATTTTTTTCGAGTTCGAATCTGTATGGATGTATAGAATCGGAACGAATATTGTTCGCCCATATTTATGGGTACAGTCGCGTCAGAAAGTTAACGATCGGAATAAAAGAATAAGTTCTCGATAAAAATGTGAGCGTCGAGGGATTAATGCGGATGTTCCGTGAAATAAGAGAGGTTTAAATCGGTGCTCTAGTGGCGTAACTAATGGTTCGTAATCTTAACGCGCGCGCGCGAATTAAGCGACAGAGTTCGCGAAGCGCCGTAAGCGAAACCTTCGTAATGATATAAATATCGGAATTATCGCGCGTTATATTTAGCCCGCAGACGTCGAAGCCGGTAAACAACAAACCGTGATCCGACCATGCGAATACGAGACGCGCGGTACGCGCCAATTTGTTTTCTTTTCCCCCTTTTATTCCGGAGCTGCGTTACGTGTCGCGTTTTATAATCGGCGAAACGTTATTGACCAGCGAAAGAGAGAATATAAGTCCGGGGAGTCATCGCGGGATAAAAATCGCGGCGGGGCTTGAGTCAGCGAATCTGGGTCGCGTGACTCCACCAAATAGAAAATCCATCGGCGCTTAATCGTCGTTGATAATTCATTCCTGGCAAAATTAGGCCGACAAACACTGCCTAAAATAGACGTTGCGTTTCGAATGGCTCCGTGGAAACCGCCGGATTATCAATCCGCAGTCGCGTGACGCGATTACGGGATTCACCTCGACTGAACTTTTACGAATACACGAAACAATCTGAGCATCGATTACGGTTCAGATTTATAAAGAAAGTGTTCGATAAAAATTTGGTGAAGAGGTCCGATCGACAGAGATACCGTGTTACGTTTCAACGTAACCGTAAACACAACGAGCATCGATAAAAATATTTGCAACGTCCGTAAACGTAGCGTTAAGTATGCGAGGAACGAACGTGCCCCGGCGCTTATCAAGCTCGTCGCTCCTAACCGATAAAACGTAGGCGAACGAACAACGAAACAACAGGTTCCTGAATGTCAATTTACCGTTCAGAAGGTTACGCTCCCCTTTCGCATGACCCAACCCAGAGCCTAATCTACCTCAAGCGACGTATGTACTTACGTGCATACGCGAGGAGGGAAATCGATCGATGGGGCACGCGTGCGTACGTGTGCGTGGACACGGCCGCCGTATAGTGTTTGTCGCTCCGTTGAACTCTTATTATGATTATGGCAGAGAACCTTTCGATAACGAAATTCGATCGAGCCTCCTATCTATTGTTCGCTACGTAACGCGATTTTCGTAGAAAATGGCGGAGAAGATCGAGCATCGATCGTCGAACAATTCTGCGAGAATGGAGCGAACAATCAAACGATCGTAGACGAGAAATTAAAAAATATATTAAGTAAAAAAAGAAAAAATGGAAAGTTGGGGTAATCGACACTTTCTGTTTCGGTGGTAGACGCCTTGGGGAAAGCGGTACGAAAGTAGTATGTTTCATAGAACAAACTCATCGTTCTAAAAATAGAAGGTTAAATGATAAGAGAAGAAACTGGGTATCTTGATCGGAACATATAAACGTCTTGGATAAATAAGTATTAACTTTACGCTAGTATATAAATAGATCGTATGGGCGCCATTATTTGCGAAAAAAAGAATTAAAAATTTCGACATTGATATCAAGGATGCGTTGGTATCAAGAATTATGCGGAAGCCGTCCGCTGGCGCAGCGTCTTACTGCGTTTTTTTATCTCGAGAGTTTCCAACAATAGAATTTATATTTACTCGAGCATTAAGGTAATAACTAACGGTTTCACGGACTCCCGCAAATCTGTATCCGTTCGTGATACTAAGGATGCGATCGCTAATCCCTAAAAACAGACGGATTACCGTTTCTAATGTGCCACCGATAATACTCCATTGTTATCCGGAGGATTTCCCTGCCTTTGTACATCTAATTCTAAGATTAAAACAAGACGAACGGTACTTGGGAAGTTACGAACCAGATCGATATACAATTTCGAATAGATGGAATTAATCAAAGTCTCTTAACACGTTGACTACTGACCGGAAGTGTGTCCAATTATACCTTATCTCAAGCTACTCCACTGACACGGAAAAACGAGGATCAGATAAGTCATGGTACTGTTTTAATTACAACAAATAGATACTTCTCTAATCTGAAGAGTCAATCAACGATTGATAAGCTCTCGATCACGAAAACTTCACCTCGCAACTAGACAAGCTCCCCTTAACAATGAAATAAAATTTTCCCGTCTGCTGCAAAGCACTGTAAATTTCGTGTATCAATATTATGCTGTAGTTTAAGTGTACATAGTAGTAACGCTAAGTGGAAAGTTAAGCATGATCAACGTTCTTGGGCATCCACTACGTCAAAGCGACTTTTATTTTCCCCGAGCATGCCAGGAGTTTCTTAGGAAATTCCAATAACATAGAGTGAGATACGTCGGCTAAAACTCGGTGCAGCGAGTAAAACGACTATCCTCGGAGAGACCCGCGGCTTAAAGTCGTTATGGTATTTATCCTAACGAGCTTTATTTCTGTCAGACGATCGCGAACTCGAATTAAAAGCAACATCCTCGGGGGGAGACGTTGGAGTCTATGCACGTATTGTTTGATTGGTCGAGCAAACCGAAATTCTACGAGGATCGGTAAATCCTTAGAAAAAGATGGAAAAACAACTTTTTCAATATAATCTCCTTTTAGCTCTGTACACACTTTTCCAAGCGTTTCTCCAATTTTTTAAGCTATTTTTAAGTTTGGAAATTAAAAAAAAAATCACTGAGGGCCAAATCCAGTGAATGTAATGGATATTGTATTAATTTGAAATTTAATTCCAAGATGGTGGCCATCGATAACTGCACAAGTATGCACCTCCTTCTTGCTTCAAATGAGAATAAAAATGAAACCATGTGAGATAACTGAGATTTTGAGATTTGTCTAGTGAGTCATGATTGTTATTAAAAATAAACTATTTTCAGATTTTGGATCTTCTAAGGACTCATTGAACGACCCTCGTATATTTGGTCGACCAGTTAAGGAATGCTAACTGAGATGCAAATGGTGTCGCGTCTAAGGTAAACGCCATCGATGATCAAGACAACCGTTCGACCACCTTTCATCGGGATATAGCCGACGCTATGGGTGTCGTTGGCCCAGATTGAGACGCATCTGCTTAATTACAGTCGTCGGGTCCAACAATTACGCGGTGGATACAGATTGACGAGCGACGACGTTAATTACGAGAACAACGACGATCTCTCCCACGTCTGTCAGGCAGCGATGGGACCTCGTCGTGCTGCGTGTGTACATATTTACACTGGCGGCGGCCTCGACTGCCAACACGATACAGTTTGCAACAGGGAATTGGACCAACTTTCGCCCCGATGCCCGGGAAAATGGAATAATTTCCCAAAGTGTCTAGAATATTCCCGTCCACGGAAACGAATAACTAAATAAATAAATAATTGGACGAGCGTGAACGCTCGCAGGAACTTTCGAAGCCCCGTTTTCCTGCAACCGTCCAAACTCCGTTGTACAGCGAGAACTCGATAGATGTCACTACTCTGGATCCGGTCAAAAACACTTATGAAATAGTAGAATCGTTTTTCAATTAATTTAAACGAAGGTGAAGAAGGCAATAAAGATAGTTAAAGAAAGCCTCACTGGTTCAAGAGGGGATCCCCCTAGCGGCGGGAATAAAAATGTATCATTTACGGGAACAGCTCTCTAGTACATTTATCGAGTTTTCTACTGCGTTCGACAGAAACGTGGCTGCAACTCACCCACGGTATCGCCGTTCTTCTTGCCGCTGTTGTTTTTGTTCTTCTTGTTCTTGGGATAGATGTTGCCGATTTTGCTCTGACCACAACCCATCCTGCTCTGTTGCGGGCTGGCGATTTCACTGGTTTCTCGCTTCACGCCGGGCTTCGAACACAGCCTCGAGTCTGTACAATACTCGCCAGAAAATTTCTCGGTAGCGATCGAAGCCTCCAGACACCGGCGATATCTTTTTCGTAGAAAAAGAGGAACCGAATACGATACACGATCGAGGCGACCGTGCCGAGTCGAGATTTATCTTCCACGGTATCGTAACGCGACACTTTCGAGATACCTCCGTTAGGCAGCGAAATTAGTTTTTGGTACTTGGTATGTAAATATACATAAATACATATATACAACATATATATATATATTCAGCAACGTGTATAGCAGTCGGAAATTTCCGCGAGCGCCGATAATCGTTGCCCCGGAACTCCGAGGGATATGCACAGATTCTACGAGACACGATGATTAAACGAATAGACGATTTTAACGATTCAGTCTTTTCTCATGAGCCAGAGGCGGCGGGGACTCTTTGAATCCACCGTGGGACCCGCTAACGAGGACAAATTCCCCTCCGGATAGGTTCTCGAGTAAGTTCAGTCTTTTGTCAAAACAGTCTTTCGAGTCCACCTTCGCGACGGAAAGAGAAAATGGCGACGAACGGTTGGCTGGTGAGGGGGGTGTGGTGGGCTGATATCGCCCTGGCTACCTGAGCTGAGGCGCCCAATCCATTTTGCGTTTCCGGTCTGTTCTACCGCCCCATCGTTCGCGATCTATCATCTATCCCATGTCCAATGCGGCCAGCCTGGCATCCTCCGGCTCCGTGGATCTGCACATTCGTTCACCGTCCGTTGGTCGTTGTCCGCGAAGGCCTCGGGGGGCGTCTGCACGCGGCGCGACACGCTCGATCGATTTTACCGATTGACCGAGTTCGACCCGCCGATCGACCAAGGCAGTTCCATCGTAGGACGACTTCGATCGCGACCAGAGACCGCTCGGACTCGGTTAAACGCGAGCGGAGGGCATCGTTTCGGTCGCAAGGACGATCCGGCAAGGCCTCGATGACGCCACTCGCGTAGACGACCGGCGTTCCAGTTTCTCGGGCAATATGCGTCGTTCGTTAGATCGCGACGAACGACGAAATAACCAAGGAGACGCGACAAAAGTCGTAGAAGAGGCTCGAACGCACGACGTCTCTGTGTACCACTGACGAAAATCACCGGAGGAGGGCTGCGAGAAGGACGAGACGAATTCGTTCGATCCCCCTAGCCTTCTCCCTCCGGCTCCGCTGCGAGGTGAACGTCCTTCGGGTTCGCCCGATGGAATTCGATTATTGGATTCGGTGCTGTAAAACAAAAAATTGGAAAAAAAAAAACAGGCTCGTTAAAACCATCGATTTCGACTGGATGTAAGGTGAAAAGACTCGCGGGCAATTATCGGCGCGCGTGCACGATGTATTTACCGATAGCCGCGGCTACACTCCGCGACAAAATGATAACGCGTTAATAATACACGGCGTCCAGAACCATAGAATCATATTTTCCAACGTTTTAAACTTTTGGCTAGGTGTGCAAAAAAAATGACACGATAAATTTAAAAAAAATTTAACGTCTCTGAAAGCGATAGAGTAAGGTTGTTTCGCAAATTTTTAAAGGTTATGTTTGCATGGTGCGATATCTTTTTGTCGCGGAGTGTAGCAGCTGCGGAGAAAAATCGAAAGGTGAACGTGCTGTTTACATTTGCTCCGTGGAAAATGTGTGACTAACTAGGAACATTATCCGACATTTACACGATAATTTTAATGAAACTTTGTACACGGATAAAAAAGGGAACTTAATTTTAAACCAAGAAAAATAAACATAATCTTAAACCTTCTGATCTAAAACCTTCCAAAATATTTGAAAACCACTGCTACAGAATCTATCTGTCTTAAGAATTTAGGAACAGTTGATAAATCACTGAAATGTAACGAAATGTTTCGTTTGGGAACAACTTGATTTAATAATTCATAATTTACGATAGAGAGTTCCCGTTTCGATAATTGAATCGAATAATGCGGAAGAGAGAAACGTAATTCCAATGAAGCGGATATACTTTCAGGATCAAGACCGACCCTGGGAAAAAATTCTTGACCTGACCTGACCCAACATTCTTGCATTCTCACACACCCCTAGTGAAATCTGTGCCAAGACGACGCCTGGCAGCGATCAAAGCTAATAGATATGTCGCTAAGTAATAACATTCTACAAATTCAACGTGATTAAAAATAAAATTTGTTGCTACCGCGAAACTTGAATATTTTTGGCGCGTACGTGCCGGATCACGAAACTGATATCTCGACGAATCGCAGAAGTTGATAAGATCGATATTGTTTGCTTAGCCACAACGTCCGAAGTGTTCTGAAACTTAATATTCCCGTGATAATGTTTAGAACTTCGTTTTGTAATACGTTAACATAAACATTTTCGCCGACTTGTTTATTTTAACGTCTACTATTAATTAATATGAACAATTAATCCCGTAACTGTTTCGAGAAAAGAAAAAACGATCGTTTCCCTGTGATGAATTAATTTTTAAATTTTGTCACGCTTCACTAAGTGGGTCAATGAAAATATATTTATGGCACTTGAACGATCTCCAAATAAAAAATGAACAGCTAATTAATCGTTAGAGTCGAATCTTGTTAATCGGAGTGCCGCGTGTATAAAATAGCGTGCATCGCAACAACGACCGTTACGCTAGCGATCTGTTGTCGGTTGAAACATATCCATGGAAGCGTTAAAAATCGACGGAGAACAGCCTTTGTCAATAGTCCGCGTTATCGAAAAGAACTTCGATAAGAACGCCGTTCGAGATACAGCACGTACGTTCCTACGGTTTGAAAATGTTTTTCTACCTTTTTTCAGGGGGGTAAACTGATTAGAAAAATATCGTCGGAATACGTGTGTCCCCCCCCTTAAAAATGTGCCGTTCTAAAGACGAAACCGCAGGCTCGTTTCGAACACGACCGTGAAATAAAACGTCGAAATATTGAATTTCCGACACAAAGAGAAAGCAACTGCTGGTTATGTTTCAAACGAGCACACGCTGGTTCACGGTAATTACATGAGAAAAGCACGTTTAACGCATATCGATGCTCGGAGTCAACACTCGATACTACGCGGCGTAAAATTTATACGCGACGATCGCTTTCCCATTTCTCGGTCAATGCCATCTACTTCGATTCCTCGTCGAATACGATTAATTGGCAATTACGTTATTACAGCGTACCCTTTGTCGTGCTGCCCTACACGCGTTGCACGTCTTGACGATTAATTGGATTTCGTGTCGCATTTATCGTAATTACACGATAGTACGATCGACGGATCATTCTCGTGCAAGGCGAGAAGACAAAAGGATTCACTCACTGTTTTATTAAAACGCGTTTAAACGATTCGTTCGAACAATCTGTCAATGTACGGTGTGTTCCAGACCCGACGTCCGACTCAACGAAACTGCCACCCCTTCCTTTCGTTATTTCGCCCCCGTGGATTCGTTCCCTTCGGTTATATCGGCGGAACAAGACACTGCAGGATTCTCGAGGAACTCGTTCAATCTCCGAACCACGCGATACTATTTTCGTCCGATATATCGTGCCCGAGCATCGGACGCAAAAAATAAAAATCAATCTCGATCATCGGTTTATCCTTATTCTTTCCCCACGGTGTACTTGTCACATGCGACACTCGACCGACGGTATACAAAAACACAAGCGTCGTTTTTTTTTTTTTACAAGGTGAACTTTGAACGCAATGTCGTTCCCCTTTCGAGACGACGTGTTGCCCGAAATTCAGTTCGAAGTCAACTAACCTCGTTTCGCGCAGGAAGGCGAGCGACCTCGACGTCCACCTGTTCACGACAATCGTACATAAACCAGGCTCTTTACCGTGTGTACGTGCACGTACGTGAATTATATTCGCGTACGTATTCACGACTACGAGACGCAGAGGACGAAGAAACACAGACACTCTCACTCCGAGGTTCCAGCATCGACTATTCAGCCGGTCGAGGCGCCAGCTGGATTTGCGCATGCGCGCTCCCTCCGTGCATCCCACGAATATATATATATATATACATACATACATGTTGGAACCAGCACCGTACTCACGCACTCATGGCGTTGATTTAACCTAACGATGCGCGTGTGTACGTGCACTAGCTTCTACTATACTATGCACCCACACACAGTGCATACATAAATCATGTCTATGATGAACTATATCCCTTTACGGAGGTGCATTCACTTACACGCTTCAAAGCATTCGCGACACGAGTTACCCTATCTTCAAAGAAAGGGACGAGTTTCGTAATTGCTTAACGTTGTGAATTAATTCAATATGTATGGAAAATAAATAATATAGGTTGTTAACTGTTGTACATGCTCGATTAATCATTGATAGAAAAGTGTTCGTTCCCACTATGAATACGTACCGAAAAAAAGCAGTATTTCCGACGACCGATGGCTTGACACTTTTGACAAAAATGCTGCTATTTTGGGGGAGTTAATCCGGGATTCATAGGCGGGATTAGGTTTCAAGGGTGGCAAAAAGGGAAGAGTGAGAGAACCTCAGAGCGGATTACCAATGTTCCACGATGTCACGACCTTCCCACAGGGATTCTTGGTTTTCATGATTGCACTAGGGGCTGGCATCGTTGCAATAGTACGCGCGTACCCACTGAATTAACTGGTATTTATTATCTACCTTACCATAGACGTTTCCAGTGCAGATTCTCGTGTACCATGAAGTTAAATAATTCCTAATTACGTAAATTGTAACATTTGGTAAATATTGTATAACATTGAGCTCGCGTCACGTCGCAATTTTAAAATGTAAAATGGCCGATTCAATATGGCGGACGAAAATATACAAATTTTGTATGCACGAAATTAAACCGAATTGGTAAAGAGTTTATTTAAAATATCTTCGATGTAAATTTTAATCGGCTCTGCATACCACGAGGCCGCGAAGGATTAATAAAGATTATCGAGGAAAAGAATGCGCGTCTAATTCCGACATTTTAACTCGTGTCGCTTTCGACGAAACGCGTCACGCAATATATATCTTTGTATCGAATATGCTAATGAGTCCCGATGACGTTTAAGCTTAACACAATATTTGATTGGAATGCAATTACACGGCACTGCCTTATCGCTTCTCGAATTAAAAACATCGAGCACTCCGTTATAAGAGAATGTATCCAGGGCAGTGGTACTCTTTGATTTCTTTCAAGTGACCCTTGATTTAAAATCGCGTTTCGATTCGATTGATGATATTTAAGCACGACTCGTAATAATTGTAATCGATTCTTGTTGACATTAAAATGGAATTTCGTAGACCGTTAAAACGTTCGATCGAGACAACGCTAATTGTAAGCTTGACTATACATTCACTATGTTGCTCATAGTATCATGATACGATTTCAGATAAAAACGAGTAACACGTTTGCTCGACCAGTCAAACAATACAGATAAAAGTTAATCGTGTATTAATCAAAATTCTAGACCGTACAAAATAATTACATACTGTATTTAATGTGCTACGAATACGAGTATCTACACGATGCAACACTGATACGATGAAATGATTAATTTATATTTGGTCTAAATGCTACTAGAGGAAGAACGAGACTCGTGGATACATGAAGAGTCAATTTTTTATTTTTGTTTCACTTTTTTTTTTTGGTTGAATACAATGATCAATCGGTCATCGCGATCGATTGAATTAAGTATCTCCAATCTCAGCCGACGCCATCTCGTTACAAGACACGCGTTTTTCAGTTGTCAGCAGCTTCAGCGCGATTCGACCAAAACGATGCTGAAATCCTATTACGATAACGCGACGCGACGTCTGTCGATCAAACGAAAAATCTCGCCCGATCGGTTTTTGTGTCGGACCTGTTTCGAAATTCGTGACAGAATTCAAGAAACGCGGATCCGGTGCTCGATGGGTTCACACGCGCACAATTTAACAACGATTAACAACGCCTATGTTTGTACAGAGTCGCCTACGCCTCGCCAGTATATTTTGTTTCGTGATTTCTGTACGTCGACGTTCGAGGTCCGCACAAAAATGCATTCGATCGCTCAGTAATCGCACGAGAACCATTCTATGCGTACGATATACATCGAAGCAACGTACAGAGGAATGTCTTCCGAAAAAATAACATTCTATAGTTTGACAACGACGTACAGGAAGATCGATCGCGAAGATTGCAAGTTCTGTCTCCGCGACGGTAAACGTTGTCCCTTAGCTGATTAGACTGACGCGATCGTGCGTAATTTAGAAATTCAAACGTATGCAAACGATTCGTAACGACGCGCGATGCACGATTATTCCTATCAGACTGATATATGCATTGTCGACGCGAACGAACGCGAGAAAATTAAAAATACATCTATGACAAAAAAAAAAACTATCGCGTCATTGGTTAAGGCCAACGACACTCGCGGAGACCTGTTGAACAGTAATGGATGCATATCGTGATAGAGAACGGATTAAAAATGTGAACGTAAGAGCGCAGAAATAGATTGTCGGCTTCTACATTATACGATGCGATTCTGGTGCATTTCACCAGCTACTGTTAGTTTCCTTCGACGACGTTTCCGGTTCCTGTAAATATCGTGCTACGAAATGATCACGGAAAACGATCGAGAACTGTCTCTTTCTTTTTTTTTTTTTTTTTTTTTGTGTATTTTGTGGCATTCTGGTAACAATCGACAATTACGTTTCACGGTTCGCTGTTTCCCTGTTACGAGAAGAGGCGGCAACGACGACGAATGCGTCACTTTGGTCCGGTTAAAGCGTTCGTCGCATCGTTCTCTCGTTTCGCCCCTCTTTGTTTTATTTTCTTTCTCACGCTCGAACGCCTCCTCCCCCTCCCTCCCCCTCCCCCCTACTGTTCTCGAGTTCGCGCCGTTTCCCCCTATATCGCTATCGCGCGAGCTCTCTCGATAAGCTGTCGAAAACCTGTCGGTTCCGTTCCAGTCTCTTCTCCTCCAGATTTCTCTTACTTAAATCGCACAGTTCGTCACACCGAAGATTACGCATAAATAAATAAATAATAAATCGGGGGATGCCGCGTGATGCTTTAAAAATAAGATCACTCGTTTCTAACTAGCGAATTTCGAAGATTTGCTGTTAGGCCTTTTTTTCCACAGTTGGGAAACGCGCCGCGGTCGTCGAGCGCCCTCGATGGTTCGATCCATTAACACCCACGAAAATCAATGACGCGAAGCGTTTCAGAAGACGCAAGTTTTATCGTCGTGTAATTACTACTTTTTCTCTCACCCCTCGAAAAACGTAAAATCGATTACGCTCGTAGATCGCGCACGTTGCCTCTGTGTTTGTGTTTACTGGTTGTCGGGACCGCTATCTAAAACACGTTTCAGCCGTGACAAAAGCACAAGTCGCCACGTGTAAAATCAAGTCTTCGATGATACGCAACGAATACTTTTGTAATCGATCGATATCGAAGTGAAGTTCGCGCCCCTTCCTACATCGCGAGTCTCGAACCGGTGAAAAAGAACTTACAAAAGGTAACAGTAAAGATTAATAAATATCAAAATGCGAGGAACAATAAGTCGACTATAAAGTTAGGATATGATGAACAGTTTGATAGCATCGTCAATTGTGTTCTATGTTAAAATTCGATTTTTTTCTTTTTCGTTTTTCTTTAGCCGTAACGCGATTAACCGTTACGCACGTCGGTTAGAATTGAACGGACTTAGGCCATGATTCGTGACAATTTCTCGAATTACTTTAAGCAAAAACAAACGACTCGCAAGTATCCCTATAATACAGTTCATATTATTAATAAAGTCTTCAAGTCAAAAAACCAAGTATGTACATCACTTTTCGTTTGACTTTCACTTTCATTCGCTGTAATATATTCGATATAATATATTATTCGTTATGATCTAATAAAATGAGAGCTTTTGGTACCCCTGAACCAAAGAACTTTTTTGTTTACCTCACGAAAGCAATTGCGTAACAAACAAAAACTCAGTCAGATGTAATTAGTATGGAAAAAGAGTTGTTTAGAAGAAGAGGTAATTGTTGTAAAACAAACATTGATTTTTAGGTAGATTCGATGAAACTTATTTACATTCTAACGTTAGACTATAAATTATAAGTTACATAAAGGAACAATTTTTATGTGAGCATATTCAAGACGATACACGAAGGAAGTAGGTACAAAAATCACTTCGGTCTTTGCAAAAATACTTCACAAACAAACGACGGCCCACGCGAATTAAATGCCGTTACATCTATTACTTACTTTATTTTTACATCCTTCATAAGGATTCCACAACGGGAACAGACTTCTACATTAACGCGCGCGCGTGTATATACATGTTCATGAATATGTGTTTATACACGAGCGATAGTGCTCGTAAAATAAAAATCCCTCGCGTAGATAGTAAGTATGTAAAGGTAAAAGCTAACATGTTCTTGCCACGAGTTACATCATAAACGTCGATTCATCAGATTGATTTCTGTTCCTTCTGTCTTACTTGCATTAAGTATTTTATAATCACATTCTACATCGAGCAAACAATTGCGACACAGTCAAAGTGTAGTTGGAAAGAATTACGTAGATTGTTTGTAGCTAAGTGTATTATGATTCTTTTTCTTTAAAATCCATTAAATATTTAATTTATGCAAATTCCATCAGACTCGTCGCCCCGAGCGATACTTTTATATGTTTCCGCCGGAAGGATAAAAAGAAAATGCTCCAAACTGGAAGTTCACGGGAGTTTTTGGCGATGCACAAGTGTATACAAAGTCGTCCGATTGTAGCTGCGTCCTGTTTAAATTTGGTTCGGACGCCGATCTTGTTATTTTCGGTAATCCCCGCGAAAGACCCTCTAAATTGGCTAAAATCTGACGAAATATTGGTCTCTCTTCTCTGGAAAATTTGATACAATCTTCTGTCAGTCTCTTCAATGCTTTTGGAGTGTCTGAACGTAATTTATTCAAGTCGGGATGCAATTTGCCGCGCCCGACCATAAACAGTATTTGATCCTTATTATTGATGTGCGAATATGGTAACTGACTAGCTAATAATTCAAATAAAACAACGCCAAATGCGTAGACGTCGGATTGAAAACTGTATGGATTTTCTTCTTGCATTCTTATCACTTCGGGTGCCATCCATAGAATGGATCCTGTTGGTTGATGGAATTGCTGAGAACCAGACCACCTGGTCTTCGCTGTGGCCAAACCAAAGTCACCGATCTTCACAGTGAGGTCATCGTGCAAAAATATATTATTACTTTTCAAATCCCGATGGATGATATTTTTTGCATGCAGATAGTCCATACCCTGGGCAGTTTGTCTTCCAATTTCTATCAATGTGAATAAGTCAAACTTTGTCTCGAATACATGTAAATGTTTATATAATGAAGATCCTTCGCACCATTGAGTAACAATAGCAAGTTGTGGTTTGCTAACGCATCCCATAAACAGAAGAATATTTACGTGCCGAGTTTTACGCAAAACTGCAACTTCATTTTTAAATGCTTGTAACTGAGCAGCAGTGGGTATCTTAACGTTAAGCATTTTTACAGCCACCGGTCCGTGCCAGTGAGCTTTATATACTGTTCCAAAAGAACCCGATCCAATACGAAGTCCAATTAATATTTCATCTGCTGGAATCTCCCAATCTTCTATAGATTCTCTAGGTGCAAGCAGATTTTTAGACGATTCATCGGCAGATCTCGCCCTTGGTCGTTTTGGCCTTAAAGTACTCGTAGGACTAGCCTGAGTAGACTGACTATGTTTTGTAGGGCTGCTGCCAGGAGATACGGCGCTTTGAGCGATACCAACAGGACGACCTAAGCTCTGAGATCTACTGTATTCGTCTAAATTAGCAGCATCTCCGCTTGGTTTGACCATATTGAAACAAACATTTGGTGCCGAACTGGAACGATCTTGTTGCCCCAAGGAACGTGGATGCCTCTGACTTCTTGAAGGGGCCAGAGACGGTGACATACTTCTGCTTAAACCGTATTCGGAAGGAAGTTGCAAAATTCCAGCCGTACTTTCAAGATTGTGTGCCAACAATGCTTGATAGTAAGCATCCTGCATGCGTACTTGATGACACAAAGCAGGCACACCACCTGCACACCTTTGATGAAAACGATAGTTGCACGTTCTACAATAAAACCCTTGAAAGAGTAGTTTCCTACAGCACTCGCAGAATGCTAGCGAAAAGAAAGTTTTACGAACAAAATTATGTGAAATGGAAGTAGTTATGGGGAACTTGTCCAAAATTTCCACAGATATTTCATCGCAATCCAGTAAAGAGATATCTGTGTCCCAAGATGTAAGACACTTGGAATTATCTACACCCAAAATATAAACCACGCACATTTCAGTGGTCAAATTTCTTAATTTCATTGCTTTGGCAAGCGCGTCTCTTAACAACAGTCCTTCGCGAACTTGCACACTGGTGCGCTGTTGATTAGGTAAATATGCTCTGAGTAAAGATCTCATTGGCGTCCTTTGACCTCTACTTGTTGTATTAACTTCACGGGATTCACTCTCGGACGTGGAAGCACTACCAGATACTTGACTCGCGTTCAACAGTTCATTGAGTTTTTGTTCCTTGGACTTTAGATCGTGCAACTTACTGGTCAGCTCCTGATATTCGTTCAAGTATATCAAGGGTGGTTGTTGAAATCCAGCGAAACGATTGTTTAGGGCATCAATGTTTTGACGAGTAACGTGTATCACATTTTGTATATTTCTCAGTTCGTACCTCAGAGGATCCGTGTCCAGGTAACCGTCCTCGTAGTCGCTGAGGTCTCCCGATTCCAGACCACCACCCCGCGAAGAAGACATAGTTAACAGTGCAGGTAAATGCGGTGGCTTTTTCCTGTGTCGACAGCGATGAGAAGACAACGTCGTGGACGAGGAGGACGGCGACCTCGCTGTCACTGCCTCGATCCTACGACACGAAAGCTCCGTGTACGCGTTCGCACGGACCACCGTGTAATACCTCTGCTCGCCGATCACGGCCATCTTCTTGCTCCGTCGGGCAGCATCCTGGACCGCTGCTGCTGCACTCCGGAACACCTTGGTAGCCTCGGTGCTACCGGTTACCGCCGAATTTTTTTTTTTTTTCTGGTTCACCGCGGCTTTCACCACGCTGCCGTCACCTCACCTCTCACGCGACTCACGAACGCGTCCTGAGCACACCTATTTTTTTCTTCCTCTTTCCTCTATATACGGCTCCACCACTCTCCTACCTCCTTCTTACTTCTTCTTACGCCCGCCGAATCGAACCTACTTTCTAATGCGCGACTTCACAGCATACGCCGTCTTTCCTTGCTTCTCTTATCCATTAAATTATCACGCGATAGAACGTCGCGTGGATCTGTTTTTCTATCGCCTTCTTTCGAACGCGATCGGCCCCATAATCGGGTACGAAATTCTGCCGTTTCGACCTCCTGCCTAACCCCCCCTGGATACTTCTTCTCTGGAGCCCTTCCGAAAGAAAACTGGCACGAGCGATGCGGGACCAAGGGCAGAGGCGCGGGGCTGTGTTTCGTGAAGCGCCGGTGCTGCCAACCGTTCCGCCCCCCTCCCACTGATTTTCTTCCTCTTCCTCCGTTTGAATTCTACCTGTATGCTAGCACGGTCCTTTTACAATCCTTTTGCAATAACGTTACTCTCTTCTATTGCAATTTTTTGTTCCCTTAATCATCATGATTTTTATGCTTCTGAATAAAGAAATCCGACGTTAAAAGCGTTTAGTCACGGACTCAAGACGAAACGAGTTCCTCTAAGTTTCTTCTAATTTCTTTCCATATTCTATTTAAACACTCGAACGTTAATCACTATTCCTAGTTCGACGCGTTCACGTTCTATTAACAATATTTTAAACTTTAAACGCTTAACAATCCTACACAGACTTATTTCAATAAAAAAGAATTGCACTGAACGCCGATAATCAATCTTATATTCAGTCTTTTTTTTTTTCAAGAAAAAAGCACTGTTTGTGCTGTTCCCCACTAAGGTTTTTTTTTCAATCTAATCACATTTAATAACTTTTCTTTTGTATGGTTTTCATATTTCCTAAAAGTAGCTCCTATGTCTTTAATCATCACATTTCGATAACTTTACTTCGCATTTCTTTGTTATTTAAAATGGAACGTCGAGAGCTCTGTTTGCATCGTCGTTGAGAAACGACCGTTTGGAGTAGGACTATAATTCAAGTTCAATTTTTCTGTAAACATAGCCACTACTCGCGTTGCGTTTCTGACGTCACTGCAGACGTGCTTTGACGTCAGCAGCATATGGTACGGTTACCTAGGTAACAGAGGTCCATCCTAATTGGTCCAATGCTCGCGTGCGTACTTGCTGCGCGTTGATCCGACAGTAGTTAAAAAAAAAAGAAAAGAATTTAAAATTTTCAAGGATGACTCGTAAATCGGCAAAATTGATTCCTTCAGTACCTACCGATTATTTTATTACGTAACGCTGTATTTATTTACACATCCGATCTAATCGCCAGGGTTTTAACCGAGGTTGTTTTCTACTAATTACAAGAATTAAAGATGGTAGCCGACAAAATAGCGTTTGTAACAGGTGTGCATTCAAAGAATAAACAGGGCAGAACAAAAGACTGAAAGGTACAGTGTATCGTGAATAATTAATTCGAACTTCTGATCACAGGCGCTGGAAGCGGTATAGGCAGAGAAGTATGTCGTATTTTAGCAAGACAAGGAGCTAAGGTTATTACTGCAGACCGAAATTTAACGACTGCTCAAGAAACTATTGAATCTTTGAATGGTTGAAAATATATTCATAATTTTATTGCTACCGTCTTTAACCAAAGATTACATATCATATTTTTTTTATTTAGACTCCAAACATTTGGCACTAGACTTAGATGTCTCAAATTCTTCCAGCATTAAACAAGCATTTAAAAATGCAATAAGTACATACTCTACACCGCCATCTATTATAGTCAATTCTGCAGGCGTTACTCGCGATCAATTTATATTGAAACTTACCGAAGCAGAATTTGATCAAGTGCTGGATGTTAATTTGAAAGGGACATTCCTTGTTATTCAAACTGCAGTAAAAGCAATGATTGAAGCAGGTACAAGTAAAGGGGGCTCGATTGTTAATGTGAGTTCTATTATTGGGAAAATAGGAAACATTGGTCAAGCTAATTATGCATCATCAAAAGCTGGTGTAGAAGCTCTTACAAAAACTGCTTCATTAGAATTTGGACAGTAAGTATCAGACCAAATGTAAAGTATTTTATATCATGATACTAGAAGATGATAATGATATTCAATGGCTTCTTACAGATTTGGGGTTCGTGTTAATGCAGTACTACCAGGCTTTATAGACACTTCCATGACACAGACTGTGCCTGACAATGTGAAACAAATGTTCGTAAAACGAATACCCCTTGGTCGAATGGGAAAACCAGAAGAAGTAGCAGAAGTTATAACATTTTTAGCATCTAGCAAAAGTTCCTATATCAATGGTGCATCTATTGACGTTACAGGTGGAATGCATTGAGGCCATATTTTTTTCATAAAGGCAGATATTTTTATAATTATATATCTATACAAACATAACAATAAAAACAATTGTAAATGAAGTGTCCCAAATTTTGTTAACTATTTGTTTAAAATATATATTTGCAGATTAAATACATCATTTTTTCTTTCCTTTGAGTTTCTTTGCATGCTTGTGAGCTTTCTGATGCAATTTTTTCTTTTCATCAATGATCTCCTTATATTTGCGTTTGTTATATTTAGAAAACTCTGCATCGGCCATAAGTTCATCCACAATTGTTGTTTTACGCTCTTTCTTTGTAAGACGACCCGAATAGTAATCCAAAGGTGAATCAACAACCTTACCAACTTGGAAGTATTTTGGCAGAACTTTGAGATCATTTTTCTTATAGAAATGTTTCGGATCTAATGCAGATCTCATTTGTAGAACTTGAAGATCATGCCTGATCTCTGGTGTCATTTTAGGAGGACGCATATTAAACCATTCTTTGCCCTTGGTCTTAGCACGCTCCTTACGTCTCTTATTTTGCAATTGCTTTTTGGTTTCAAAGTAAGGAGGTACAGCCTCCAGCTGCTCGAAACCAGGTTTTATAACACTTTTCTTAAGTATTCTGTCCGTCTCTGTTAATTCACGTACCAAAGGAGCTACGACCGAAGCGGTTTTACTTGCTCGTTTCTTTCGCGAATTGTCTGTCCAACCCATGTCTCTTTCAAATTCCTCAAGATCAATGTCTTTACTTACGTTAAGATGCGATTTTTTTGTCGTGATATTTTCAATTAAATCTTCCTCAACGTTGAAGAAATTCAATGCCTGTGTTCCTGATACATCTACCCATAGAATAAGAAATCTTTAATAAACTGCCAGTTGTTTATAACCTCAAAAAAAACCACGATAAAAGATGGATCTATTTACCGCTATTTCTGAAGTCCAAATCATCCTCATCACTTTCTACTAAATGATCTTTATCCACTAACCCGACATCACCCTTCGTATCAATTATTATATCCATTGTTGCGATCAAATGTCGGTTGGTTATATTTCAACGTCTTTCTCACGTAATAAAGGTTATGTTTCACAGGCTGATCATTTCGTCGTTATTCGCTTTTGAAGCGAGAAAAGGATAAAACATAACGACCAAATAGTCAAATTTATTATAGTACGTTTGTTAACATAACATTAATCACGTATAAAATTTCAAATTATTCAGTGCATTTTTTATAGTAATGATATAGGGTATTGAAATATAAGTATCGTTGTAATCTGATGTATAACAATTTATCGATGTAAAATATTTTATTTATGTATTTTGAAACAAAATTATAATAAACATTTAATAAACTTTGATTTACTTAATATAATAACTGATATTCAGGGTGGAAGTAATTATTTTTCTCCTTCTACGATCGACGTTCATTCAAAACAATTCGAAAACTATCTTGGCAAAATGAGAATTTGCGAAGGCGAGTTATGACGCCATAGTGACGTCATAACTGCACTTGTGTGTGCTCAGAGCTTCAAAACAAACGACGCAAGCAATGCTTTCAGGCGCTTATAATTTATAAGCATTGCTTATGCCGACGCCATTCGCACAGGCGCTGCAAGCGCTTTAAGACGTCACTGTGACGTCATACTTGTGCTTGCAAACGCTTATTTAATTAGGATAGGATTGGAAAAGCGCGAACTTTCAAAAACTCCTACTTTGAACTAAATAAAAAATTGTAACTTAAACATTTCTTTATATTGATATATCAAAGTTTAACGATCGTATCTTAAATAGGATATATTAAAAAATGTTGTTCGGCTTAAAACGGTTACTTTTGTTAATTAAGACTTCCGCAACGAATTTCTCTTATTACGTGATATCAATTAAAATAACAGCTAAATTAATTAAACGAAAGCAATATAAAAACTTGCGTTTAAAATATGTGAAATCGTAATAGCATGTACCATGGAAGTACTAAGGGGGTAGCAAAGTGGGGGGGCGGTAAGCGGAGTATATCTGACCATGCACTTGATCAGGTTGTAACAGTTACTATAAAACCCAACGCCTATGATCGTGTTATGCTAATGTTTCACCCTAGATGTGATCCATATTCGAATTGATCGATAGACGTTCAAAGTTCAGTGTTGAAAACACCGTGGTTCCTTTAATGTTTTTGATTTGAACAGGAATGATATTTTATCTCGTACTTCGGATTTCTATTAATTATTAAGTTAATTTCTAACTAAATAATTATCGATGATTATCTTAAACGCGTGTACACAAGAAAACGTAATTTATTAAGGAGTTAAAGATGCGCGCGGAACATTTATTGCTTCTGTTATTCACCTGTTGGTCCGTGAACGGTTTGGACCTGGCCAAAAGGATCGTGCAATTCGACAACGACGAGTCGAAAACGAACAGTGAAATTTTGCAAACGAATTACGATAATTCCGTGAAAAATTACGTGGATCAGACGAAAGTGGTTCGGTTGAACGTTTCGGCGTTAGATTGGGATGATTTTGTAAACGTTTGGAGCCCCCACGCAATGGCACGACTTTGGAATCGCGATGATCGCAAATCGCTGAACATTTCGACAAACTGTGATCGAGATGTTACGGATTACACGGAGGGACTGTCGATGGAGGATCAATGGGCATTGAAAAGCAAGTAAAATCGGCACGATATACATTTTGAATAATTTCAAACTCTAGATTGACCTAAAATCGAACCTTATGTAACAAGATCCATATAAATGGTCAAATTCTGTTAGTACTAAAATGGCTCTAAAGTTACGTAGGCGCGCGATTCGGTAGAAATTCTACGAAGTAACTTTCGAAGCGTTCTGTAACAGTGAAATTTTCACTGTCCAGAGCTACCCGATTATTTGATCGGGCCCGTGAGTCACACGGACTTTCTTTGTATCGTGGATACCCTATTGAAACTGTGTTAAACGCCTATTAACGTCCCATAACAGTTCCTACGGTATGAGGAAATTGTTATCGGATAGCACGGTATCTAAGGAAATTGTTATACGGCGGCAAGATGTTATTAACGTACATTGAAACCGGTTTAGTCTAATGGATGAGACTTTCTTCGAGAGTCCACTCTCTATTAGGAAGCGCCTCGACGTCAGATTCAATTGTGCGATTATTTCGAACGACGCAACGCGCAGAATCTAGTTCGAATTTGGTTGTTCGAAATTTCATCGATTACATTTCAATAATTCACGAAGCCCCGAGGTGTATTTTTATGAATCGTATATAAATAAATAATAACCGTAAAAAGTATACGTATTCGCGTACAATTTCGTCGAAACGGCCAGTGGAATTTAAAATGCCCCGTGACGTAAGGCGGTGCGTTTTTATGGTAAGCATGGAACATATCCTATTAGAGAGCAACATCGTCGATTATTTGAACAAAGTGAGAGGAGGAATTCTGGAAAACTGTTCCTCGTAGAAAGTAGATTTTCAGAGCACAGTATGATTAACTTCACGGCGATCCGATTGCATTCATTCGGCCGGCTATTATCGCATAATTCATACGTAATCGTGGTCTCTTACGGAACAGGCTGGATACGATACGAAAGGGTATCATTGTATTCGGAACGCGTTGTAGAGGAATGATTCTGATCCTTATGCAACGACACCGCTTCCACGCGAACTGAAAAAAACAGCTAAAACAAAGGGTGGCTTCCGGGTGGGAGCCGTATCCTTCCACGAATTAATACCAAAACGATTTAGCCTCCATCAGCGGTGCAACCTAACGGTCTTTTAACACCAGATTTACGGAAACCGTTAATTTAACGAGTGTTAATTTAACAACTTACATATTCCAATTAAAAGAAAAATCCTATTGTAATCAATGCCCGTAAATCTAGCGTTAATAATAATTTCTATTCCGTAAAGGGTTTCTACCAAATCGAAGGGCCATTGCAACAATTTCGATTATTTTTCCAGTGGCGGACTCGTCCGGCAAGTACACCTGGGCTCTGTTTTCCGGAAACGTGTTTTGGCTAGGATTCGCGGATCAGTGTCGCGAAATGGGCCGCGAATTCGTCGACTGGCGAAACAATGGAAGGGCCCAACGTAAAACGGACGTGCCGCCATTTCTGGTCAGCATGACTTCCGTCTCCTTCTCTCTCAAAGTTCATCGTACCGGATTCAACGAGGTAACTCGTTCATCGAGGCATCTAATAAAAAGAAACAGTATCAACTCTTTCGCTTGTATTGGTTTAGACTCACAGGATTATTCTTGGTATGTGTCTGCCCGATTCGTGCGGCACGAGAGACGTCCGGAAACTGTTCTACTTCGTCCAGGACCAGCGTGGGAACGATCCGTCCGCGGAAGTAACGATCGAAGCAATCAGGAACCTCTCGAAGGGATACTCGTTTTGGGACGATCCTGTGTTCTACCTTATACTGTACGTCCAACTTCCAAAATCGTTTCATTTCACAATTAATCCGTGATTATAGTCTGGAACGAGCACGTCATACACTCCAACCGATCCATTAGATCTTGTGGATATTTATTTCAATTTTACTATGTTTAATTCTGTCGCTTGCGTTTGTGTTTGGATCGAGCTTGTACAAGAAGATGAATTTCTCGCAGGGGTGTGTTGGCCGCGACCATTGTTTTCGTGATTCTGGGAACCCTCTACGACGTATCTCTGAGGTATCAAGTGTTACGTATGATGCAGAATGGTCAAAGTGCCGAGCAAACGTCCATGGAGTTGAAAATCTTGAACGTTAACGCGATCGTCAACGACGAGATCACGTTCAAGAAGCTGTGGGCGGTGAAGGAGCACAATGGCACTTTAGGTAACCACGCAGCCCCTTTCGTTTGTATTACTCGATCATCGATTTCGAATTTTAGATATAAACAATTCGAAAAGCGTCCCCAAACCACTGTCGGAGGCGTTGCTGTCGTTCAGTCTGCTCTTGAACCTATCCAAAGTGTTCAGCCTCGACGTGGGAGCCGACACTTTGGCTCCGATTCACGGTCTACGATTTATATCCATGCTGTGGGTCATCCTGCTTCACACTTGCCTCACGGTGAACGTAGTTTCCGGTACGAAATCGTGTTAACAGTTTAACGTGCACGTATACACATGGTTTCTCTCTTCGCAGACGCCAAAACGTTCAAATCGAGAGCAGAGACCGATTTCCTTTTCCAAACCATCAGCAACGGCACTTACGCCGTGGACACGTTCTTCTTCATTAGGTATCACTGGACAAACTTAGTAATTTTCGCCGCGGTTTCGTGCAACGACGAAAACGAGAACCTTGGTTTCAGCGGATGTTTGGTGTCGTTTCTGTATTTTCGCACCATTTCCAAAGACACTTTGCGGAAAATGAGACTGATCAAGGGCGGGTGTGGCCAGGTCCTCCAGTTCTTAGGCGTAGTATGGTATCGATACTTCCGGTTGACACCGCCGTATCTTCTCGTGATAGGGCTGATCCAAGTATCGATGCCTTGGTACTACGATCACACGATGCTCGATCTCTACACGATCGACTACTATAATTGCAGGAAATTCTGGTGGAGGAACATATTGTACATAAACACGTATTTCGAAATGGAGGAGCGGGTAAGGATAGTTGTAAATTCTCGAAGACGTTGCGCTTGACGATCTTTCGTTTCGACAGTGCATGGTGTGGAGCTGGTACTTGGCGAACGACACTCTGTTTTACATCATCGGGATGATCATCCTTATAATTGGCGCAAGGTACACGATAACTACCATTTCTCGACGAAGTTGTCGCCATAATTTCTTTGAGCTGTGCTTTCCAGATATCTTCCCGCCGCCGCGTTCATGACGGTCTTCTTTCTGATCGTGTCTTGGGCCACCACTGCGATCATTTCGTGGAACATGCACCACGTGCCAAGGTAAAACACTTCCACGACCAACAAGCTTTTCTTTCTCCATCGATTTCAAGTTAAAAATATAAACGTAGCATCAAAGATCCGTTCGCGCACTACGAGAGCCTCTACGACAAACCCTGGTCGAGGATCGGACCGTATCTTCTTGGAATGATCGCGGGATGGTATCTCTTCAAGTCTAACTGCGCGATGAAGGTTCACAAGGTGAGCGTGAAACTTCGAATTTCATTTATTTTGAAAATTATCTTACATCGAACGGTCTTGGGGATCGCGAAAACGATGGAAAAGATCCAAAATCGAGGATATTTCGTAAAGCAATGGACGAAAAAGTCAAGTTTGCCCGACCCCCGCCGAAATTCTATATTTATGGATTTTCGACGCCATTAATAAGTGGCAAGGTCGGGGCCCAGACAGAGCGTACCTGCCCAAGGCAGTGTTCAGCCATGGGCGACTCTAACAGCCTTTTCGAGGGCATGGCGGACATTAGGGTTAAGGTTACGAGTAACAGGAGAACCGACAGAATTCCCCCCAAAAAATTTAGTGTTTAAAATACTCGTATACAATTTACTTTCATTCGAACGATATCATTTCCTCTATGAAATTTGAATTATTTAACGGAGAAACGATTCGTTAAAAAAACGATGCTTAAAATTTACGTAACCCACGTTCATCGATCATGCGTTGTGAGGATGATACGAACGCGCATCGCAGTCCACTTTCTCCGTGGTAATCATTTACTGTCACGATGCTCTATCGAGAATAAATTTCCTCGTGAAATAATTGACGCGTGATTTCTAATTACAGACCGTGGCGCTTGGCTGTTGGATCTTCTCCTTCGTCACGATGTTGACCATAGTCTACGGACTATACGGAAACTCTTACGGCCGTTTTTTGTCGGCAGCGTACACAGCTCTGTCGCATTCTGGCTGGGCAGCTTGCGTCGGATGGATTCTAATCGCTTGCGTTACCGGAAACGGTGGTCAGTTCCAAATATCGTTTCGTTATCGTCGTTTTAAATGGACTTTCTGAACGAAATTAAAAAATTTCAAATCGTTCTAAAAAAATTATATTTAGTTACAGGGGTCAATTGTAAGTATTTTTGGTGAACAGACATACCCCTAAAATCCTACTCAGTTTCGAGATAAAAATTCGAGTGGGAGGAGAAAGTAGTCGAAATTAAAAAATTTTGAATCATTTTGAAAAAATTATTTTTAGCTAGGGGGGTCAATTACAAGCATTTTTGGTGAACAGACATACCCCTAAAATCCTACTCAGTTTCGAGAAAAAAATTCGAGGGGGAGGAGAAATTAGTCGAAATTAAAAAATTTTGAATCTTTTTGAAAAAATTATTCTTAGCTAGGGGGGTCAATTACAAGTATTTCTGGTGAACAGACATACCCCTGAAATCCTACTCAGTTTCGAGAAAAAAATTCGAGTGGTAGGAGAAAGTAGTCAAAATTAAAAAATTTTGAATCATTTTGAAAAAATTATTTTTAGCTAGGGGGGTCAATTACAAGCATTTTTGGTGAACAGACATACCCCTAAAATCCTACTCAGTTTCGAGAAAAAAATTCGAGGGGGAGGAGAAATTAGTCGAAATTAAAAAATTTTGAATCTTTTTGAAAAAATTATTCTTAGCTAGGGGGGTCAATTACAAGTATTTCTGGTGAACAGACATACCCCTGAAATCCTACTCAGTTTCGAGAAAAAAATTCGAGTGGGAGGAGAAATTAGTCGAAATTAAAAAATTTTGAATCATTTTGAAAAAATTATTTTTCGTTAGGGGGGTTAGTTATAATCATTTTTGGTGAATAGATATACCTCCGAAATCCTACTCAGTTTCGAGAAAAAAATTTGAGTAGGAGGAGAAATTAGTTGAAATTAAAAAATTTCATATCATTCTAAAAAAATTATTTTTGGTTGCAGGGGTCAATTGCAAGCATTTTTGGTGAACAGACATATACCTAAAATCCTACTCAGTTTCGAGAAAAAAATTCGAGTAGGAGGAGAAATTTTTCGAAATTAAAAAATTTTGAATCATTTTGAAAAAATTATTTTTAGCTAGGGGGGTTAGTTATAATCATTTTTGGTGAATAGATATACCTCCGAAATCCTACTCATTTTCTAGAAAAAAATTCGAGAAGTTGTGAAATTTTTCGGGGCAAAATTGAAAAATTTCAAATCATTCTAAAAAAATTATTTTTGATTGCAGGGGTCAATTACAATCAATTTTGATGTATAGGTATACCCCCGTGTCCCGCGAAAATATACTTTAACATAATTTTCTATTTTAAGACAAACATTTGTGAACGATCGTTGTATTTTCAGGCCCCGTAAATAGGATACTATCCTGGAAATACCTGTATCCACTTTCCAGGCTGTCGTATTGCGTGTATTTGGTGCATCCAGCTATCATACGAGCGGTAATATTACACGGAGAGGCTTCGATACACTTAACCAATGGACTGATGGTACCAACATTCTCATTTTTTAAGCTTTTCTCATTTGCTTTTTCTATCAGGTTGCAATGGAATTTTCAAACGTACAATTTTATAAAATTCCCGATTACCGACCGAAAGAGATCGCTTCGTTTCTGGAAACTCCGTTAGATATCGACTCTATCCACTCCACGGTTTACCCTTTCCCCTCAATTGTCTCAGCCCCCCACCATCGAACGTGTTACACCCCCACCAGTTTCCACTTTTCATTTCTTCCCTCCCCTTTCACTCTTTTCCTACGGAGAAAGTGTCGTTCGCCTTGAACGGAGAGAAAATTTCTTTTTCGATGGGCATATCAAAATTATTCCTACGATAACTCTTTATCGTGGGAATAATAAATATTTTAACAGCATTTCTTCAGCGATAAAATAATATTTTCCAGGCTATACTGTTCTTTGGGTTCACGGTGGCGTCTTATGCCGTTGGATTGGTCATCAGCCTACTCTTCGAGGCTCCTATGGTCTCTCTATTAAGAATAGTCCATCCTATGAGACGGTGGAAAACGACAAACTGAATAGAAAACTATATCCTCACGTTTCGATCTTCGATCAACGATTTGCAACACTTATCGAGGATGTTAAACGCTCTTTTTGCGTAACTTTGATGTCACATCATCGCTCCCCTTTCCTACAAATATCAGATTCACGATTACCAGATAACGGTAGTATTATGCAAAGATCTTGAGCAAAAAAAAAAACCGAGATTTATTTGTGTTCGTCGAGCCGTTACCGTAGAACACAGACGAGACGTCCGTGAACGCTTCCTGAACATATACAACGTGTTCCCGAAGTCTCCAAGAGAAATGCCGAGTCCTCGTACGAAGAGAACATTGTAGCGAATTTGGACGATTATTTGTAGGAACGATGGAATTTATAATGCGTTAATTTAACGAACAGTCCCAAGGAAAACTTGTCCAAGACGAAATCGGTACGTCATTCTACGGTATAAATGCCGTAATTAAAATTCACGATTTCAGCCGCGATAAAGATGGCGTGAAGTTTCTAAATTGCAGAGAGAAGAAACGATACCCTTGAGACTGATGGCGGCGGCTGGAATTAGTCTTTGAACTCTGCACAGTCGCTGTGTTTTAGCTTTGTTGACTCCCGTTTTCTCCGTGCAACACGCCTTTTTACCGGTACTCGAGCGGTATTTGAAAAAACGACGATCGATAGATCGGATGGTGAAAGTCGCTGTTCGATGCCTCGGTGTCGATGAGTCCAAATCTCATTTTTAAGTTTCGTGCATATTAATATAGAAACACGTTTTTTTTTCTGGGAAAAAGGAGACACGAAATTAGGTTCGCTTTGACCAGTTTCACTTTCCGACGGCGGTTTGCGTCACAGAACAAATATGTGACTCTAACGTAAGAGAAATCCAGAATTAAAATATCTATATCCCAATCGTACCAAAAGAAAGTTTTCGAGAAGTGATCGTGCGAGTTTTTTGGCCGACGACGCGTGGTCAACATTGCATTCTAGCTAACGTCGATATTTACGAATATCCCCTTAAACTTATTTATTTATATACAATTTAATTTAATAGCATATATGCAAGACTATGATACGCACTTACTATTTGGACAAAAATTTAACCTACTTATCAAGTAGAAGGTGAAATGTTTACAAAGGAACAGAAATAACGAGTAGGTTATTATAATAATTATAAGTGTAGCTGTAAGTATCCACTGGAACTGATAAAGAACAACAAGGTTAGTAAATAAGTTATATAAAAATGGTAATAGGTTTTTCTTGCTATCGTGTTATTGTTAACATAAAATTCAACATGTGTGGGTTTGTGATTTCCTTAGAATCCCTGTTATTTTTATCCAAATTCTTAAATCATCCTGAATATATACAAACTATAATTGAGATCTATTCAATATTATTAAGCACAGTGTTAATAAATGTGAAATTTATCTTCCTCCTCGAAAATGGTTCTCGATCAGACCAAAACGTCAATCTTTCCTCTCGCTGAACCAAATTGATAATAAATAAGTTATGGATACTCTTGTCGCCAGGATCGAGCCTGTATGAATATGCAAGGAATACGGAAGACGTTAAATCGATGTAGAAATCTAGAAGTACGTCGACCCTACTTTGAACTCGAGGTCTCCTCTCGCATATAAAAGTTTAACGGTGAACGGATCGCCGTGGGTAAAAGACATTCGTATTTCGAGTTTCGTAACACGATCGCGGTTTTAAAACAGCGATCGGTCTTCTCTTTCAAACTTTCGCCCTTGAATTCGTTCACGGGGCCTAAAAAATGTACAAAATTCGAACCAACGCGAATCGTTCGTTAACGTGCACCGAGAAACGCGAATGCAAAGGCTCGATTTTCACGCGACTCGCGACTTGGCGGCACGTGCCACGAATACGAATCGCCGATCGTGACTTTCTCGAGTCATCATCGACTGCCAGTGGACGATCTATGAGTTATTATTCCAATTTACGCGTTTTAAATTTTATCTAGAAATCTTTGCTTTGTCCTTTTGGTATATTTTTCTACGACTTCTCTGAGAATAAGTGAAAATTTCACTCGTCGTTCGAGAATGAAAATTGGCCAACTCCACTCGCGACGAACGAAAACGAAAAAAGGAAATCGGATTACGGCACGGCCGAGCAACGAACGACAACGTTTGACGAAAGTTTCGTGCCGGAGAAAGAGAAACAAGCTAATCTAATACTATGAAATTTCCCGGGTGAAACTTGCCTTTGTCGTTGGCTGCGGACGTACTCGCGCGCGACCACGTCGAAAGCCTCGGTCGATCCATCGTTCGAACGAAATCGATCGATTTGTTTTAACGTACAACGCGACGATGTTTATTAAAATCACCGGAGAGCTCTCGTAATTCACGTTCAGAGTCCTATGCATTGGCAGCGTTCGTTATTTATAACGATCAGAGCCAGTGATTAATTTTTTTAAAACGAGACGCATTACACTGTCACGGACGATGTCGTATTTCAGTTTCCAGCGGCGTGAAATTCAAATTAACAAAAAGGAACACCTCACGGAGATGATAATATAAATAGATGTTAAATATTTCTGTTTCGATTCCTTTCTTACTACATCCGCATTTTTAAGGAAGAGACACCCGTGCAAAGGTCAATCGTTGCCCGAGCATTCCCAGATGGCTCACTATTTTTGTGAATTAGTATTCCTGCAAGCTTTCTAATTTTAACGAGCCGAAATCCGGCTTTCTTCCTTCTTTTTTTAACGCGACCGGCAAGGAACGTTTCGCGCGTTTTAACATCAACGGGACCGAAAATCGCGGCGTGTTGACACGAGGAATTACTGGCCTGCAGCCGTTCGAAACGACGAATGAATAAACTAAACACGGCCCTCCGGAGGCACGAAAATTTCTTTCGAATCGCCAAATATTTACCATAGAAAGTTACTGCCTTTCGAAGACAGAAATGATAATGTCTCTATCGCCGTATAAAATTGCGCAAGACAATGTTTACGCTCGTGTGCTCGCCAGTGTTTACGATTTACAACCTACGGAAATCGATCGCAATGAATTTTTAATGAAACCGTTCGATCGTGTTTGCTAGCTTTATTTCAAATTAATTTTATATCCCCGTGGACGATATAAAGGTAATCTTAAATTGCTCGCGGCGAACCTTGCACGCAATTTCGAAACGTTCCAGCGAAGTTATATGGTTATATGGCGCCAGTTGTAACATTCATTACTTTTTCTGCTCAATGTTAATTAAAAATCATTTCTACACATGTTAATGTATTCCAGTAGTTACGTACGCGGTTTGAACCGTACGTGACATTTGGAAAATCCACTAAATGGTAGTGGTACTGTGTCAGTTTTTAATTTCTGACATTGGCTGTGCAACGGAGTTGCTTGTGACATTTTACTTGGAGAAATAATGGCCAATCTGCACTTCACGGAAGGCAACGAGATTGCAATAACACGTAGTATCGATGCTGAAACGGGGGACCGGTTTGCGTAGCCCTAATCTAATCGACAACTTCGCTTCCGCGTCTGAATACTTTTGGTTTTCGATAAACGTAAATAGTTGCAAGGGTGAAGCTGCCTTTCACCAGCGTTTACGACAGCGAATTTAATCAAGACCAAAGTTTTAATAAGTTAAAATAATAACAGCAGGGTTCTCGTAGAAATATCGTCCATCAAAGTGTTCGTGATACCATCGTCTAACGCTCCTTGAATTTGATCGATATAAGATTGATCAGGCTTCGGAGTCGCGAGCCACCGAGCGTAAAATTATTCCGTGAGACAAGAATAACGACGTCTGTCGGAAGGAACGGTTTTTACCTGTCTCGTACCATCAACGGATATGAAATCATGCTAACCGCGAGCTCCGTCGAGCTGAGGTGTCCGCCAGCCGGCGTTCACTTTTCAATACGGGGAGGTTTGTCCCTCCCCACCATTTCACTCGTACTTTCATTACTACCAAGATATTCATCCGGCGAGGCCATTTTTCTATCATTGCCAGCCTCGTCGTTCCAGGTGATTCTTGGCCATCGAGCAAGCAGGATCCGCACACGCGCGAAAGGGGAAATAGACGCACCGTTTCGGAGGTCCGCGCGCGACTTGTCTGAAATCGTCCAAAACGCTATCGTGAATTATGACGACGCGAACGGAAGGGCACCGTGAACCAGCTACCTGGAAGAGCCCAAAAATGCGACCGCAACGATTCGCGCGTCACCAAAAAGTCTGAAGAGACAACGAGGTATATAATCTGGTCCCCTCGTCGAGCAACGAAGAAGACACCAACGGGACGTCGACCAGTGAATATTTTCGAATTTTTTTCTAATCGTCGAAGGGGGTGAACCGGGACCCCGCTGACTGTGATCAACGAAGTATTTTTTTTCTTTAATTTTTTTTTTTCTTTGCTGTGATATTCAACGATCTCGCTCGAAAGGACGTTCTAACGACGCGTAGGGAAGCGGAGACTCTCTCAGGACGCTGATCATGATTAGTTGAGATCGATCGATCGACTCTGGTATCGGTATCGCTGGACCCCGGGTGTTTGGTGCGAAACGTACAAACAAAATGACGAAACGGTCGTGGGTATGCGTTTTGTTCGCGTGTCTGGCGATCCACGGAGCGAGATCCTCCTCCAACGTGTCCGAGATCCCTGCGCAGGATCTCCTCGCGAACGAACGATCGAGGACCGTGTCGGACGCGGAGAGAATTCTGGACAGGAACTGGACCACGCTGTCGGAGGCGTTGGATATTTTCAATGTGCGCCATCTTGCCAGCAATTGGACAGACGGGGGATGTCCCGGCGAGGGACGATGTCCTGTCGAGGGACAATGCGCCAAAGACGTGACCAGGTACATCGAGGGACTGAAGAGGAACGAAGGATGGGCTCTGAAAGGTACGTCGAATTTTTTCCAATCGATTCGAATTATGGGGTCCCGCGAAATGAAATTTCTGCGAGTTTAACTATCGGCTGCTTTCGAAAACGATTCCGTTGATCGATTTGATACGAGCAGCTTGAGGTAGCTTTCTATAGTGACATTGTAGACCAACGTGGGGCACAAGAGGTAGCTAAGAATGTTATTAGAAAAGATACCGTAATGAATAAGATCTGAGCAAACATAAGTTGACTAGATGATGATGTTGAAACCGAAGTGACAGTGGCCGTCAAAATGTTAAGAGAAGATTAGATCAATTAGTGTTCGAGTAAAGATAATGAAGTATAATTATTGAATATCCTACGAAGCGTTTGAAACTGAGCGTGTTCATCGTGCACGGAACGGGATATTTGCTCTTACGCGCCGAGTATACGGCGTTTTACGACACAAATGACGTTTCTTTACAAGTTTTCCTTCGCAAACTCGATCCAAGTAGGGTAATTGTTCCAGTAATCCGACGGTTAACGAGAAATAAATCGAAACAATCGTTTTTACCGCTTTTCACTGGATTGCAATGTCAAAGGTATTCCAGTGAGTGAAAAAAACGCGCTAAAAATGTCGTTATCGGTGATGTTTGCGAATTGCAAGGCCACCCATTGTCCGCGAGTGGTCGAACGTGTTTTCAACGATCCGTAGGTATTTTAGACTTGTGAAATCGGTATATCGATCAGTGATTCTAGACTGTGGCGTCGATTAACATAGAAAACGCTGGGAAATGTGAACGTACCGTCCAATGATTATAAACATAGGTAAAAATCGTTGAACATCCGTCCGACGACTGGTATAACGGGGAGCAAAAAAGCTGTCGCGAGGTCATGGAATATGGCGAGAGGCTTCCAATTGGTAGAATCACACCGACTCGGCCACATTCTACTAATTGGGTGTCGCCCGTGATCCACCAATCGGAGGATTTTACGCCTCGCGACAGCTTTCTTTTTTACTTCCCGTTGTACAAGGAAGACTCGTCCGGAACCAGTCATCGACATAGACTTTAAATAAATATGTCTATTTTAACCCACAGTTACGTGTTCAATTTCGAACAAAATAAGGACCAATGACTCAAAGTTCAAGTCGATCTCAACGGACTCAAAACTGCTCGATTCGAAGAAAAATACTCGAACGGGTCACCCCGTCTATTCGCACGCGAGTTACATAACTTATAAAAGGAAGTAGTCTACATTATCGTTTTAGTATTTTCACGCCTGCTATTAACTTTTTATAGCCTTTTTTTTAAGTATTGTAGACTATAAATACGTATAATTAATGCCTAAAAAAGTCGCTGGTACGACGAACTGAAAGGTCTCCAACCTATGTTTCTCTCACGGTATATTCATTTTTTTTATAACTGGACACTCGATAGATTTAACTCGCTTTTGATAAACGGAGTTTACGTTGCACTTTACACGGAGTCGAATCTTCGTTTCCCGTTGCGAAACGACCGCATCGCGACTCGGACTGAAATTTCTTATACCAATAGAAAGTACACGGTATAGCGCGTAGGAACGGATGTAATTGTCGGCGCTGCTAGCAGCTAACGCCGTGATTTCGTAGGACTTAAACGGTAACGTTTCCAGACCACCCGAAATAAAAGTCGAACGCGCCTTTTCCTGCACCGTCCTGTGTCGTAACAGTTAAATTAACCAAACTAGTTACCGACAACTAGATCGACTTGTCGTTCGAAAGAAATTTCACCTCCATCATTTAGATTCGTTTCGAATGAATTTGGTTATCAGAGACGAATAGCCACATTACGCGTGCAATGGAGTTTGAGTTGGACTTAAGTAGAAAGAGCAGTTAATTTAGTACAAAAACCTTTGCGTGTTCTGGTAGAAATTGAAGAAGGTAAACGGTTCGCGACGGTGGTTTCCGGCGGAGGAGCAGCGATAATTCGCTTTCGTCTGGAAAGAAATCGAGAGTCGAGGCGTGTCGCGACTCAGCTGGCCGGTAACGTCTAAAACATCTGTCTTTCCCATGGAGAGTCGGTCTCGGTTTGCTCACTTTCATCGCGAAATTTCACTTTTCGTGACCCGAGGTGCACGGACGCACGCGACTCGTCGCTTTCGACGCTCCGACGCTTCGACGCCCCCGGTCAATGCCGCTTTTCAGCGAGTTTTCGAAAGTTTTTCACGGTCGTTCAGGTTAACCGACCGAACAAACCGAACGATCATCGGTCGAATGACCCATAATACTCTCTGAACTTTAACGAACGTCTCGGAGTAAACAGAGAGGATCGTGATTAGGCAAACGAGGAAGCTAAGAAGTATCGTATGTGTGTCAGTGGGAAAAAGAAAGTATTGTGGGAAGATCTGAACTCGAGTGTGAACGAACGTAAAATTATCGTGCGAGTTGGATGGGCACGTGGGTGCTTCTAGGGTCGCACGAGCTGAGCAATGAAAGTGAAAGAGGCTGCTGGAAAAAGTGTAGGATTTATTCAAATGTTCCTGGTCTATTAACAGAGAAATTTAGAGAAAACTGGCTTTCGTAAACTTTGGCGAATGTAAACAATCTCCGCGAGATTCGAGAATCCCCATCCCTAGGGGCGATACGAATGAATTATTAATTACGGTATCATTCTCGAAACCAGTATTCCATTACCGTTCTCCTTGGTCTCGTTTTGCAGAATAGATTTGTTGCATCATCGAAGTATATTTTTATTGCGGATAGTTGGACAAACTATGGCGAACGAAGATGGTCCAAAGAAAGATTGCTCAGTTTGAAATGTTCAACCTATTGAAACTCGGCTTTTATTTAAAGAAAATTCTGATCACCTGCCGTTGTTCCCTTTTCGAAAGGAGCGTCGTAGCAGATGGAATGTAGGTGAAAGGGCCAAGTGGGTCAGGGTTGTTCCTTCGTCTTTGTGCGTCTCAAGGAACGAAGACAAGTGCTTACACGGGGATGAGGACGATCGACGACCGATAAATTAACGTACTCCGATGACTAACTCTCCGTAATAAGTGGAAGATAAATGCAACGAGTAACTTCAATACTAGGACGCCGTAGCTCTGTAATTTTGCCCATGTCGAAGGTAATAATCAATGTGTATTACGTCTCGTATCCCGAAATGGACTTGTGCGAATAAATACTGTCTCGAAAATGTTCTCAAGATAGACGGACCTCTAGCACTAACCACACGTTATTCTATTATGCGAACACACTTTTGTCTCGTGAATAGTTTCTGTAAAAGACGTTTTGTTCCGTTCGAAAGAGTTTCAGAGCCAACGAGGAAGCGGAATGCTTTACCAAAGTCCAGCCGCCACCCTGTATCGCTCCTCAGAATGTTTGCCTCTCTGAATTCTCCGACGTATTTTTTCCAAACAGAAAAAGAAGCCTTCTTGCGCAAGTTGTTTCGTATCGAAGCATTTTGACGGTCGGTTCTCGAATAACATAGACATTGAAATGTTAATCGCGAGTCCAATACATTTTTCCGCGTCTATGACGAAACCGTCGACAGTATAACCTGCCCTAGTGAAATAGTCGAGTCGATAAACGGTAAGGTTCGACCGAAAACTAGGCGCAAACTGGTTTTTTCACTCGGTACTTTGCGACGTGTCCCGTTACAAGGAAGAACGCGAAGTCCTGCGATCGACAAGTGTCGACTTTTCGTCGCTGGATCATTTCGAGACGATACGGAACTTTGCTTGTAAATCTCCAAGCAACAAGTTACAAAAATAATCACGGAGCGATCAGTCGCGGGTGGATGCTTCCGCCATCGGACTGTCCAACGACCGGAAGTCGATGGTACGTTCCTAACTCCGTGCAGCGTGTACGCCCCTTTGCGCAAATCTAATGACCAGACAATTTTGAAAGGAACAAAGTGGGTGGATCCATAGAAAGCGTTTCGCGTAAAATTTTTTTTCAACGTTCAATTATCGTCCAACGTTTATGATTTCCGGTGAGAACCCGCGTCCGGACTGGCTCTCCCCAATTTCCAAGCCGGAAAATCCGCCGCGACTTTCTCTACCCGTCGAGCGGCACGCGCTCCATTATCGTCGCAGGAAGTTCAAATTTGCAGAATCGCGCGGGGAAAGGTGAACAGGCGACATTAGCAACATTACCGTTATGACATTTGAAACGCGGCTCGCGGTGCCCGCCAATTATGGGAAGCGTTCGCCATTCACGATTCGTCGATCTTCGACTTCCGGATTTTCACCTGGTCTACCGAACCGGACGCGTCCAACGCATTCTGACCCATTTCTCCGATGAAAATTCCACTCTATCGTGGACTTTTATACGACCAGTGACGAGTAAACGGTTTGTTTATCCAGTCGTTTGACAAATCTTACCGAAAAGTAGTACACTTGACCGTAAAAAGAAACACTTTCGCTTCCACATTCCTGTTTCGGGACTGAAATCATACCAACAAGGCTCTCGGAACGGACAGGCCGGCTCAAACTTGTCGTTCGTCGAGGCTTTATGGCAGCGCTGCTAACGCGACAAATTGTGCAACGATACACTTTTAACCCTTTGCGCTCCGAGAACGGAGCTACGTTGCTAACGGTGCAAACGGAACAGTAGCATCAACAGTCATTTTTTATGCAGCAATTATCATTGCACGAAAAATGTGTGTTACGTGGCTCCTGTTGCAGCCAACAGTTTTTTACGGTATCGTGGTACTTTTTCCTGATTACGTTCCACTGATTACTATCCGCTATTATAAAACCCATGTTTGAATTTTTCCTGCTCGCAAGTTTGATCATATAACGCCTCTTTTTCGTCGTTCTGGCACGTTCAATTTACCAACGGATATTTCTTCAATTTATCTCCATGCTTCGTTTTCTTACAGGTTTCTTTCGATACGAGATTCTTGGATTCTTCCACGTCTTTAGAACGCGTTCATTGTTTCGCTTTTTCCGATTCCCATAGCTCTTCCTTTCCCTGGCCCCTCGACAGAATTACAGCGTCCATCTTGTTACTCGTGCCGATACGACGGAGACGTTATTAACACTAGATTTACGGGCATTGATTTAACTTGGAAAAGATACTTTTTATTTGCAACGTAACGAGAAAGACGATGAGAATGTTTTTGCGTGTGAAGACCCAAAATAAATTGCGGTTTTTATTTACAAAGTACCGATTGTTCCGAAACATTGGGATAAATTATTTAATTTATCGACGAACTTAGGAATGAATACAAAATTGTTGCACGTTTGAATTTTGTTTCCTGTTATACCACGAATTGCACCACGTCCTGCAGTTTTATTTGGAACCATTGATAGACGTTTTATCGTTCGACACGTTTCTCTTAATGTCTTTCGAGTTAACACTAGATTTACAGGTATCGATCACATGTATATTGATACCTTTCATGTTGACGATTACCTTACAATACGATTTTTTTTTTAATTAGATAATGTATTCATGCCAAATTCAACGTAAGTTGTTAAAAAATAATATTTACGCGTTCTGCAATTTCAAATATGAAATTAAACATCCGTCAAATTAAAAAGCTCTTTGAACCTTTCGATACAAAGGGTTGCAGTCCAGAAACGTATGGATCGAAGATTGTTTCGGGGAGCGTGATCGATGATCGACGGTTCGAGTCGCGTTTCCGCGAGCTTCGAGGTGCCCCCGCGCTGCGTTAGAAAGTTTGAGGAAGAGGAGCGCGAGGGAACACGAGCGAGGCAGAGAAACCGCGGCAATTATTGAAATTGCGTCACTGGGAATATCCCCGTTCCCGGAGAGAAATGATTACGTGGAAGCCGGGCTTGCGAGCGCAACTTTCACGTAACGCGGGACTTTTCTTGGGCAAGCTGATCCTTTATCTTTCTTTCTTTTTTTCGTGGGTGACATAACGCATTGCCAGCCAGAACGCTTAGGCAAACCCCAGCTTCCTAGTTCGCCCGGAGCACGCCGCTCACGATCTGCCATTTCTCCGGCGAGAACGTTTCTTGCGCGACGGCTTTCGACCGGCTAAGGTGAAACGTTCGATCCTACAGGGTGTCCCCGTTCGACTCGTAACGAAATCCACGGGGATCCAGTACGTCACGCGGGTTTTGAAAGAGCTTGTACAGTTCGTTTCGCTTAGAACGCGAGCAACCGACTATATTGGCTCTTTTCTCCTGGCTGACTCGCGTTCCGCGCGATTGTTATGTAAGCAAATATTCCCTTATGTACTTTCTACATGTTTCGCCTTCGAACAGGTTTTTCCATCGACGTAAACTCGCGCGCGTGTCCCAAACTCGTATTCCATTTCGTCGGAGGACTTCCGTTCTTAACTCGAAGATCGATCGAAGTAGGAACGCCGCGCGAACCGAGTCTAATCATAATGATTTATGTCCGGCGCGAGTATAAATTATACGATGCGTAGAAAGCGCCTGTGTTGCGTCTTGCGCAACAGCCCAAATACATTCCGATTCGATCATATCGATAACCAACGTCGAGACACGATTCTAGAGAAAAGTATTCCACTAGTCTCTGTTACTTTCTCCCAATTTACAATCTTGAAATCTGTATGGTTTCAAAATTCGATTGGACCATTTTCTGCAACAATACTTTGTTTCGCGTTTAAAGTAGCTTCTGCACCTTTCCATTACGCAATACACTGTTCAATTCCATGCATCGTACTTTCTTTATTCGCGCAACAAGAGTGTAATGATTATGATAGCAAGAAGTTGTATTTAGTTTGTACCACCTGTTACCGAACAGTAAAATGTCTATATCTTTGTGGGGAATCGAATAATATATATTAGAAAAATTGCAATTGCAATGCGAGGATGGTCTGTTTGTAACGCCGGATCGAGGACGAAACGAAACCTTTAATTGATTGTGCTTGCTAAATCGACCGATATCAATTGGGAAATGCGAGGGAATGCAACCGAACGACATTTTCGCCGAGTGGATCGCCCATTACGGGACAGCCTCGAAACGTATAGATTGTCGCAACCATTGTGATCGACGTTAGAACGACGAGTTGGGCGTTTCACTTTTCGTTCACTTTGTGCGTTATGATTTTTCTGTACCTTTTACGGGAGTCGCGTAACGCGCGGTTACGCAACGCGTCGAGTGGCATCGTCGAGTCACGGTTTCACCGATTTCTGCTGCATCATCCGCGCTCCGTGCCTATTAATACGTCCCCATTCGCGGAAGAAAAATGACGAATCGATTACAGAACCTTCGGGTGTAATGAAACACGGTATCCTTACCCAAGCTATAATCGGCGAAGGGAACACGTCCGAAGGACGCTTGGGATCCATCTTTCCCCGGCCCGGTGTTCGAAACACGTCTATCCATTAATATTCCTACGCGAAAGAGAGACTTTCTCTTTCCAAATTACTTTCCCCGCGGAGCGTGCCATTTAGCACGATCGGTTCCAAGCAAACGATCGATCGTTTTGTCACGGTCAACGATCGACGATACCGCCGTCGAAGGAAACCAGTCGCTCGGAACCGACCGCGAGAGAGGCAGACCCGAAATTAACCTACTTTTCTTCGCGTCTCTGTTTTTATCAATTATCCACTTAGCATCGTCTGTAGTGCAAGGCGGTACAAGGCTGGCAACGTTCCGGGCATCCAAGATGGCGGACGAAAATCTGTCTTAAACGACCGGTTCGACGATTCAAATGTCAAGGGTGCCCGTATCTCGGTGATCGTTGGGAATCAGATTCGCTTGGCGGCTAAAAAATGATGGCAAGCTAACAATTAATCTGATTTTTCCATGTTAAACGTTACGATACGCGTGATTACCGTAACGGCGATTTGCGAATTCACGAGCAATCGTAGGAGCGGTGGCCACGCGTGAACAAAGCGTCGGGGCAGCGAACCGAGGCTAAGTTTTTCTTTTAGCAACGCTTATTGCGATAACCCTTGAACTTTGCCTAGGCAGCCTCGACCATGAGTGCCACGCTCCAGCCAGGAGGCCTCCTTGCAAACCGGTCGCGGCTCCTTGAACGCCATCGAATTCGTTTCCCACTTTCTTTCGCGAGAAGAAAAATTCGTCTCGTCCGCGACCAGCGCGCATTCAATGCCACGGGATCCGGCCATTGATTCTTTCGTTTTCCTTGAAAGGAGGACGTCCAGTTCGACGAAATCTGGAGGTGAACCACTCCGTCTCAAAACACATCCATGTTCGTTAGAAAGGCTGAGGAATAATCAGAAAATCCGAAAGCTAAATTCTAGGGCCTCCTTAGCTATCTTGTCGAGACAAAAGTAACGCAACGTGTAATGACGCTCGTTCGACGATCGGTGTTTCGTAACCAAATCCTTAATCAACATTGTAATCACAATACGCCGGTACCGCTACGTACCGATCTTGTCTTATAAAATTAGAAAGGTTTCTGGAATGCGATAGTTAACGAGCAATACGCAACATTACTCAGTGTTTTGCAGATTTCACTTACGTTCGCGACCCCGACGAATGAAAATCACAGAAAAGGTCTTGGAAGAGGAAAGATCGCGAGCTTAGCTCTTCTATAAACTAGACTATCTAATAGTAATTAATGTTTCCACGAATTGGTACGTTTATCCGATTGCTGAGGCTCGCGAGAAAACGTACTATCAAGCGCGTTTGTGAATGAAACCCAGTAGGAATAGATTACAACAGGGAAACGACACACGGAGTCACGCACGGAGATCGAACTTGACTCTGACGCCCCCGACTCGTGCCAAATAACGTAACGAGTTCGCAGATGTTCATTGTTATTATAATTTCGCGCACGATTCGGTTGCTTCCGCGCGAACGGAATCGACAATGAACCGGGAACGTCGAGACCAACGATTCGTGTGACTGCTCCAATTAGTTTGCAACAAATACCAGTCGATATCGTAGACTCTTTTCTTGCAAAATTGACCCGCCTAAGTCGACGGACTGTTAATTACGATCGATGGCCTACTTCGTCGCACTTTCTCTCGTTCATTTTCGTTTCGTCGATGAAATTTCAACGAAAGCAAACCGCCCGTCCACGTTCGATATCTCGCGTGGGCGTCGCAAAGGAAACACGGTAATTTCACGATACGCGTCGGGCAATTTTCCATTTGTGCAATCGAGATTTCATTCACCACAATTTCAAATGAAAGACACACCGTTCAATCATCGGTGTCGCAAGCTGCGCAACAACGCCCTCGTTTGCACTTTCATAACAGACGTTTATCCCGCGAAGGATAATACATAATTTTCATTACCAACGGATTACGACACCCGATAGAGACTGGCTTTATCCAGGCGGTTCGCTAATAAGACTTTCTATCCGAGAAGAAAGTAATATTATCTAATCATCGTCTTGGCGGCGTTCAGGTTTCCACAGGTATATACGTGTTGCAGCTTAATCACGGATAAATTGCGGTTACCGGATAAATTCGCAACGTCATCGCGCGAAACAGACCGAGGTTTTCATCCAACTATTTCGTAATCGGTTTCCATCGGTCGTTTCGCCCGGCCTCCGTAATCGGCTGAAATTTCTCTCGATCGCCTCGATCTTTGAGCGTCGGATCGTTTCGTGGAACCGACCAGCTCCGATTCGAAAACGGTTCTTGACCTTGCATCGACACGATGCGCTTCGGTTCACGAATCGGACAACGCGAACTTTTTCGCGGGTTCGTTAAACCCGTTCCAATATTCCGATCTCTGCTTTCGACTTGAACGTTTCGTTAGACGACTCTCTAACCCTTTGCACTCCTGTCTGGAGCGTGACTTGACATCCTCCTTTCTCATTTTTTCAAGTTCCAACCAATAGAATTCAATTTAATTCTCCTGCATTCCGAAAGAAAGCATAAGGTTTGTGCAGTTTGCTCGAACAGAGAAATACCTGAAGGAAGAAGGGAAATCAATCATTTTTTTGCGAGACAAGTTTCAAGAGATACGATACACTTGAAAATTACAAAATACAACGTCAGTGTAAATTAAGCAGATATTTAATTGAAAATGCTGCTGGTAACAAAATTGAAATATAATTTGGAGCGCAAAGGGTTAAAATGCACTCTCGATAATTGTTGATTATTTTTTTCTCAGCGGACGACGCCTCGGGCAGGTACGGCAACGGTTTCTACTGGGGGAACTCTTACTACGTCGGATCGTCCACCGAGTGCGTTTACATCAACGAGGATTATGGCAGGCGGACGAAGGAGACGCTTCGAGACGCCTCGATGGAGGAGCTGGACGAATTCAGCTCGGAACCGCGTCGAAGAAACACCGGTCTCAGCGAGAACGATCTATGGGCGGAGACGAGATCGGCGAAACCGCCGTACAAATTGGGATTCTACATGATGACGATCTCGATAAACGTCTCTGTGCCACGCGCGGTAATCGATCAGAACTCTTACAACTTTCTACGGTCGCGTCTTCGTCGAGAATAATCTGTTAACGTTAAATTACAGACGAGAACGATTTACCTTGGAGTGTGTCTGCCGTTTTCGTGTTCCGCCTCCGACGTGTCCATGATAACGAAGTTCGCCTCTGGTTCGCTCGCGGCGAAACACTCGTCGATCGACACGGTTCGGGACCAGCACGACATGTACAACATGTACGAGGACCCAGTCTTCTGGATTCTATTGTACGTTCTAAAATGCCATTTAAAATCAGATTCATCGTTATACATCGGGCAGGGTTGGGCTGTACACTCTGTTAATCAAAAACCCAGAGTTTGCCCAACCCTGTTCGATCGACCAGAGACGAGACAACTTGTATTCACGAATAAAGATTGTAGACTCGTTCCGTGAACTAGCTTGAACAAATAAAACGTTAAGTTGGTTTACGAACAAAATTCGCGAATAAAGTTTGCCCGACTCTGCGGTCGATCATTCGCAAATAAGAAATGTTGACGTTTCAGCGGAGTGACCGCGGCGGTTTTCGTTTTGATGGCTATTGGGACCGGATACGACGTCTACGTAACGAGAAAACACACGCGCAGGAACATGATTTACGATCTGGAAAGGCACGCGAAGCTCGAGCAATTGGCGGGCAGAAGTCAAAAGCCACTAAGCGGTAAGACTTCCGCGCAAAGTTCACGCCACGAACTTTCGCGATTCCCCGCCAACGACGTTCGATCCCCCTCCCGAAATCAAAAGGGTCGACTAACACTTACAGACAATCACAGGGCAAGGACAGGAGCAGAGACAGTGACACAGTTTTATTATTATATTCCGCAGCTTTTCAAGGTAAGGTCTACCTTCCTGTTCCAGCGGCTGAAGCAATCATCAACGGTCAAGCTCGATCACTGGCGGTTAATAACAACAACGATCACGAAGGTAGCCTACGGTCGGCTAGTCCGGAAGTGCACAAATTCAGTAAGCAGATCGGACTTGGACCGCGCGAGAATCGCTGAAAAATATTAGAATTCAATGTTCCATAACATTGTTAATATTTGGCTCCTCGAACAGAATAGAGAGTTCACTTGCTGTGTGGAACTTTGAATTTTACCATTTTACAGCAGCTCCCGAGCGATCCTGATCCTAATCCTAATGGCCAGGGACTATAACTGGAAGCAAAATGAAAGATACAAATAGCGTGAATCTGTTCGTAGGCGTTGTCGAGGAATTGTTGCTGTCTTTTTCGGTTCGTACCAACGTGAAGATCATCTGCGATAGCAAGGTCGGTGGGGACACCATCAGTACGATTCACGGTCTGAGGGCGATATCGATGACCTGGGTGATACTGGGCCACACCTGTATCACGGCGTTCAAGTACTCCGATAATATGGAGTACCGGAAGGTCGTGGAGAGGAAGTTCCTCTTCCAGACGATCTCGAACGGAGCGTTCAGCGTCGACACGTTCTTCTTCATGGGCGGGCTGCTCGTCAGCTTCCTCTACTTCAGAACGAACGCGAAAGGGGACCTGAAGACGCTCACGCAGGGCACGCGGGGCTTCGCCTCCGGCAGCCTAAAGTTCATCGGGCTGATTCTCTACCGATTTTTCAGGCTCACGGCCCCGTACATGTTCGTGCTGGGCGTCGTTCAGATCGCGATGAAATGGTTCCACTCGAACTCCGTGTTCGAGCCACCCACCGCCGATCATTACAACTGTCCCAATTATTGGTGGAGGAATTTGCTTTATATCAATACGTTGTTCCCGGTCGAGCAAATGGTGAGTCTCGTGCAATGATCTCTTCATCTTCGTTCGTTAGAACAGGCGCTCAACGTCTGGTCCCCGTTTCAGTGCATGATTTGGAGCTGGTACGTCGCCGATGATACTCAATTTTACGTGGTCGGTGCCGTGATATTGATACTGGCAACGAATCATTTCAAGATCGCGACGTTCGCGTTGTGCACGTTGCTGCTCAGTTCCTGGCTAACGACTGGTTACATCGCCCTGGCGAACAACCATATGCCAAGCTCCGACGATCCATTGGCGCTCTTCGATAAAATTTACGACAAACCGTGGACCAGGCTGGGCCCTTACCTCATAGGCATGTCGATGGGATACTTTCTCTTCAAAACCGATTGCAAAGTGAAAATGTCCAAGGTAGGTCGAAAATTACGTTACTCTTCGTCGAGTCTTCATATTCGATACTTTTCAGACGACGGTTTGCGTGGGCTGGCTTCTCTCTTCGGCGGGTCTTTTGAGTTTACTGTACGGCTTGTACGAAGCAGAGCTCAGCCCCATAATGGCGGCCACGTATTCCTCGTTAAGTCACAGCATCTGGGCCCTTGGATTATCGTGGATCGTGATTGCATGTAGCACCGGCTACGGGGGTAAATATTTAGTCGGAAATATAACGTATTCGACCAATTCTGGAGGCCAAAATAAGACGAAAATCAAGAACACTAATTTATCGATGGAATCTTCGTTAAAAAGTTATTAGCGTTTAAAGTTCCGCCAGTACTGAATTTTTTTCTCGAAAATGCGCAAGATTTCGGGGGTACGTGTATTCACCAAAAATGGTTGCAATCGACCCCCGCAACTAAAAATAATTTTTCCAAAACGATATGAAATTTTTATTCACCATCGAAAAATTTCACACCTTCTCAAATTTTTTTCTCGAAAATGCGCAAGATTTCGGGGGTATGTGTATTCACCAAAAATGGTTGTAATCGACCCCCGCGACCGAAAATAATTTTTCCAAAACGATATGAAATTTTTATTCACCATCGAAAAATTTCACACCTTCTCGAATTTTTTTCTCGAAAATGAGTAGGATTTCGGGGGTATGTCTATTGACCAAAAATGATTGTAATTAACCCCTGCATCTAAAAATAATTTTTCCAGAACGATTTGAAAATTTTTTTTTCACCGAAAAATTTGTCTACTTTCATGAATTTTTTTCTCGAAAATGCAAAGGATTTCGAGGGTATGTGTGTCCACCAAAAATTATTGTAATTGATTCCTGCATCTAAAAATAATTTTTTTAGAACGTTTTAAAATTTTTTTTTTCACCGAAAAATTTAAGCACTTGCTGAATTTTTTTCTCGAAACCAGTTAGGAATTCGAGGGTATGTCTATTCACCAAAAGTGATTGTAATCGACCTCCGGAAGTAAACATAATTTTTTTAGAACGATTTGAAATTTTTATTCTCCATCGAAAAATTTCACACCTTCCCGAATTTTTTCCTAGAAAATGAGTAGGATTTCTGGGGTATGTCTATTGACAAAAAATGATTGTAATTAACCCCTGCATCTAAAAATAATATTTTTGGAACGATTCGAAATATTTTATTTTCGCCGAAAAAATTTAAGGGAAACAGGTCAACGTATGGTCAGACATTAGATTTTCGGTAAAGAATTTTTTTCTCGAAAATGGTTAGGATTTCGAGGGTATGTCTATTAACCAAAAATGGTTGCAATTGACCCCCGCAACCGAAAATAATTTTTCCAGAACGATTTGAAATTTTTGGATTTAATTGTTAATAACTTTTTAACGAAGCCTCCATCGACAAATTGGTATTCTTGATTTTCGTCTTATTTTAGCCTCGAGAATCTCCCATTAAAATTTTTCCCAAGTTTTGGAAATTTTTCAAATCGCGGGAATAACGAATTTAAATATTTACAGGATACGTCAACAGTATTCTGTCAGCACCAATCCTGTATCCGGTTAGCCGAATAACGTATTGCGCTTATTTGATACACCCGCTCGTGATTCGATTAACAGCATTGAACTTGGACTCGCCGTTTCACTTAGGAAAATACACTATGGTTCGTCTATATAACGATAAAGACGCCTCAGTCTTTTGTTACCGTGCTTGTAGAACAATCCAATAACGCAAAATACGCATTTCAGATGATCACATTCCTTGGACAACTGGTTCTATCCTACTTGTTATCGTTCGTCATATCGTTGTCCTTCGAGGCTCCAATAGTGAGCATGTTAAAGATACTATCTCCAAAAAAACGAAAACGCATACAATGAGGCAGTAACACAGCTGTTAAGCAGAACACACGTCTCGTCAAGTTATTTATATACGTCTTTATTGTATGTAACTGATGTAAAAAAAAATCATGAATCAATGAGAGAACATTGAAACATTACAAACATGGTGTAAGAGTCGCGTGAATTGTTGCATTGTTGCAAAAACATGTAGTCTTAACTTTTCTATGTATTGTTACTTATAAAATAAATTATTTGTCTTTGTACGTTTCCATACTCTAGTCCCGCAAAAAAAAAAAATACTTCCTTGTTTACCTTCGCGTGTAACGTATACAAACTAAATGGAGATATATTTTATTAAAACTTTCGCTTTGAAAAAATGGACTGTTCAAACGATCGCTGATAACTCTCAATGCCCGTAATATAGGAGAGTAACGTGTACAAAAATAATGTGTTTCAAAGACCACCCTCCGTTGCAACCTCTGTATCAATTTCAACGTAATAGGGACCTTGAACTACAAATTCTTTAAACTTTTGCATTGTACTTGCATCGAATATATCTTGTTCGGCTTTGGATAATTGTTTAACAACTTCGTATTTAGCTTCCTTGCATTCCTTGAAGCTTTCGATGTTTCTATCCAATAAGAATTCTATAAGGCCCGGATAAGTGGATATATATTCTTGGCCCCACACTTGCGAAGCTACAACCGCTAATACTTCTAAACACGCTTGTCTAATATCTGCGAACGGTTGTCTACACAACGCTACAATCATATCCAGCGGATCGTCGCAAAGAGAATCGAACCAAGACTTTGTCAACGACAAAATTCTGTTATCCTGCTCCGCTTGTGGTACATCAAGTATAAGTGCTAAACTGTTTAGTCCACGAATACGTAACGCTGTAGGCATTTTCTGTATAACCTCGGCAATCTTTTTTAACGCGCACAGCATTGCTTCTCCCAAAGCTTGCAAAGCATATTTACCGTCTACGGTTGTAGAAACGTGTCCCAACGTATCTAACGCGACGCCAAGTATAGCTTGATCTCCGCTCTCTATCACTTCGAACAACGCGGACACTACGACTGGATATTTTGAAAAAATTTCATTGGGCCAGTGACGCGCGACGTTACCAAAAAATTTCATCAAACCGGGAATCAACAGATTCGACAATGGATTTTCATTCGCTTGCGCTATCTTTTGAACCAGTTTTCTCAACACATCCTGCTGCTCTAAGTAACTCAATCCTTCTTCAGTTAACGCTAATCGAGTTAAAATTTCTAACGTGTTTACCTGAAGCAATATATCATTGTTCTCAAGAACCTCGAACAAACTATTCAAAAATCCTGATTGAACGGACGCCTCTAAACCTTCTTTCGAAGCTTTCGCTATGTCCACGACAACTTCGTACACGCGAAAAGTAATAGTGTCATTCTTCGCTAATAATCTAGCAAAACTTCTTAGCAGTTCACCTTTATATATAATATGCAACCCACTTACATTTTTTCCAATTTCTTTCATTATAGACATAGCACACTCAGCTACCATCACATTATCATCCGCAATTTTATTTACTACGGCGACAAGTAAATTAACATCTGTGAGCAATAAAGACACCTTCTCCGGATTGGACGCAATAGACAGAATTTCATGCAGTATAACTGATCTAACTATGGCATCTGGATGAGTTATCAGTTGAGACAATTGTGTTGCATATCTTTCATAGACCTCTGCAGGTTCTAACAGAGTTAATAAAGTCTTCAAAATATCGCACACCTGATCTATATATTCTCTGCAAGAGGAAAAATCAATAATTGCTTAATTTTACAGTATTAATCCTGTACTAAACCGATTAATACGATAATGAATCAACCACATAGAAAGCGTGAACAATAGTAAGAAATTTATCGTTTGTAATTTACTCGAAAACTTTAATTCACTTATATATTGTCTTAAAACGCACTATTTATCAAGATACTTTACAGTTAAGTCGGCGTATTTTAATGTTTTTACAGAATTAGCGTTGTCACGATACCTGTCGTTCGAGGTTAACTGCGTAAATAATTGGCCAAAGTCCAAATTACGGGAGACCTGCTCGGATTCTCTGTTATTTAAACTTCCCAACTTAATTTTAATCTCTGACAATATATCTTCCTTCTCTTTGATAGAATCTAGCTCGCCAAGACGAACTATTCTTAACTGTAACCACTCTGCCATGGCCGGCGTACTGACATTACTTTTACGTTTACGAGTTATGTTGTTGGAGCAATACACTGCTATGCCACCAGATGGCAGACCAGTACCCAGAAGAAATTGCCCCGCCACTTACGTACGATCTGGTACAAAAACCAGTGGCCAATTGAACTACTAAAATCGATAAAATTAGCAAACATAGAAAATTCTTTCTTTTTTTTACATGATGTACGGATGAAACTATTTTAAATTCGTACCAGATCGTACGTAAGTGGAGGGGCAATTTCTTCTAAGCACCGGTCTGCCTTCTGCTAACACTATGTCAGAGTACCAACTTAAAACAAAAACCAACTTCTTATTTTTTCCGGGAGAAAGAAAATTTACTAACCGACGAGATTATTAACGGATATAATCTATCATGTAGTTTTTCAGGATTGGAATCTAAGAAATATATAATTAATCTAATACTCTGACATAGCATAGTCAATAACAAATTGTATAGCAGAAACAATGAAATTTATGATGTTCTGACCCTATTATGGTTAATCTGTTATTGCCCATAGATATCGTATCAACAATGTATGGTAGAAATTGTCATGGAAAATCTATGATGAAAAGAAAACTAATGGACTGATAAATATACTACCTTTGATAACACATTTTGGGAAATGAAAGGGTATCTCGAAGTAATTAACATTAGCTTTAGGCTCCAATAAACCTACATCCGCCACTGATCAAAATACAAAAATGTTGTAATTATTTGTAACTATGATCCTTTACTTTCACCGAAAAAATACCTTACCCCATCGTACGAGAATTCGTTTAATAAATTCTTATGAAAAATTAATATTAAAGTGCACTCACGCTAAATTGACAACTAATGAAACGAAACATTGAAGCTGGTAACATTAAACGCGTACTCAAGCAGCGAATACTTACTATTACTCTATAGTGAATATACAAAGACTTGTGGTAAAAAAATCATTTTGAGAATACTTAAAGATTAATTTACTTATAATTAAAAAAAAAAAAATGGAAAAATATAACTCTGTGATGCAACGAATTAGCACTTAGGCAAATTTGTAATCTTGTTTGAGAAATAAAAAGCGTTATGTTGTTGAAGCATTCGTGGCTTTCTAGGGGTCAATGAGCTTTTGTGTTTTTACTTGACCGAAGATCTTCACGAACCGTGTAAATTCTTTCGTCAGTACGTTTTTGCACGACGGAAACGTCGTTTCTATATGGTTGTGTTTTGAGTTGTTACTCTTTCGATTGACAAAAGGTAATAAGCATCGAATGCTCGTAATGACAAATTGCACTGATTAGCGAGAGCTCTTGTAACCGTGCACAATTTCTAGTTGTATATACAATTTACAAACTCGAACATTACTATGATTGCATGCATCCCGTATCTTTATATTACCTTATCAGGTCATCCAGTGATATCTGTCTACTATGTCCCATTGTATATCGTACGCGCACAGGATTTTGAACTACAAAATAGCTTTCAAAGAAACATACTTTTTTCTACGTCTACAGGGATATTCGTTTCGATAAATTTATACATAAACATTTCAAAGTTGCGTTCTTTTAGCAGGAATTTTTTCGGTAATTTTGTATTGCGAATTACTTCATAATTAAACAAACCAGCAGCCATCGAATTATGTATTTCAATAGATAAAAAGGAAACAAAGAACATTGTATTAAATTTCATCAATTTTATTTTGTAGAATTGTCTATTGAGAAATGGAAGTAGATTTGGGTCCAAATGATCCTGAGATACGATTATCACAGTTTCTTTATGTTGGGAAGGAATATCCGGATTATCATCCTGGCAACTGGTTTGTTCACAACTATTTTTTAGCTAAAAATGTCCCATCCATAGAGGAACTAGCTGAGAATACAGAAAAGCAGTTATTGCCAGTTGAAATAATCACAAAGGTAATTCTATTGTGACTAATGAGAACAATTATGTATAAAGTGTACATAATATTTTTACAGGCATTTGAAAGCAACCTTGTTCCAAATTCAGAAACATTAGTATTTGCTCTCGCCGTTTGCTGCAGGCAAATGAAAAGTGAACAATTACGACACGCAGCCTATGCAGCTGTGAACAAAATCTGTGCATCACCTCCGCATTTTCTTTTGTTTATAAAATTTGTTTCGCAAATAAGCAAGCAAAAAGAGCTTAATGCGACTGGTAGTTCAAAACATGGTTGGGGCAAGGGTCTAAGAAAAGCTGTGAATTATTGGTACTTATCAAAAACTCCGATGGAATTAGCAAAATGCGTTACAAAATACAGAGGCAGATATGGTTGGAAGCATAAAGATATTTTAAAGTTATCACATCCTGTACCCAAAAATCCTGGTACTTATTTTATCATAATGTAACCAATGGATGAATAATCACCATTACCGATCTAATAATTTAATTTAAACAGAGACAGAAGTGGTCCTCAAGTATGTAATACATGGTTTGGAAGAAATAAAAAAAACATATGGGGAAGATTCTAGATTTGCAGAGATAGTAGAATACATTGAACGTATCGAAGATTTCAAACATTGTAAGGATCAACTTCAAGCGGCACATCTTTTGGAAGAACGTGAATTAACATTAGATCATGTACCTGGACATTTACTGAAGTCTGAAGAGGTAAAAGAAAATAAAAAATCCTCTGTATTCTTGTATCCGATATATCTCATACATAAGTTTACTTTTATCTTTAGGTCTGGAACGCATTGATACCATCTATGGATTTAATCACGCTTTTAAACAATCTACAAAGAATTCATAATTTCGAATTACTAACGCCAAACTCTTTAATAGTTTCGAAAATAATCGAGCAAATTACGAACGTATCATATATTATCCGCGACAAGATTCACCCAGCTTTGGTATTAGTAACAGTAAGGAATTATGAAAACTGTGGAAAGTAAGTAGCAACTACGGAATAAAACAATAAATAGTTGTTAACGTCATTTAACGCGTCACGTTTTTGAAGGCCATTAACGTACGTAAAAAGGAAAGTCAAAGAACAAGCTGACAAGAAACAGTTGATTCTACCAATTCCAATTAAACCAAATTCTAAAATTATCGTTGCTCTCTATAAAATGTTAAACGTTTCATTCTTTGTGAGTATAAGTATCCCTTGCACAACGTTATTCTTGCCCCACCGAGATATCGCTTGATACATATTTTACAGCACATTCAACCGACTGGCTTACGTTACTTCGTGACAATCGACATGAATAAAGTAATGCTAGGAAAACAGACTTGGCGCGGTGGTAACGTGAATGGTGCAGAAGCAGGATGCTTAATTGCACTTTCGCTTCTTCGTAGCGAGAAGAACGTCACCATCGCGACGTTTAAAAACATTGGAATTCATATGGTAAACATTGATAAAACGGCTTCTTTTAGCCAGGCTATGAGAAGATTACAACAGATGCCTGTTGGGAACGTTAATTTGGGTAAACCAATGTCGTGGGCTGCTAATCAGAAAATGAAATACGATGTATTCATTAACGTTGTAGATCAAATATATGAAAAGTTTGATACTTCCGAAGAAGCACTTCAGAAATACAAAACGGCGCTTACGCTTCCAAATACAAAGTGAGTCTTTCAAAACTGTTCTCGGTAAACGGCCGTTAACAACATATTTTAATTGTTTATCTATTTTCAGGTTAATAAACTGTGCTGTATGTTTTCATTCGACCTACCATAAGGAAAAGCGTGATAATAGTATTTTAACAATCAATGGTTTCGACGCTAGCGTTCCTGTAGTTATACAGGCCTTCGCAAAGTCTTTGTTTTAATCCCTTCTTCGGCAAGCATACAAATTAATCAATTATGCAACATAATTATTAAATCATTTCAACGGCATCATCAATTTAGAAATACTTTGGAATACTTAGGGTATTACGATCAGACTTCTAAAGAATAGTATTCGATAATCTACGAATGCTGCTAGTCTGATACTTATACAGTAGTCAGGGCATGCAATAGCTAAACAAAATAACACGAAGTACTTTAAAATTAGGTCTAATATCACACTAAATACAAAATTTTGATGCATTTATAATTATAGTAGTTCGTGCCCGTTGATATTAAAACGAAAGGAATTATCGTTAAACGGTCCTATTAATACCAATTGACAACACATTCAGTTTTAGTACAAAGTCATATATCCGTGAGAAGTTATTTAGATTCCCTTCTTTTTTTATTTAAGTTTTATCGTAACGAGAGAAATACTTTTTTGGCACTTAATGATTGTTCGTTACTAACTCCCACTAAGATAATTGTAATTATCTTCTATAAATACTAACACAGCATTATCAATAATATTTACTGCATGCTTTAACATTTAGAACGAGCTGTGTAACATCGAATAATGATTTAATTCGTGTTTTATAGGGTGGTCCAATGAATTTTGTAAATATTTATTTAAATGGATAACACACGAATCCAAGTACGTCAATAACCAAGAAGTAAATGAATGTGATAAATCTGTGATCGATCGTTTGATTAGACAAATGGAAACATTTTCAAGTAACATGGACCACTTTGGATCGCTTGGAAACAAATGCACGTTTACTAATTTATCTATTTTTTTCGTTTTACAAAATCGGTTGCGCAGCTAAATGAAAATTTAGGATAAGACTGCATATTAGATACAAGTAAGTATCTAAAGTAACTTAAGGTGCATTTTTAACTAATGGTAAAAGATACTTCTACTGTAATATCATTGCCTGCTTATTTCCACTGGTTGGCGGTAAAGCTTTTCTCGAATATCTTTAATAAGATATAATAGATTTAATATGATTTCGTAGACAATATATTTCCGACACGGGTGCGCTTCTGGCGATTCGAATAAGAATTAGAAGATAAAAAAAAAAAATAAAAAAAATGAAACGTTGAAAAATTTCTTACTGTGATATGCATTTAGTCCCAAAGAATATAGACTTACATTAGTATAATTTTACTGTTATATTTCATATTTGCCATATCCAAAGTAAATGCGACAAATACTAAATACACTACTGATATAATACTGTGATACGAAGTACATTGTTATTGTTCAAACTAGTTGAAAGGATAAGTAAACGTGGCCAGAGGCCCACCGCGTGTCCGCTTCATTTTTTGATTAGTATCTACACCTATTAGCGCAACGATTTTTTTCATTAAAAAACACAACAGTATCCAGAGATACCTCTGACTCTATCTCGATCCTCGAATTACCATTATCAAAAAACCCTTCGGTTTCCAAAGTAAGAAGCAAGCTCTACTTAAGATACGCCGCTAAAAAGTAACAGCGTGGATGAATTCTCAGGTCTGACAAACGTTTAAATTAAGTGCTTAATGTTCACGTGTTCTTTGCAGCCTGTCCGGTAATTCGCGGATCGATATCGATCGAATATTAGTTTTAATACATACATATACGTATAAATGTAAAATACAACGGCGTTTTCGTTTCACGAAAGAAAATGGAAGAGCGAAATTTGAACGGAACTGCGTGTCGTGGTATGGAAAAATATTGAATATTACGTACGCGCGTTACGAAAAATATATACTCGTTGAAAATAAAATAAAAAATGAAAATAAAAAATTCAGGAAAAGGTACCTTTGTTTCGAAGGAAAGTTAAACGTGTATTCTCGTTTGTTTTGTTGTTCTTTGCAATTTACCGTGTAATCTTTAATCTTATTTGCGTGACACATTGTAGAAATTTTAAATGTTATCGAACGTAATAGCATTTTTTTAAAGAAACTTTTCTTGGTTATTTGATAAAAAAAAAGAATGTTAAAAAGTTTGTTTTCGAAAAAATATTTTACAAGTTGCGTATGTATTTGCTACTTTACTCGTTGAGAGTAATAGAACGTATGTTATATGTATCTACATTTATAGCTTATCGTATTCGTTAATATCGCATGCAGTAGCATAATATATCGGTGTCCCATTTGTGATAGCCGTGCTTTCGATCATTTTTTTAAAATATTGAAGAAGAATTGATTCGTTTCGAGGAGACATTGTTTTCTCAAGTATGTAATTTCAAAGTTTCAAGATCATCGATGGGGCACCCTGTACATGCATTTATCTAACGATCGAAGAGAAACATTTAATTATGCCTATATCATCACTGTCGTTTTTCAACTGCCACATTTTATGCTTTAAATTCGATAATTTTTCATTGGCTTAGCAACGGTACTATATCTGTAAAACTTGTATCAATCGTTGTATTGTATTTTAAAATCATGATAACTGATGTTTTAAGTTATAAAGCTTTTTATTTCACGAAACTTTAAAATATCAATCTTTACTCGATATTATAACCTGTTCGATGGAATTGCATAGAAATCGATCAAGATTTCTTTTCGATCGTGTCGCATAAACCCGGGCATGATCATTATCTATTGTAAGAATACGTCCGATTTGTTAAGAAAAGTGGTAAAAAAAAATGGGATAACTACTAAGATGCAAAAACAGCAGAAGCTGCCTGAATAGAAACGCGTACTTTTACGCTTTCGTTTCAAAGTCCATTAATTTCAGGTTATGCTACTCTGTCCAATGAAACGAGAGCAAGTAGCTGAATGTGTTCATATTAGTTAAAAAAAAAAAAACAGATGGAATAAAATTAACCGTAAAGAAAAATGAAAGTCGGAAATAAAGAAATAATTCGTAATATAACGAGAACTAAGGTATACTATACAAAGTTCATGTTAGACTTAATGCGAATTAGGAACGATCCAAAACCAAGACATTTCATTTCGATCAGAAAGCACAAAAAGTCTATCTTATAAATGTGTATTCGAATGAACAATATTTTACATATGATATATTGATTATCGAAGTCGTTGAGTATGTACGAGTACGATAACAATATATTCCTTAGGATTAATGAAATAAAAAAAAAAAAGAGAAAAAAGGAATAGGTTATTGTAACCACATTTTTAGTGCAACTTTTGTGGAAAGAATGCTCAACGTCCATCGCGTATAAATATCTCGAAGCAATGCCGAAAAGAAGATGTTAAATTTGAACGTAGAAAACATAATGAATTACTTCGTGCTTGTTCTTAATATCAAAGGGGATTCGCAATGAAGTTGCACTAATTATGCTTGCGAAAGAAATTGAATTTTTTAACTCACAATTCCGTATAGAACGCCTTACTTTTTCGGCCTCCCTTTATCATAACGAGGATCAAGGTACATATTCGAATCAAAGATGGGACCCGGAACAAAATACCTCGGTTACGAGATCCCTTAAAAACACTGTAAAATTAAAAAAAAACATTTTCGTTTACTTCTATTTATCTACTTGTTTCGACAACGATAATTGTCACGTTCGAAAAGGAACAAAATTATGTATATAGAAATCGGTGCCCTGAAAAGGAGATGCGCCATTTTTTGCTCTATGTAATTGCGAATAGTATTACTGACTTTATCTTGTTTCGAAAGGCGTTACTTTTTATATTGTAAACGTTCAAAAATGTACGCCCACGAAAAGTAATGGCGCGTATGAAAAATTTCCAACAAAAATGAATTCCGCTCTGAAAGAATGGTTGTTAATGGGATTCTCACATTATTTTTGTACCGTGAGTGAAAATGTAGTGACTGGATCGCTTTGAGCAAAGAAAGGAATATCGGAAATTTTGTATTACTATTATTGCGTCTGTTAATATTATATTTCGACAAGATAGACACAATAAACAATTAATGACGAACTTTACCGCCAAAAGCTACGAAAGTTCCACTATTCTCCCGCCATTACTGATTCTCCCGCCAATACAGATTCTTCCGTTAATACAGATTCTTCCACCACCATAGATACTCCCGCGAACACAGATTTTCTTACCATCAGGTTCTTCACTAATTAAGTGCTTAGCCTAAGCAGCCTAGGGCCTAGTCGTCCCTTGTCCTGACTTCGTATAATAGGCATAGAGAGGGAAATTCTTCTGCGCCTGAGCAGAACAGAAAAGTAGGGGGAGTCATGAGTCATTCGTGATCCACCAATTCGCCACCTATGATATAAAAAGTAATTAATTCTATCTAAACATTTTCAACCGTTTTTGTTATACGATTAAACTGTATCCTCAAATAAATTTTGTATCTCATAAACATATTACTCTCCTCTTTGCTTTAATTTCGAACGAAATCGATGGACGAATATTCTTTAAATTTTGGTGCGAAATGTGCAGTCATTGAAATTTTAATATGCGACTATTTACAGTCAAAAAGTGCCTTCAAATAATATGTCCAATGTTTATGATTTACTGAAAAAATGTTTATTTTGATGATACTGATACATATGACATTCACTCATACAGAACATCTATACTGTACACAGTACGATATAGTTTTCCTACAGGCAGTAAATAGACGCAAATCATTACCCATTTGCACAAACAATCATTCTAATTCACACGCACGCTGCAATTCTATAACGCGAGTTACACAATTTGTGTTCATTTCGATTATATATATGTAATAAAATATATAAAACAATTAAGTAAAATAAATTAACGCGTGGAGTCTTATCTGGAAATTAGAGAAGTTATTCCTAAGAGTATGTTTCTTTCCCCTTAAGTTTATACTTCCTGTTTTTTCTTTACTCTTACGGAGAAGATCGAAATGACCGTTACACGTTATGTGACAAAATACATTACAGAGCAATACACAGAGTGATCATCACCGCCATGTAAATTAATGAATAACGAACGTTCGTCGATCAGTCTTTTTTTTTATACTCGACATTATCAACGACGCGGTTAATCTCTGCAGCATTTGCATGAGAGACTGTGAAATTCAGTCTAAATTAGGACGAATAATACATGCAATGATCAATTATAGTTAAAGTTCGTCCTTCAGATCTTCGTCTTCGCCGCCGGTCGGCGGAACACCGCCACCTGCGCCCTGATACAATTTGGCAATAATAGGCTGAACAATATCGGTAAGCTCTTTCTTTTGCTTCTTGTATTCTTCTGGATCGGCGTCTAGATTATCCTCGAGCCATTTAATTTTCTCTTCGATGGCTTCCTCCATTTTGGTCTTGTCGGAATCACTGACCTTCGAGCCCAGTTTCTCTTTGTCGTCCAATTGATTCTTCAGTGAATAAGCATACGACTCGAGTTCGTTACGCGCTTCCACGCGTTCCTTTAGCTTCTTGTCGTCGTCCGCGAATTTTTCAGCGTCCTTGATCATCCTTTCAATATCGTCGGGAGAGAGTCTGTTCTGATCATTGGTAATGACGATCTTCTCGCGATTGCCAGTGCCTTTGTCTTCGGCGGACACCTGAAGAATACCGTTAGCATCAATTTCGAACGTGACCTCGATCTGCGGGATTCCTCGGGGTGCTGGTGGAATGCCAGTAAGATCGAATTTGCCAAGAAGATGGTTATCTTTTGTCATTGGACGTTCACCCTCGTATACTTGAATAGTAACCGTATGTTGGTTATCTGACGCGGTGGAGAAGATTTGCGATTTTTTGGTTGGAATTACGGTATTTCTGTAAGCAATAAGACAATATTAGCACATACGAATAACTTCGATCAGGTGAAAATAAATTTGTAAAAAGTATATTCTTACCTGGGAATGAGTTTGGTCATCACACCTCCAACAGTTTCAATACCCATTGTAAGTGGATTTACATCCAGAAGCACAATAGCGTCCGTATCTTGTTCTCCAGAAAGTACACCAGCCTGAACGGCAGCGCCATATGCAACAGCTTCATCGGGATTAATACCTCGAGACGGTTCTTTGCCACCGAAGAATTCCTTAACTAATTGTTGAACTTTGGGGATTCTGGTAGATCCTCCGACAAGTACAATTTCATCGACATCCTTCTTATTCATGTCGGAATCCTCTAAAACTTTTTGTACTGGTTTCAAGGTACTACGGAAGAGATCCATGTTCAATTCTTCAAATTTCGCGCGCGTTAAAGTTTCAGAGAAGTCTTCGCCTTCAAAGAACGATTCGATTTCAATCCTCACCTATGGAAAAAAGACAATATATAAATATCAGTTAATAGCAGATTCTTTCGGAGCGAAGTAATATTCCAAAATGTTATTACATACTTGGTGACTGACACTAAGTGCCCTCTTCGCTTTTTCAACTTCGCGACGCAACTTTTGTAATGCCCTACTGTCTTTGCGTATATCCTTGCCCTTCTTCTTTTTGTACAGTTTGATGAAGTGGTCCATTACACGTTGATCGAAGTCTTCACCACCCAAGTGAGTGTTGCCGTTTGTCGCCACAACTTCGAATACTCCGTTATCAATGGTAAGTAAGCTTACATCGAAAGTACCACCGCCCAAATCGAATACCAAAACGTTCTTTTCTCCATCCTTTTTGTCCAAACCATAAGCAATTGCTGCGGCCGTAGGTTCATTAATGATTCTCATGACAACAAGTCCAGAAATAGTGCCTGCATCTTTGGTAGCCTAAATAAAAATAATTGATTTAATACATATTCTCAAAATGAAATCCGATCTATTTGGTACAAGCATACATTTTATACTTACTTGTCTTTGCGCATCGTTGAAGTAGGCTGGTACAGTAACAACAGCGTGAGTTACTTTTTTGCCTAAATATGCCTCGGCAGTTTCCTTCATTTTACCAAGAACCATGGCAGATATTTCTTCGGGTGTAAATATTTTCTCTTCGTTATTGACTAACACTCTTATATGCGGCTTGCTATTCTTTTCAATTACTTTAAACGGGAAGAACTTAATGTCATTTTGTACAGTGGTGTCTGTCCATTCTCTACCAATTAATCGTTTGGCATCAAAGACAGTGTTTTCCGGATTTGTAGTCAACTGATTCTTTGCAGCATCTCCAATTAAACGTTCGCCATCTGCGGTAAATGCAACATACGAAGGAGTAATTCTGTTTCCTTGATCGTTAGCTATAATTTCTGCTCTTCCATTTTTGTAAACTCCAACACTAAAATAATAAGTTATCGTAAAAATATTTATTCATCAGATATAGATGCATACATCTTTGACAAAAATTACTTTAAATCTTACCAAGAATATGTTGTGCCCAAATCAATTCCAATGACAGTGCCAATATCCTGTTTCTGCTTTTCTTCTTTTGCAGAAGCAAAGGCTATCAAGCCCAGTAATAGTAGAGCTTTAGCTCCCTTCATTTTTCTTTGTATAAAAGCAACTCTAAAACATACATAATAATCTGTTTAACATTTGTAATAATTAAAATTTGATGAAACGCGTTTAATTTGTCACGAATATCACAAACAAAATGAATGTCTGGTCTATGGACGATTCAAAAAATTGTATGACAATTTTTAACAATACAGTGCGGTTGTATCGATAAAAGGAAACATAACTAACGAGGACTATAAATTTAATGTAAGTATATCGTCTATCCGTAGATCGTTTAATTTCGGCGAAACATACACATGCTAGTGCATCTGGCAACATATGAAATCGTACGAATTTCGAGTACTATCATAAAACTATGCAACAGACAGAACAATTGCGTCCAGCACATATTGTGAAAATAAAAAAACAGTTAATTAAATTCCGATTGAATGTACTTAAAACGAATTACACTTTTGTAGCGAGACGTGGCAAATAACGAGGAAACATCGACGCTCGATAAAATTTTAAGTACAATCTTTCATAATCCGTTGATATTAATATAACGGGATATATTTTTGTTGCGTCCGATACTTACTAGATGAAAACTTATACGTGCACTCCTATTTTACTAAGTAAAAAGTGTAATCACTTCGAAACTTCAACGAACAACAGGAACAACCAGGAATGACTGACTACAGACCGATCTCAGTGCCGGGATATTAACGAGAAGATTTCGTCGTGGCCTACGTTGATTGGTCTTCGAAAGTCCGTACCAATGGAAAGGCGAACTCTGATTGGTCCCTCCACATACAGTTGGCTGCTATTGATACGCCCACGTCACAACGGTATCATACTTCTGGAAATTTCGAGTACATTTGTTATTGGAGGAATTCGTGTTAAGAGAAGAGCCACGTAACACGTGAAAATATTTTTGGCCACTTGTTGTTATCGAATGTAAAAAACAAAAGAAACATAAAATATATACACGCCCACAAAAAATGCTATCAAATAAAATTCATGATCGAATTATTAATTTTTATTTAATTTCTATACAAAATGTCCATATACAGATACGTGTATAATCACGATTATCAACGTCGTTACATATAATGTTAATTATGTAAAAGTAATTATCGGTTGTTTGATGACAAAATTATTGAATTCGATTCGGTTGAAAAGTTTTCTTTTTTATTTCTATAAGTATCCATTAAAATCCCGATATTTACAGTTTCAACATAACGTAATAATAACGGGATATGTCTTCAATTTCGACTAACGAAACAAACTTCGTTTCAATTTTGTATAGAATATTAAATAAACTAAATTCACAAATATAGTTGGCCTTTATTTAAAATATCAAATAACATTGTTATAACCATATACATGCCAAGTATATAAATATTTTCAGTATTTACTCTTGAGTTGCAACATATCTAAAATTAATGGTGTAAAATATGTTATGATACAATCAGCTCCTGCTCTTCTCATAGATAAGAGAACTTCGTTTAACACATTCTCTAAATTGATTGCACCGTTTTTAGCACCGTGGTAAAGCATAGCATATTCTCCCGAAACTTGATACACAAACATCGGGTATTCTGGATGTGCATCTTTCGTGTGCCTAACAACATCTAAATAAGCTAGACCTGGTTTTACTATAAGCATATCGGCTCCTTCAGAAACATCTCTAGCCTTTATGTAATAAACGTAATTTTGTAAGAAACATGATAATACAAAAAGTAAAAGATATAATAATACTAACAGCAGCTCTGGCAGCCAATCCATTACTTCCTGGTGGCAATTGATAACATTTTCTATCTCCAAACTTTGGTGCTGACTGTGAAGCGTCTCTAAAAGGACCATAGAATCCCGATGCAAATTTCACAGCATATGATAAAACTGCAACTTTGTTTGCTAACCCGGCTGTTGCTAATTTTTGTTTTATTGCACCTATTCTTCCATCCATCATATCGGACGGGGCTACAACTTGTGCTCCTTAATGAACATTAAATCAAAAATACTTTAATTACTGTCTGTAAGAATGTTTAGAAAAAAAGAGCAATCTTACCAGCTTTTGCATATGCAAGAGCAACTTCTGCAATTCGTGTAATACTAGCTTTGTTATTTATGCTTCCGTCGTCATTTAAAATTCCACAATGTCCATGAACCGTGTATGGACACAAACAAACATCGCACGCTATTAGTAAATTTGGGAACCACTGTCTTATCAAAGGTACAGCTTGAATAATTGGATTCTCTGCACTATCTGCATTACTTCCGATGTGATCCTGTTGGAAACATACAACTTTTAAACAATCTTTTACAAAACATTTTTTACGTACAGTTTACCTTTTTCAAGTGTTTTGATACTCCAAATAATAATATCGATTGCAGTCCCTTTGTAACCAATGGTTGTAACATGTTGTGTAATTGATTAATCCCATACCGATGAACACCTGGCATACTAACAATTGGATCCTTAGCATCTTGTTCGTCTCTGAAAAATTACACTATGTCATCTTAACGCTAGCAAACACGTTTAAATAAATATCATGCAATCAGATCTAAGCAATCGGTGTAATATAAATAATCTGTTATCTTTACATAATGTTATCTACATATTCTTTTAAATTCTTATGTAACACAGAAAGTACAACTATGAAGGATCAAATTATTCTAGTAATTTCCTTGACTTATTATTACATTTAGCTAAGACAGCGAGCAAACCCCATTAAACACTAATAAATATAAATGCGTGTATGTATGGACAAATATATATATACGCATACATACATATATATGTACATAATAGAGCGGTAGGTTATGAATTGTACTTACAATATGAAAATCGGATACATAAGATTATTAACAGTAATTTCTACATTTGGCGATTGCCACTGCCGTAAAGTAGGATGAAAAATGCCGCTATGAAGAGTATGTTTAGCCGTAACTTCTGCCATTTTTCGAAATAAATTAAATTTCTCTTTATATTTCTATCACGGCTGTTTACCGCACGATTACGTTGTATACCCCTTTCACTATATAAACTTACTCTATACGTTAAAACGTATACAACACAATTTCTTGCCTTCAAAATAACAATTAATCTTGCAATATTGCAACAAGTTTCTCTACATGAAAAACACGCAAGAAACGTAAATTTCGTCCTATTGTATGACTTATTAAATCGTTTCTATTTCCTAATAAATACAAGCTGTTAATATAGAGAACTTCTTTATTATTAATATGTAATCACATTTGTATTTTTTTCGAAAATATGACTCATGCAGCCAGTCGTTAAATAATTAATAATCAGCATGATAAGCTAAAACAGCCTGTTAACGATTTCTACGCTATTAAATAATTTTAGGAAATAGCGGTAAAAAATCTTCTGCGTTCTAAATCTTATCTTCTTGGGTTCATATAAATCGATCAGATTATTGATTTACGTTCATAGAAATTACAAACGCGACGTTATTATATATAGCAAAAATTATTTTATAATTTCGCGCCATTATACAAAATTATTATTGCAGAAAGTAACGGGCGCGTAAAAATTGAAAAGTTTTGTTTTTTAACAACAAAATATTCTATATTTTTAATTTTGTAACAGTTTATAAGAATACACGTTGAAGGACATACAATTGCATTGTTTATTACAATACGCTGTTCGTTTGAATTTCGCTCTTTGTTATAGTGTTGCTATATGACGTGCGCTCGACAGTGAATAATCGGGTCTCAATTAATTCCCGTTGCGGCGCCATGTGCATGGCACCACTATATTCAAATTTTACACAATTATACTATTGTTTGTAAACAGAGAAGGTATTATTAGTAGAATCGAGTGCATTGACTCACGTGTCAGTATTTTTGTTTATTATTCGTAATTAGAAAACAAACAGGTATACGTAGTAAATATTACAGAAGATGGATTGTAATCGACGCCGACAAGAAAATGAACTTAAAGCGATTTCCAACATCTATGATGCAAATGAATTTTCTTACATTAAGGAAGATGCAGTGCAGTGTTACTATAATATCTTTCCTAATGTTAGCGATGGTACACTGACATTTAAAAATGCTCCTCAGGAAGACAACAAATTAAAATCTTCTTCTAACAATTTTATTAATTATCTACCGCCTGTTAGAGTGTACCTGAATTTTTGTAACAATTATCCTACCAAAAATCCACCAAATTTTTATATTATCGCTTCATGGCTTTCTCCTTGGCAAATATCATTTATTTGTCAAAAGTTAGACGAGATATGGTCGAACAATGAAGGGCAAGAAATATTATTTTTGTGGTTTGAATTTTTAAAACATGATCTTCTTAATTTCCTTCGCATCAAAGATACATTAGATGTTTCATTTTTATGTACGGTATATAACAATTTGTCAGATTATTTTCGGTTAAATTTAACATTTACGTACGATGCCAGAGCTGTACACAGTACATTATTTTCTAATCCAATACAATATTTAATAGATTATAATAAAGAAAAATGTATAATTGAATTTGAAAAAAATTATCACACGTGTATTATCTGTTTTGAAGAATACAAGGGGAAAAATTGTACAAAGCTTCAAAACTGTAGCCATGTTTATTGTAAAAATTGTATCCAAAAATATGTTGCCGTCACAATTAATGGGAATATTATAACTGATATAAAATGCCCCGCTCTATGTTGTACTTTTTCCATAACAATGGATGAAATCAAAGATCTGTGTCCAAATTTGTTTTCAAAGTACGAAAGCTCATTGTTGCAAATAACATTACGTAGTATGAACGATATAATATTTTGTCCTCAAATTTCATGCCAATGTCCTCTTATTACATACAATGATACATTAGCCATTTGTAGTAACTGTGATCATGCTTTTTGCCGTTACTGTTACAAGGTATGCATTTTATGTTACGGCAAATTTAGATTTACTATTTTTGAGAAATGTTCTAGGTATATCATGGAATTGAACCATGTGCTATGACATCCGACTACACGAAGAAACTAATCGAAGATTATAAAAATGCCAATAAATATCAGAAACAATTACTAATAAAGAAACATGGAATACAATCCATACAAAGAGTTGTAGAAAATTACTTAACAAAGGAATATTTACAGGTACAAGGATAATTTTAGATGCCAAAATCAGATGTAGATTGTAAATGACAAAATTGCATTTAACAATTATACAATGCAACGATATTATTTTCAGAAAAATGTTAAACCTTGTCCAAATTGTCAAACTATGATTGTAAAAATTGACGGATGTAATAAAATGACATGTATTCACTGCAAAGCTCACTTTTGTTGGCTGTGCGGAACACATATTACTACGCTAGATGCGTATCAACACTTTTGGAGGGGAGAAAATTCATGCTACAGGCGCCTATTTGAAACAAGCATAGCAGACGATTCCCAACAATAAAGTAAAAATTTTTCAGTATTTTAAAACGAAAAATTAATTTCTTTCTTTATATTACAATTTGTTTATTCCAATTATATACAATATTCGTATATAAAATAAAACGATTTATATATCAACAAGATTTGTTTGTTAAAATTTATCTCAAGCATCTGTTGGCACATGAACTTCAATGGTAGCTTCCGTCACTAATTGCTCTGCGACAATAGAAACTGTTAATCCTGGCCTTTGATGATTAACTAAGTTATCTATAAATTACCACGAACACTATGAAACATCCGAAAAGCTTACTAAAAGATATTTTAAATCTCACCTGCGCATTCTTTGTCACATTCTAATAATCTTTGTCTTTTATGAAATTGTGCCATATGAAGTTCTATAAGTTTAGGACCAAATATCCAGTACCCAAGGCATCCTCCCAATACGACAGCAATATTAATATATACGTTGTATGTCATAACAGCCAACATTAACACATAGCCAAGAACTGTATGTATAAACCAATGAAGCACTTGAAAACTCCAAGTGGACCAACGTATACTAACAAAATAATAGGTAAATCAAGTTACGATAGCAATATTATCTTCTCAATTTGTAAAAATAATAGAGCATTATGTACCAATGTAAAGAAGATTGTTTTCCAACAGACCTCGATGATATTTTTGATAACAAGGAAGAGTTCTCTGATGTTTTAGTTGTTTGATTTTGTATAAGGACAATAGTTCTCTGTTGTATTTTAGTTTGTAAGATTTTCATACCCTCGTATAATATTGCAAGTGCAGTCAAACCCAAACAAGTGGAAACAAGGCTTAAAGTCGTAACAACATTATATCCCGATAAAAGGAAACTACCTAAATTGTTTCCAAACCAAAAGAACATATGCATCTGAAAGCTGATACAATATATTATACTGTAACGATTATAAAAACAAGTACTCGAGGTTACACGTACGATAATCAATGTAAGTCTTCTGCAACATTCAATGAAGTTTAAGCTACTTGCTCAAACTGATAAGAAATGTTATGAATAATTGTTCCCCACATTCTGCACTACACCTAGCTTTACCCAGTTATTCGCTAATGACCCAACTGTACATTTACAGTTCATTGACGGGAGATTTAGATTACATTTCCGAGTTCATAAACGTCTGCGGTTCTAAATTAGTTAATTTACTATTATGTTTTCTCATTTTGCCATACGATTATTCTTTACTCGTACAAATTGAGTCGGATAAAAGCCGACATAATGGTTTCAAAATAAAACGTACGAGATCTCGTTAAATTTTAACGCGACACCAGATGTTCGCGCAAGTACGATAACCGCACTCCAATCGGACATAAGATGTACATTTTCATGCATAGAAAAAAAGTTATCAATCGTGATTATGTTTCGAGCTAGCCTGGCGTTGTTTGAAGTTGCTAGGAAGCAAAATCACGTGACGTTAGGGTAATATGCACATCAGTTTTAAATACTTGCGAACACAAAATAAGTTTCCATCCGAACGTGAATAAAAGTAAATCGGGAACTGTCCCGACGTGTTTCGAGCGAAGTGCGACAACAAAATATAGAAAATTTACGATCAAAGCGGTGCATAAAAAAACGCATCAATCGGTTATTGGTCGATAAAACGGATAAACGTACGCGGTACAAAGCCTTGAATAATTTGGTCAAAGGGCACGTCACGTCGATGTCTGTTCGACGTTTCGCGAAATTGAATTAGCATCGAGCAAAAGATATCCTGTCCGATTAAAAACGATTAAATAAAAGTAGAGGAGCGTATTCGCAAAAAAGAGCCGGAAGGTGGCGGATAGAGTGAAGCACCGACAGCGCTACCTACATCGTTGGGACGAGCAAGCGTGGCTAATCAAAGCACCAAAAGGTAAGCCGTAAGGGCTGTTTATTTTTGGGTTTTCGTTCGTCCTGCGAGGCTTTTTCTCGAGTAATGTGCTTCCTGGCCGTGTCGGACTGTACATCGTGCTTGAAAATCAGTTGACGAAGCAGCAATGACCACGGAAACGTAGGTGAATTCGCCGGACAGGCCGTAACGTCGAGCATCTTGCCTAGTAAAGTGAAAACTCCATTTGCTCTTCCCCTCGCCTCCGTACCCCCCCCGTGCCCTCTCTCTCATTCGCGCCTTTCTAACCAATTGCCAGGCGTGCACCGAGCCGACGTGTATATACGTGTGCATAATACACCTAGCTATTCGAGAATTTTTTCGCGCACGCATCTTCACGCATTTACACGCGCGCCCTGCGCCCTTTTAACGCGGTGACCGTCTCTAACAAAGGGAATCTTTCTACCGTTGTTTATTCGTCCGCAGGAAAATGAGCAGTTCCGAGGAGGTATCCTGGATTTCGTGGTTTTGCAACCTCAGGGGCAATGAGTTTTTTTGCGAGGTAAGTACGTCCGTTACATCGCGGTATCTCGTGTTATCAATCCTCGTACAATTTCATGCTTACGAAGCCCATCCAGCCTTTCGAGGTTAACAAATTTTCTATTGTTGATCCTCTCGAAACTGTTGTGCGTAATCGCGTCACCGAGTTCGGTATAATGTTTCGTTTCTTTTCGAAATACAGTGCAGTATCACTATCGTCTAAAATGGTATGATTTCGAAACCAAATTTTACAAGTGTCCCGAGCTATTTACGGAGGTTAATGTAACGTTTTTCCAGGTCGATGAAGATTATATCCAAGATAAGTTTAATCTAACGGGACTGAACGAACAAGTACCACATTATAGACAAGCATTAGATATGATTCTTGATCTAGAACCTGGTAATTAATTATTAGTATGTACTCAATAAACTCCAAAATTGCTTTTAAGAACCTTATTGCACTGTAGATGATGAATTGGATGGTCATCCGAATCAGTCAGAATTAGTTGAACAAGCAGCGGAGTTACTTTACGGGTTAATTCATGCTCGTTATATTCTCACCAATCGTGGCATTGCTCAAATGATCGAAAAGTATCAAGCTGGTGATTTTGGTTATTGTCCACGTGTTTATTGCGAATCCCAGCCCATGTTGCCATTAGGTCTTAGCGATGTTCCCGGGGAAGCAATGGTTAAAAGTTATTGCCCTAAATGTATGGATGTTTACACACCAAAAAGTTCACGGCATCATCATACCGACGGAGCATATTTTGGAACAGGATTTCCACACATGCTTTTTATGGTTCATCCAGAGTATCGACCAAAACGTGCAGCAAATCAATTTGTACCTAGGTAAGGAATATTTCAAACGATTTGTGAAATTCTTATGAAAATATTCTATCCGAATGTTATTATAAGGAACGATGTTGTTACAGGTTATACGGCTTTAAAATTCATCCTCTAGCGTATCAGATTCAACAACAGTCTGCGTCAACGTTTAAAGCACCATTGCGAGCTCTTAATTACAATAATGGGAAACGTTAAGAGCCTTGCAACATAGTCTAGAACATTTTTTTTCATTAAACATAATACAATTCCTAATTTCGTCCCTAAGGATTAAATGAAATATTATTTTTTATATCGCTCTTTACACATCTTAGCAAGGCGCTGAAACACTAATCGTTTCGTTTCCCATCGATCATTTACGAGATTAAGTGCGACACTCTATACTTTTCGGACTTTTCCACGGTATTTATAGTATGCCGAAAAGATTAAAGAGTGATATATCAAATTTTTAATGCTCGTTAAGCGCCGTGCTCGTCTTTATTTCAATTTTAGTAACAATTTTTTCTTTCGTGTTGAAAATCATAAGTGTACCGTTAACTCATTTCTTGTCCATTAAAGCAAAAGATGAAATGCATACTTAGGATAATTACTAGTGTGTAAGGGAGCAGACGAGAATCGTGAATAGAAAATATCTGTTTAGACGAGTTTTGCATCTCCAGGATTGCTGCCTAGTAGTTCCTATATGCAAGGAAGATCACAGTTGAAGATTTGATCGCGTTATAGAGGAACGGGTAGCATTTGATCCTGGTTGACTTTTCAAACAGAAGAACCGACATATAAATTGATAATTTGTTAAATATAATTTAATTTAACTATGAAATATGAACGTAAACTATAAAAGAAGCAATTTATTTATACATAATTTATCGTAATAAAGCTCAGATAAATGAGATACGGAGTAAGTTTAAAGACTGCATATTATTCTGTAAAATCTTGTTTTCTATCGCAGTTATTGGAAGACTTAAGTGCAACTTTTAGCAACCAGAGAAGGAAATTCCATACATTTTTTGAATATGATATGTATCTAACATAGGCAGTGTATATTTTAATATAGAAAAAAATAGAAATCATTAATACAATTGTTTTTGTATTGCAATTATTATAAATGTTCAAAATTGTTGTTTGTATTAAATCAAATAAGTTATGTATCATTAAATTTATTACTTTTTTTTTATCAAGTATTGTATTTAAAATTTAAATTAAGATATAAATTATTTAAAGCTAATGTTCACAAAAAAAAAAAAAAATTGAACGACAATAGTCTCTATTGTTTTGTATGTACATTAAATTCTGAAAAAGTTTCGAGGAAGTACATTGTTGCGTTAGAATTTTTAATGATTTCATAAATGTATGAAACTACCGAAGAATCCAAAATATTAAAAACGTTTAATTTTTACAGTGCCTGTAAAATAAAGCTTTACTGTATATTCTAAGTGTATACAATTTTCGAACAAAATTTATGTTAATAAATACGTTGTATTTTGCGTTAAAAACAATTACTCTTTATTCATTTATTATATCGACCTCCCCTTAACAAGAAGAAAGATATGGTAAAGCCACAAGACTAACAAGATCTCATTGATCTGTGCATCTCTATTCAGGAATGCACATATTGTGCATTAAATGCACAGTGGCCAAAACACAGAGGCTTTTGATAACCGATTAAAAACTTGTTCGCAAATATAATTCATATTAATGAATAATAAAGTATATGTGGGAACTGTGTGGCCAGATTTTGAATACTCGAGTGCATCAGCGGTGACACCAGTAACAACGAACTACCTTAGCGTCTAACGGAGACATGATCTACCGTAAGAGTCATGTGTCGACCTATTATAGCTCGAAACGTAAAAATGCCTGGGCAGTCGAGATTCGAAATTGTACGCCATTGATGCGAGGACGGGTTTCAGCTGTTCAAGATCAAAAAGGAAAGTCGAGTAACATGGCTCTTACGGTGTTACAGTAGATCATGTCTCCGTTAGACGCTAAGGAAGTTCGTCGTTACTAGTGTCGCCGTTGATGCACTCAATTATGTCAATTCTGGCTACACTGTGCGGGAACATGTCAATTTTTTTTATACGTGGTTATCCTTACCAAATCTCTCTTCGGACTGTTACGCTATCGCGTGAATTTAGGCATAGTACATACAGCGCCGCGACGGGAACTAATGGAAACTCGATCGCGACTCCATTAAAATTCGGAGCGAGATTCAAACGGAGGGTCGAGAGAGAAAAGAAGGCATTCCTTAGGAATATTTCGTTTATTTTCTAAAGGTCGTGTCGAATCGGAGTTTCCGTCGTCTCATCAATTTTAAAGGTTGCTTTAGCCCGCTAGCTAACTTCGTTTCTCTCTGGACCCCCACGCTTTTCTTTACCACATGTGTCTGCTAGCTTCCACCTTCACGCGATTAGGGGGTGGATCGCCTTTTGAAGATTCTGACTAATTGGATCAAGACAACCCGGAGGGACGATCTAAATTTTCCTAGACAAGGGACGAACGCCAAGGACCACGGGAAGATTTTCGCGGAAGATCAGATCAATTCTCGAAAGAGTAAAGCGTCCAAATTATCGAAAAGTCTGTAAATTTATGTCGACTCCTAACAACTAACAAATAAAATCGTTGAAGTTACACCGAAAATTTTCCGAGTTTTATTTCGCGCGCCTCCACGGGCACCAACCCACCTCCTCATCCCCCTAGACCACCGATCGGGACGCAATAAATACATACATAACTCTATCTCAATTTCCGTAACCGAAGGTTATGCAAGCCTTTGTAAGTCTGTCAGTTACGTTCGTTTGACTCGTATTTATCCTGAGTGGAATCCGGCGAATTTATGTTTTAACCGAACAAATTATTTATATGAAGGTTATCGTCAAATAATCAAATATGAAAACGGCGCCCGATCCAAAAGACGTCCAGGTATTGCTTGTTACTTTTTAGAAATGCAACTACGACACTTACTCCCCTGTTTATAACCCCTGTCAGTTATTTTTGCGTCCAGCGTTCGCGAGACGCGTCGTTTTCTAATTTCAACCGTTGAGCATACTCGAAAGCGTAATACAACGAACGTTTCAACAAGTTTCTTTATTTTTTTCAGGAATTTCAATTTAAACAATCTCACACGTCCCAAATTTTAAATGCTTTTGAATCCATACCAATTGCATGCAGCTTATTGGTCGCAGATAAGAAAAGGGGTTTATTATACATAGGTCAAGACAATAAAATAAACATTTTAAAGCCAGGAGAGGATAGCGATCCGGAATGGAGCATAGAAGTACAAATACCGGTAGCCATATCTAAGTTGACCCTTAGTTGTGATTGTTCCTATTTAGCAGTGGCACCGCACAGGCCGTCGATTTTAATTTACAATGCACAGGCGCTCGTTAGAAGTGTACGTTACGAAAATAATTTTTCCTCGAATTGTTTAAAATTTTTCTCATTCTGTATAATGTTGTAATTGTATTCTTTTGCAGAATTTACAATTATTACACGAAATTAGAATTTCCTCGTCTAGCGCAGAGGTCTTTGTGAATGATCTACAATGGAACCCAACAATCCCAGGAATGTTGTGCACCGTGGCCAGCGATTACACCATTGGAAGTTTCCAAATAAAAGAGGAAAAAGAAAAGACAATAGAGTTGAAAGCTTTAGAGAAATTAAATAACTTAGACGTATTATGCGCCGTATGGAGTCCTAAAGGGAAACAAGTAGTCGTGGGTTGCAAGAATGGAAATATCGTACAACTGAAACCCGACTTGAAAGTAGCTAGAACAATTCCCGGTCCAAGCCCGTATATCGGCGAAGTTATTTCTATTTTATGGATCAGCAATTATCAATTCTGCGCCGCTTACTTAGGCAGCGAGCAGAGGATAAACGTTCTTATAATCGACGCGCCTAAAGGCGAAACAAATGCCATTTTTACGTGTTACGAAGATATCACATACGGAATGTCGGACACGGTAGGAGAAGCAATGATTCCACGTTATTATTTTGATCACGTGCCGGAATGGGGTTTGATTATCGCTGCTAGTAGTAACAGCAGCGAAATAGCTGTATTGGGATCTACGGATAAAGGAGCTACTTGGAACCAGTGGCAATTGATCGACAGTGGCAGAGCCGAATTGCCATTGATCTGTACCAAGGAAAGCTACCCAGTAGGATTGGCTATAGACAAAACTCCCGTTCGAAAGTTACCATGGGGTGCAGATTCTATTTTACCTAATCCAGTACCCATACTGCATATTCTCGCGACATCCGGGCAACTATGCAGTTTTCATATGGTGAATCTAGCACCGAATTGTCCTGTTATTAATACTCCATCCACTGAAATTGTTACACCTCCGCCAATGGCACAATCACACGTTCCCTTGGAAACACCTCTTATCATGAACGGTGCAATAACGAGTACTCCGCGACCCAAGCAACCAGAAAACGTTTCCGAACGCCCGAAGCCACCTCCCGTGGGAAACCTTTGCGATAAATTTCTCAAAGGAAGCGGTTTCTTCGTACAGTCTCCGCCCGAAAAACCGAAGCAACAGGAGCAGAAGTTTGAGAGCCCTGGCATGGAAATGAAAATGGAACCGGCTAAAGAAACTCATGTACAGGAACCCGTGAAACAAGATATTAAAATAATACCACCTAAAGAAACGATCCCACAGAAACCTGTGGAACAAAAACCGTCCGTAGAGGACGATAGCAGAGATATTCGTGCATATATAGAAGAACATAATTTGTTCGAGAAGGAATTGCGTAACAGATTGGAGCCGCATACTTGGGAATGCGGCACAGAGGAAGAACGTCATAAACTTATAGACACGTCTATCATAATAGATCAATTTTTACGAGATTTAAGGGATACAACGAATAGTTTGTCCAGCGATATTGCGTACTTGAAAGCGTTGCTATTGCAATCGTTTGCTTGGGTCGAAGAAACCAAGTCGAAAAATTCAGCTTCCATCGATATCGTCAGTAGAAACTGCGGTGATAGTAATAAGATATCCGATCTACAGAAGTTATACTATTATACTCAAACGCAACTCACTCAAGCTAGTAAAATATTAGATTTAGAATGGTCGGATAGTAAATCTCAAGAAATGTCGCAAATGAAAATTCCCCATTTGGAGTTTGTGTATCAGAATCTTATACTGCATAATAGGATCATTCAAGAGGAGAAAAGCAAATTAGAGCACCTTAAAAAACGATGGAAATTAATTATTTGTAACAACAACATTTTTGGATTGAATCGATCGTTGTCGAATTTAAGTATAACGTCGACCAAATCCTCAACTTCTCTTTTAAGAAACGGAGGAATTATAGAAGCACGCTGCAAAGCTATTGCTACCAAAACGTTGAGCTTCACTCAAGGAAAGCAAATTAAATTAAGGGAACATTTGTCTGCATCCGTGCCGCGAGTTATAAAGCCAGTTAATCCTTCGCCTATCCAGCACCGTTTGGAAGCAACTCTGTCGTCTTTAGCTTCTCTCGACACTACACCCGTTGATGTTAAAAACAAGGTAGAACAACCTATTTCAAAGCATACTCTAATTGCTAAACAATCCACCGAAGAACCAAAAGTACAGAGTCATTTAGACTCGTTGAACAGTATTGTAGCGAGAATTGGTGCAAACGAAACGAGCAATGTACCGATGAAGAGCAAAGTACAAACCAAACAACCTGTTTTCCCCATTGTTTTTCCATCTACAACCGGAAGCAAACCCATACAAGTAGAAATAAAACCAAATGCACCGGTAACTACCGCAGTGGCTAAATCAAAACAAGACGCCATCGTATTTAATCAAGTTAATACTTCTAATCATAATGTGTCTAATTTAATGAAATCGTTTCCCAAAGTTGATTCCATCACATTTGGCACTCCGGTACAAAAATCTGAAGAGGCTCAGAAATTGGTACCCAAAGAGTTTGGAGCCAAACTGGGCAAAGAAATCATGCCGGGTGGAGATCCTTTCAAGGTAGAAGCTAATATATTTGCTACCGGTTCGTTGAAAGATGCATTGTCGTCGGACGTAACGTCGGAAAAGGTACAAGAGATTGCTCCAACCGCGTCGCTAAAGTTTGGAGCGACAATAACGCAAACGACAGCGGTGAAAACCGACGCGGCATCTACGTTTAGTTTTGCTACTCCGATCCCTTCGAACGTGTATAGTACTTCGCAGAATGTCGCGCCACAAACTAATGCTCCGTTCAATTTAAAGGCAACATCACCGACGGTGGCGGCTCAAACACAAGAATCGTTACAGTTAACCGGGTTCTTCATGGGACAACAGGCTAATCAAACGTCCAGCGTGCCTACCAGTAGCCCAACCGCTGAAGGAAAATACAACTACAAACCTACATTCGGAATGTCCAATTTTCAGACATCGTTGGGACAAATTTCCATCAGTCTCGCGAGCGCGACACCTCCGAAAGAGACTGTCACAACTACGGCGTCGCTTACCATTGAGAAGACACCCTCGACCGAATCGAAAGTCTCTATTTTTCCAACGAGCACTGTACACGCTCTGCCCGCGACTTCCGCCGCACCTTTATTCGGCAATCAAACGAATGTTTCTATATTTGGAGGAATGCCGAGTTCCACCGGACACCTACCAGTCGCCACTACTAGCACTGCTTTCGGTCCTCGGGCAATGCCTCTGTCAATGCCAATGTTCGGTGGTTTCAAGGCTACTCCCGCAACAACCGTAACGACAACCACGGTCCCGACAAGTTCCAACGCAGTGCCTCTGTTTCAAAATACTTTACCGAAACCTACATTCGGGGAACCCGTGGCAAGTTTGCCCCCGGCAAGCTCCGTTAGCCCCAACAACAGTACTCCGTCTACGCATGCTTTGGGTAACGTGACAACTACCACTTCAGCTACATCAGTTTTTGGCAAACCTGCTCTTGCGATGAACCCACAGTTTCCAAGTACACCGGTAGTATCTTCGACCGCCAATACCTTTGGAAAACCGGTTATCAATCCTCCTTCGATGCCTTTCGGTAATTCCCCGAATACGTCGATATTCGGTAATATGCCGACAACTTCGGCGAACACTTCGATATTTAGTGGTAACAGTACCGGTTCGATCTTTGGCGCGAAGACTCCAGCATCCTCTGCTGGTTCCATCTTCGGAGGAAACACATCTCCGATGAGCACATTTGGTACGCCCCAAAAATCCATTTTTGAAAATAACGCTCCGAAGTCTGACTCGATATTCGGCGCGACGCCGAATGCAGGAGCCACGACATCTTTCTTTGGTGGCGCTGCGAGCAATGCTACACCAGGACCGTCTTCGCCTGGATCTCCATCCGTATTTGGCGGCGTTGCCCAGCCTGCTTTTGGACAAGCGCCTGCGTTCGATTCCAAACCGGTATTTGGATCGGCATCTTCGTTCGGAGCCTCGAAACCACTTTTTGGCGTTGGATTCGGCACGACAGCGTTTGGAGCTGCTGCAGTACCTCCGGGTAAATAATTTATTAGTTATCTCTCTTGCATTTTAAACGGTTAACCTAACATTTAACATCGTTCTGTGAAATAGCGTTTGGAGGTCCATCGACGTTGGGAGGAAGTCCTCCTCCGATGGACAACACGTCGAAAGTGTTTGGAAGCGTAGGGGGTAGTAATACGTTTGAATCTTTGGCCAGCCAACCGGGTGGTCTTAGTTTTAGCAGCCTGGCCCAAAAGAGTCCAGAAGCGGAGAAGCCTCCAGCGTTCACTGGGTGAGCAAACGATGCTTCAAGACTGACGCGTGACAAACTACAAATCAATTAACGAATTCTGTTTTCTTATTACAGCGGAAGCTCTTTCTCCAGTTGGCGGTAGTCTAAAAATATCCAACTTACATTGTAATTAGATCGTCCTTGAATACGAATTATTTTTATATATAAAATGAAAAAGAGAAAAGAAAATGGCATAGTTTCAGTATCCTCGAATAATCCAGATCAGATTATGTGTTTAGAACATTTTATCAAAGAGAGTGAACATTATTGCTTAATTTTAAGACATCGTTGAGAACTGTACTATACAAAAATCAATGTGATCTAGTGTATTTCGAATTATTTACAAGAGAACCATTTTATAAAACATGTCGTTGTGTAAAAATATATTCAGATACCTCTCTTTATGGGTTTTGGAGCAATCGATACTTTGGTCGGTTTACAAAGATCGATAACGCACGGATCGTCGAGGGGGGAGTGTGTACATACGGACGAAGACGGTACAAGGAGTGCGAGAGATATTTCTACGTTGCAAGCTTCCATCCAAACTTGATGCGATAGCAGAACAGTGGTTCTCAGTCTGTAATCACTTTGCTCCACATTCTGCAGCCGTAGGTCTGATTTTCGCGGTAACAGTAATTGTACTTGTTGATCAGGATGCCTCAGTTTGATACGTAATATATTTGGATCTCGTAAATTTGATATTTTCGAGGTTAATGGTATCCCTAGTAGAAGACCTCCGGTAAACTTCAACGCAGCATCCGCGTCGCCTCTTGGCTCTTCGATAACAGCTCTACAGAATCGAGTGGACACCGATGGCCTTGGCAGTCGTTCTTCCCCTTGCGTTGCTGGCGTTAAAAGCAATGGTAATAGCAAACGCGTCAAAGATCCGGGCTTTACATCGACCAAAGTCGGTATCTGAAGAACGAGGGCTCTGGAAAACGATGGCAACTTGGCCGTATCTTGGGGCAGAGTGTCCGCTTCGGACAGGAAGTGACGAGCGAGCGGAAGGGCGCTTCTTCCTGTTGCGCTTCTCGTCACTCGAATCAATTCTACCGCCAGTGCTTTCAACCATACGTCATTGGCCAGTATCGTTTCATTTTCACCCAATCCGCTGAACAATCGTTGTAATCTGTAAATCGTAAATAAGTTCCTAATAATAACAACCAACGGAACAGAAGGCGGTCAGAAATGTAAAGCATACTTCTGAGTATTTTGAAGAAGAACCGAAACGTTGTTGGTCGTGCTCGCCAATGGACTGGTCGATACCGCGTTCGTTGACGATATCGAGAATTCCTTCAGCACGGATCTTAGAAGTAACAAACATCGAATGTAAAGAGCAGTGAAACGTGCTGCCCCCTCCATACGGTGATCCATCTCTGCCAAACGATCGAGATCCACGGCCGAGGCTTCCAACAGCTGAGTGTGAACTCTGCCACCGGGTCTTGAGTTTTCAACGCCCGTTACCACCTTTTCTAGAAATTCTTTACCGCGCTCGGCTTCTTCGTCGATTTTGTTTTCCCTTCCAAAATCTGGACTGCTAGTTATAGTCGGTCGAAGTCGGGGGACCAAATGCGGCATCGTGTCGCGTAAATAATGATAATGCTTAGACGCATGTTCCGTAAACAGGGCATGCATGCTCGGACAATGCAATGCAGCATTGAACACCAGAACAAGCACGCTTGCATCTATTTTTTATGGTTAAGAATATTATTATTATGATTTACGTTTTATAAAAAAAAAGCGGTGAAAGGATACATGACGGTTCATCGACGTCCGGCTCCGGTGTGTCGAAAAATGGATGTCGTCCAAGAAGTTGAGGCACCAAAGGCAATGTCAAGTACGGATGCGAGGCTCCTAGTGCTGCTAAACAATTTCTGATACTCTCTCTGTCTTGCGGATATCGACTCAAGTTATCGAGAAGACGATTCACGCACATGTGAAGGCAATTTCTCGTAGCAAGTCGACTGGCAGCCAACGTAGCGTGCAGACCTTCCCGCACTTCGCCGGAAAAGTCCTCCAACGCGCCTAGAATCGTTTCCAATTGGTCTTCGCGAAGCGTGACGCTCGCAGACATTTTCCTTAACGACTCGATGGCTCTCAAACGCACGTCTTGAATCTCATCGTTAAACATATCCACCATAAAATCTAAAGCAATTCTAGCTATATTTGGTTGTTCCATGGATAAGGTGCAAAGTGCTTCCACTGCTGCTGTTCGTACCTAATACACATAACACATTCTAAGCATCCGATATATCGATTATGTATATAAATACGAACGACAATTTTACCTCGAGGAATTCATCTTCTAAACCGTGAATAAATGCGCCGCAAGAACCACTTTTCTCTTCCACTTCCGGTCTATCTGCTTCTACAATCTTTTGTTTTTTATCCAATGCCTGTTCTATGTATCGCTGAGAAACACCTTTCATCGTTCCTAGAAGAGACATTGCCGACGCTCTGACCCTTGGCGATAGATCACCCATGAGACTGCAAATTTGAGAAAACGCACAGTCTACCATGCGTATATCTTCTCCGTCTGCTCCCATAATAATACTAGAAAACAATGCAGCCAATATGTAACCAAAGACCAAGTATTGAAATTGTAAAATCGGTATCAACTACTAACTTTTCTGGGTATTCCCTACCCAAAAGCCATATTAATTTCAGAACTGCTCTGCGTACAATCTCGTAATCGTCTCGAAGCGCGGCACAAGCTTCTCCGAAAAAACTTGCGGGCAGCCTGCATCCTCTGTGAGAATGAAGTTCAGCCATTGTTTCAAACGCTTGAGCACGAACTCTCGGATCCTGAGAACGCGCATAATTGCCGACAAATACTAATGTATCGTCGGCAGTGTTTGCAGTTAAATATCTGCCAATAATAGAAAGACAACGTGTTTGTACACCATGCCAGGTATCTGGCAAATGTTCGCGAGCAATCTTCAACACGAGAGTCCTACAAATCAATAGATTAGTCCACCATCATGACGTCAAAGTAAATTCCAAATATCCATTGAATACCTATGATATTCCCCTAACTTCAATAACGTTGCTAAACCTTGGCTTTTTACTCTATGCGATTCTTCGTTCCTTAAAAGTTCAGCAGTTTCATTAACTATTCGTGTCTTTTCGGCCGCGTCATTCGTTACCTCTCCCAATTCAGCAAATATCCAAAGTAGTTTAGCACGAACTGCAGCTTCTGTTTCTATGGTGAATCTTTCTGACAACTTTTTTACGACCGAAGGAACATCCTCTGGAGAGATGTATGCTATGGTATCGGATATACGAACTAGCAGCTGCAAAGCATCGTTGCCGCATTTGCATTTTTCAAGACACTCTATGTAAGCTAAAGCTGAACTGCCTTCTGTTCCATTTTTACTGCCTGTTGTAGATGTAAGGCGTAATGTTCTTAGCCTCTTCAACGGAGGTTCATTTACAACCTACAAATGAATACAATCAGAGGAAAAGTTTAAACTAAAAAATATATCAATTAATAAAAATATAATTTACCTGGCTTTGTGTAAACTCTGCTAAAACCCTTTTCTTCATTAAAGCTGCCATATTAATGAGATACTCTACATTTGTTCAGAAAAAATATAAAAGTGAATTCGATATTTATAGAGGTTAGGAATTGTTTTTCGTTATATAAAACTGTACGGACAGAAAAATGAGTAACTATTCATTTCCGTAAACTATGTAAATTACGATCCGTTCGCTGATATAAATAGTATTTATATTACTAAAATTGTAAAGCTTATTTGCAAATCAAATTGTTTAGAACGTTCTACTCTACAGATAAATCTACAAGGTTATGTCTCATCAGCTGATCGTGTAATAAAATTATGCGTGCATAATTACTGTTGACATTAAGTTATAGTTATTTTTCATTAGCGATATAACGAACAATAAGAGAAGCGACGTAAAACACGAAATATTATTATTATTAATTTTTTTTTATTGCAAATAAAATTTAACGTTATCTAAGCCAATTAAAATGTATATCCGTACAGTGATTAGCAAAGTATCTAAAAATTTCCATATTCTCTGTTTACATCGTCTGAAAATATTTTAATATTGTGTCATCGTGTATTGATTTGTGTGTAACGACGACGGTAAACAAGTTTTAATAATTTATTTTTAGGGTAATATATAATAAATCTACTTGATAGACGTTAATAATAAATAATGTTTGCAATTTTATAATTAAATGCAATTGAAGGATTCGGAAAACGTATTCTGCGTGGACATTTTTTGTTCATAATATATGATGTTGACAATCAGAGGAGCTGTCAAATTGACAAGCCTGCTCGGCACTAACATGGCTGCTGAGATCAATAGAAAACTGTCATAATTCGTTTTCGCCTGTAGTCGACGGCGTTATTAGATTCTCCGAGATGTTTCGGACGAATAGATTTTTCTGAACATGTACAATTTTCAAGTAGTTATGAAATTCATTAATATTATTTCGAAAATGCCATAATTTCGATCGCCGTAATGATAGGTGAAAGTGCTCCGAATAACTGTTGACCCGCGAGCAGAGGGTGATTCACAACAATGTAATGCAGCGTTATAAAAACAATAGGGGTTTTTTTTTATGATTGATCAAAATCGTAGACGCTGCGAAGAGTTCCTAATATTCCGGGCAAATGTTAACGATACATTTGTTTAAATATTAATTTTAAAAAACAAACTTCCGAATACGATTAATATTTTTACATTTCTTCTCATAAGAGAGTGCCTGTTTCTACAATTTTTCGTAATATTTTTCAATTTTAATAGCGATTAATCAAGGAAGCTACCAAGTTTCCGACGTGCGAGATTTTAATATGGACATTTTTGAATTTTTTTGCGTGTCTGTGATTACATTCGTGTGTGGCATAATATGTACGCTTGTACTGGAGTTTTATTTATTCAAAAAATATTTGGAGGATGCACCGGTGGCCAGTCCGCCAAAAAAACCAATCCATCATGGCATGGCTCAATTACCTAAAGAATTACTTCAAAATCTTGAGGACGAAAAGGCGAATTCTAATACAAGTATGTCCCGCCAAGGTATGTGCCAAGGGAACGAGAACTTGGCGATAAACCTAACGCTGCAATTTTTATTTAACGAACTCCGTAACGCCGAAAGGGTTCGTCTATGGTTGTATAGAAAATTAAATAATGAATTCAAAGAACTTTTAACTCAGTCCACGACTGGTAAATTGTTGGACAGTGTAAAGGTGAGTGAAGTATGAAATTATAGATAAACAAATATATGCATTTTAAACAACTATTGCTACAGTGGCTTGACTCTATAGACTGCATGGCTTTTAACCGCCTCATCATTAAAGGGTGGAAAATACAACACTAACTTTAAAATTCTTTTAGTTAAGAGATTTAAATCTTGGTACACAATTTCCTACAATAAAAGGTTTAGAAGTTGCAGATTCAAAAATAGATGCTGATACGGGTTTACTAGAATCATTAGATTTGTCTTTAGATTTACATTATTCTGGTAATTTTCAACTGTCTATAGATGTCAGAATGTTATTGGGGAAGACTGCCTATATGGCTTTACAAGGTAAAGAAATCTATTTTAAGCTACGATATCCTAGTAAATTTCCATTAAATTTCATTTATGATTGTTTCAGTGAAACGCGTCAGTGGTAGAGCCAGATTACAGTTTACACGTGTTCCATATACTCACTGGTCTTTAAGCTTTTATTCTGAACCTATACTTGACTTAGAAGTGCAGTCTCAATTTCAAGGTCGTCAATTACAACCTCAGATCATTTCTTTGATCACAGGGCAAATTCGGAGAGCCGTGCGTAGGAAGCATACACTACCTCGTTATAAAATGCGTTATAAACCATTCTTCCGCAGACTGAACGACGAAGCAGTAGATTTGTCCGAAGTACGATGTTTGTTTTATATTTTTATGATCATAAAAATATAAAACAAGTTATAAATATGCATTTTCACGTGACGTTTGTCTAGGTTGCCAATATACAATTGATACCGGGTTATCTGGAAGTATCGTTATTAGAAGCAAGTAGATTGAATCTTGGACCTAATATGCTTAACGCAGAGGACAAAACACAAATCGAAGTGTATTGTACAATAAGCGTAGATTCAACACCCTGGGTATTTCTAACTCAATATACAGGAGTTCCTTACATGGTGTTAGATTTAATTATTAGTAAAGTTGGCTCCCAGCAGCTTGGTGTAGTATTTAAACAAGAACTTGTGCCAGAAATAGGTCACGTTTGTGTGCTAGTCGAAACGATAGTAGTCGGAAGCCCCGCGGCAATCGCTGAAATGAAAAAGGGGGATATTTTAGTAGCCGTAGATGGTAAAAAGGTGTCTAGCATGAATCAAGTAGCCAAATTTATGAAAAGCACTGTCCAGAGACGTTTTATCGTAAGAGTCGAGAGGAAGTATTCCAAAGCAGATTTGGATAAACAAATTAGCATGAAACTGGACAGTGAGAAACTATTCGCAGAAAGAGGAACGGATAGAAAGTCAATAAAAACAGATTCGTTGATGAATAAAGGCGACACGCCTAGTACGGAAGACAGCGGTAAAATTAAGTTTGAAAGTCAAATAAAATTTTCGGACTTGAAGGATTCGGAGCACGAGATTTACGATAAAGTGGAAACGGGTAGCAAGTTTTTCAGAAGAAAAAGCAGCGTTCAGCCCGCAGAGGATCCCGCTCAAACACCCGACAGTACACCCTCTAGAAAAATCTCGACCACCTCGAGTCAATCGTTAATATCGAACAGCTCGCAATTTTGCTTCGGCGACGATAGTTATATATCGAACGTAACAGATTTATTCTACACCACGAAGGAAAAGGAATATGCTTCTCTAATTACTTTCGAAGAAACCAGGAACTTTCAAATTGATTCGGAATTCCAGTATTTGAATATAGGAGTGTGGGGTCGTGTAAGAGGCGGGGAATCACCCGCAAAATTGTTGGGCTACATAAACGTCCCAATGAAATTAATTCTCGCGCAGTGCTACACATCGTCGACCGGTCATTATCTTAAATGCCATGCTCTGTTACCTCCCGATAGTAGTAAGTATTGCTATTAATAAATCAAATACAGAGACATCGATTAATTTCATATATTTTCTTTTAAGCTTCCCTGACAACAGTTCATACTAAGTTACAAGGATATTCAGGATTTGACCCGACGCTTTGTTACGGCGATATTTTATTATCCTACGTGTGGGAGTCTAGTTATCCTAATCGACATGCAGTCAGCGATTCGGGGAAGAAAGAGAGTACAGAAACTATCAAAACGCAACCGATACTGAGCGAGGAGATCATCGACAAGAAAACACACGACTTTATCAGGACACATTTTCACAGAGCGACGCATTGTGACTTTTGTACGAAAAAAGTTCGTGTCTTGCAGATACACACACACACACTGTTGATAATCGAATACTAAATATTTCTACTTCTATCGTACAGATTTGGTTGAAGGATGCTATACAGTGCAGGAATTGTGGCATGGTGTGCCATAAGAAATGCGAGGTTCGTTGCCAAGCATCGGGATCTTGTGGAGCGGAAAGTTTAGCGACAATGTCATTCATAGCCGACGAAACAGAGCCTAATACTCTTATCGGGGAATCGGGTCCGGAGATTTCTCTAACCAGTTGCGAAGAAAATGTACAGGTACTCAAGACGTAGTAAAAGCTTTTTTTTTTTTACGTTAAAAAATGGTATCGCCAACCCGCTGAAAATGGCAATCAGCGTAACGGTTCGCGACTCCATTCAATCTCATTGTCCAGAAACAATGATTTTATCGAGACAGATTTTTATTTCAAGTTAGACACTGTATAATTTATATTTTTATGAACAAAATTGTACATTCTTTTTCAAAGACGAGGTTCTAAAAAGGGAGTTATCATGAAATTACAATCACTATGCATATCTACGTTTCATTAGTCACGTTTTATTGTACAGTATACAATACTATAATTGAGGAATTGCTATTTTGGGTAATTGAAATGTATACTTTAAAACGATTCAGAGTATTCTTGGTATTTTGTACATAAATAGAGAAACAACTGTTAAGCGTGTTTCACTTTTATTGTTGGCAATAAAAATTATCATCCGCATATAGGGAGGTGAAGGTTTTTTGTAGGTTTTGCACCTTGACCTATGCTTTTAACGTTTGGTATCTGTGAATATCGTAAACTGAACGGATCACTTGCTTCATTGTCGTCTAACAAGCTAGAAGTGCCTTTGCACATAAAGTAAATTACTCGAAATGGTAGCGCGCGATTAATGGTTGTTACTATGTCGGATACGATTGGACGTGTTAAAATGATATTAATCAATTTCCAATCCGTTGATCGATCAATCAGGGTGCAACTATGATGGCCATGAAGGCCAGTATAGCTAACACTCTGTTGGGCCTGAAGAAGGCTGGAAGTACAAGTTGCTTGGCCCCACCGGCTTCCGGTATTGGTCTGGCATCTAGAAGTCTTCCCCCAAGTCCCTGTGCATCCCGCAAGGTAGAATATAATACCACAGATTTGCGTAGTTGGAACGGAGAAGGATTCACTTTAACACTATTTCGACCAAATGGCGTCCCTTGACACATCTGGTAGAAACAGTGTTAAAATTACGTAATAATCATTAACAACGAACCTTCTCTGTTCCAATTCTTCCTCTTTCTCCTTTTTCTATATACCAACAGCTCTAACGATACGAAACGCACTTATGGATTAAAAAAAAGTGTCGAGCGTTATGTTTTGAGTTCTGTCACTTGTCTTGCGTATCGTTCTTGTGCGTTTTAAATACTCTGCTACCATCATCGGCTTACACTCTCTTTTCATTCTGTCGCCAAACGATCATGCAACTTTTTGTTGGTCATGCTATTAATTGTTAACCTTGGTGTGACGGATATGCATCGAGGCGCAGCCTACGCTTATCACATAAGACTTTATACTAATACACTATTACCGTTACTGTTTTTCATAGACCGATAACCGAGGAATGCTTTCACTTTGCGTTAATTTTCTTTTCGCGCTGTTACTCTGTATCATGTTATCAGTCGAGCCAGGCGCATCATTCTCTAGGATCAAGCTTAAAACACGGTTTATCGTATACCGTGAAATCTGATCGAATTGTTGAAACGTTTAGAACTCGTTGGTCGGAGGTTTGGGCATAAGTCCTGATCTGTTGGAGGGCGCTGAGCCCAGCGTGGCAGCTCCATTAGTAGCCGGGGATTTGGACGATGGTCTCATGTCCAGGGCCAAAGACACCGGCAAGTTTTTGTACAAATGTTTGGAGCCACGCGAACGCGTCGAGAAGATCAACGCCATGGTAAATAGTCGAGCAAACTTTTCGTACAATCCGAATAATTACCGAACGGGTTACACGCGTCACGCACTAATCCTTGTATGAATTTGATATAGATGGGACGGCTGAAAACTGTACTCGACGCGGAAACTACCTCAAGATTAGAGCTGTCGCAAAGCGGGGAAATGGACAGTATTAAGTTGATCGCGCAGAGCGATTTACGAGTTCAAGCATTGAGCGTGCTGCTACTGCATTATTGTGCCGGTTTGCAGCACGCGCAGGAAGCGTTAGATCGGTCGCAGCAGACCAGCAAAGACTCTTAACGGACCTAAGTTACGCGATCGGACGTCGATCAATTTTAACACGTTCGCTGAACTTAATCTCACCAGTCGCTGTCACCGAATAACGGGAAACCTGCGTGTCTTAATCCGATACAGCGTTAACACGTTGATTGTCACGTCACTCGTACAAACGTGTGACAGAATTTCTCATAAATTTATTCCAAAGTCGTGGACGACTTGAGGTTATTAAAATAAATGTTAGATTAGATTCGTTCGATCGTCAGAAAATTTCATCGATACGATCTGCCGGTCAACGTGTTAACATATACGTCTGCGTATGCGCGTGTGCATTATATTTACCTCGACGTACGTCTTTTCTCGTCTTGCGTATTCCGGAACCAATTAGTATGCGAGTTCCGGGTACGACTGTACCACGAACGTCAAGCGGTCTGTCGCAGACGGTTGTCCTAACTGGAATGGTGGTGGCGAACGTGTTAATACAGTAACGGCACGGTTAACTTACTGCGACTCAACCCCCTCTCCCCCCCTAATCCCTTCCACTCAGCGTCCCGAGCTCAACGAAACCTGACCCAACAGAAAAGGAAAGAGAATAGATAAATATGTCGTGTTTGGACTCATTTTAATCAGGAGAACCTGAAGAATATATTGGTACCATTTTTAGAAATTATTCTCTTTCTTCGTCGAGCAAAGTTTGGGTTCGGTTATTAAATCTTACGAAAGTTAACCGTGTATCACTGCAATTATATTTGATTCCAATATTCGTCGTATTTCCTACAACTGTACGCGTTTGCGCAGTTTTTGAACTTCTCGTTGATATTCGTATAATAGACCTTGTAATAATACTCGTGAATTTGATCGTGATACGTTTATAACTTTACCAGAGAACACCAAATAACGAAGACTTGTATTTACGGGTTGTGTGTAATATTCGTAGAGAACAGAGTACAACGTATTGCCGGACGTGTTTACGCGAATTACGCGCTTAGAATATTTAAATCGGTATAGGTAAATAGCTGTGGTATAGAATAACTAGGGTAAAAAGGACTAGCGTCTTGATTTGAAGCACAAGGTAACGGGCAATTAGATACTTAATACGTAACGTTCAATAGCTTGATCAAACAAAAGTTGCTCTCTTTCATATCAATATAGCGTGATTTCCGATTATAACCGTTTAAACGATGAATTTTTCGTGTGCGTGCGCGTGCTTGTGTGTGTGTGTGTGTCTTTATTTTTTCCCTTCGAACCGGTAATCGCGTTTTAGCGATCGTGAACAAGCTCTGCAACGAAACCGCACGAAACTGCGACTGATTTATTAATTATCGACACGTACATTGCCTAACACACAAATTACGAATGAAACGCATACGATACGATAGAGAATTCCATCCATAGTTAACTACAAAAGGTTGAACAAGTATCGAATGTATATAATTCGTGGCTTTGCAAGATATTACGACTTATTGTTAAAGAATGTAAAATTAATATAAAAAAAAAAATGAATATAGATTGTTAAACGAGGAGACTAATGTTGATCATTTAGCGGTTAAGTACTACCGCGTTGCTCGAACGATTTATTTCGTTAAGGGAAGCCGTAGCTATTATCGTTGCAAAACGGAGAATATTTTATCGTCGCGATGAGAAATAGACGCGGTCGAAAATCGAGGTCGAGCGTATTGGTGCCGTCTTTAACTACTGGCGACGTTTCCGTTTCGCGATGCTGCGCCGTGGATCGTACCACTTTCTCGGTAAATATGAAAATACTCGAAAAACGGAGACGCAGTTACCGGGGGGGGGGCCGCCGCCGCACAAAGAATCTACGTCAAAGCCAAGCGATTTTATAGGGCCAACGTCCGCGGTTAAACCACGAGACGTTTACGAACACTCCCGATCCTCGTGTGCGCGATGAAACGTGATCGCACGAAGAATGCAGACACTGGTGCAAAACTGTTTACAAAACAAAGAACGCGTTTTAATAACAACCAAACGTTATCGTTAATATTTTCGGCTCTCTTTCACGAATTCTAAGAAATTGTCAACTTTATGGACAGAGAGTGCGTTCTAATTATAAAGTATTAGCGCAAACGCGAGGCTATTATTAAACGGAAATATTTGAAAACGAGGGCGGCGCAATAGCATCGCGTGGATACGTATTGTAACGAGAATAGGAATATCGCTCGAAACGGGGGGGGGGAACGTTTCTTTTTAACGATCTACGCACAAAGAGAGGGCGAGACGTGCATCGATCTCGATGCAACGAAAACTTTTATACCGCGTCCATACGAGAGTCAATACGAACACGATGAGAGAGAAGTCATGGGGGATTTTGGCCCGCGAATCTATTCTTGGCCCGTGAAATGCACGCGCAGTATCCTCTGGCTGCGTGCCAAGCATACCGAGGAATCGTATAAACATTTCATCCCTGTTGGGCATTGGGCTGCACGATGAATGGAGAGCAAGGGCCTCCCGTGCGTAGCAATGGGATTTCGAGCATTTCGATATCGGTCGCAATTTATGTACAGCGAAAAATTACGATCCCTTCTCTATGCTCGAACCGATTCTGTTAGACGATTATTACAAAATTCGATTTTTTTTAATCGCAGAACGCGGAGGAAAGAGAAGACTGACTCTCGCGATGCGCTTAGATCGAGTTTACGCGAAACTCTTTAGAATTCTAAATTTTCATCGTTCCACTTGGGCGTTGAGACATGGATTTTCCTCTTTAGGCCGCTGTGATTACACGAGCCCGATGAGATTCGAGAGAAAGCCGCAGAAACGTTGTTTAATGTGGTGGAAACGTGCACGCGCTTCTCGATCTCGCGACGTTCGCCAAAACAGCGACCGGGCGGTCCGGTGTTCTCTTTTGTCTGCGAAACGCGCGGTGTGCAACTTTGCCAGCTACTCCAGACACGCTCGTTTGGTTGTTTATTATCGCAACGAAGCGCGTGTTTCGCGCGCGGCTCCTTTCTTCGGGGGTTACGCCACCCTTTCGACGAAACGGTACCGACAGTTTTGTTATTAAATGATAGTCTCGATCCTTAAAAATAGCGCGGAACACGTTCCATTGAAAAAATCGTGGGACTGATAAAAATATGACGCCCGAAGGCGAGTCCGTGCGCTGGTATCGAGGCCCCGGACTAACTACTTTCATTTATCGAGATCATGTTTTTCGCTCTGGCGCCCTGGATAACGCAAACGCCGATTTTTAGGAAATTTCGCGACACGGAATATATAATTTTGTGTTAAACATTTTAATATCGTTGTAAATATATCATAACGGCATTTCTAGGCCGTAATATACATACACATTGTATATAGAAAATTTGTTAATTTTTTTAGGAAAAGCCTCGGTAGAAATAAAATAATGATATAGCTCGTTAATATTTTAGAAACTCCGGAGGTTGGATAATCGAGAGTTTACTGTATAGCGAAAAGATGGCCAGTGAAAACGGCCTGTTTTCTTTTGAGCGCCACAGTTTCTAAAACCTTTTGAGTCTTACGAGTTCCGTGTAAATTGTAGTGTGAAACACAGAAAAATTCGATGATTAAATAGTGTACCTGTAACTACCAACACCATTCCTGATTAAAGTATTCGAATTCCTTCGTTGTAAACAATATTTCATAGCGTTTCAAGTTCGCTGACGATCACCATGAGGGTCCATCTTACGCGCACGCGTGCAACGCCATTTTGGTTCCTCCTGCAAATAATCGTGGAAAATAAAATTAATTTCTGCTTTTGAGAAACGCTCGACGAAGAAAGAGTTCGACCAGCTGGAAAACTTTGCGCGATCTTTATGGCAATAGCCGAGCATCGCGATGGCGCAGTAGGCATCGTGCCGAACGAAAAGTTCGTCGTATTTTCGACCTTGCGTTTTGCACGACGCTTTTAGCGGATATAATCGCGCGGAAACGCGGCTCGCGGACAAAGGTTTCGCTTTCGAAGATGGCGAACCGGAAGCGCGTTAAACTTGAACGCGGCGAACATTTTCGACGATCGGCGATGCTCGTGTTCGTTTTCGTTTTCGTTTTCGCTTCCTCGTCCTCGCTCGTGTTGGTTGCGCCGTTAATTACGCGTTTACGTAACGACGCGATAAAGTATAAAATAAAATATCCAACGACAATCGAGAAATCGTTTCGCGAAACGTTGTATAATTTTCCCTAAGGTATTCCGAGGCAGAACCGTTTCCTTCGCGCCTCGTGTTGCGCAACCCGCACGGAGACGGCTGGAAAAATTTATTAACAATTGAGATCGCTCTTCCACGCGTCGTGAATTAAAGATGATCGAAACTTGGAATTGATTGAAATGCGTATGCGAAATAGGAACACGATTTGGAACCGATTCCGTGACGGAACGTTCGCAGGAAGTGTGGCTCCGACGCGAGGCGTCGCGATGCTATATAAAAAAAAAAAACGCTGGCAACGCGGTTGTAGGACTTTCCTGGTACTGGCTCGGAACGTATTGCTCTTGGCTTTTCCTAGCCAAAATTTCTAATCGAAACGATGAATGACATCGGTGCTATGTACAATGAAGAGCAAAAGCGTAAACGCATCTGGTTTTCTACGATAAATGGCTATACATAGTACAGTAAAATTCTAATTATTCGGCTTAATTGGGTACTTGTACTGTATCTACATATGAAGTAATAAAAACGAGGAATATAATTACAGATCTCTGGCCATGCATTATATTGGCGGTAAAGAATTTTTTTCTCGAAAGTGTTTAGGATTTCGGGGGTATGTATATTCACCAAAAATGATTGCAATTGACCCCTGTATCTAAAAATAATTTTTCCAGAACGATATGAAAATTTTTTTTTCGCCAAAATATTTGTCCGCTTTCCTGAATTTTTTTCTGGAAAATGCGAAGGATTTCGGGGGTATGTGTGTTCACCAAAAATGATTATAATCGAACCCTGAAAGTAAAAATAATTTTTTTAGAACAATTTGAAATTTTTTTTTTTGCCGAAAAATTTAGGCACTTGCTGAATTTTTTTCTCGAAACCAGTTAGGATTTCGAGGCTATATCTATTCATCAAAAGTGATTGTAAGTGACCCCTGCATCTAAAAATAATTTTTTTAGAACGATTTGAAATTTTTTTGTTCACCGAAAAATTTAGGCACTTGCTGAATTTTTTTCTCGAAACCAGTTAGGATTTCGAGGGTATGTCTATTCACCAAAAGTGATTATAATCGACCCCCGGAAGTAGAATTAATTTTTTTAAAACGATTTGAAAATTTTGTTTTCACCGAAAAATTTGTCTACTTTCATGAATTTTTTTCTCGAAAATGCGAAGGATTTCGGAGGTATGTGTATTCACAAAAAATGATTATAATTCACCCCCGCAACTGAAAATAATTTTTTTAGAACGATTTGAAAATTTTTTTTTCACCGAAAAATTTGTCTACTTTCCTGAATTTTTTTCTCGAAAATGCGAAGGATTTCGGGGGTATGTGTGTTCACCAAAAATGATTATAATTAACCCCTGCATCTAAAAATAATTTTTCCAGAACGATTTGAAAATTTTGATTTTCACCGAAAAATTTGTGTACTTTCCTGAATTTTTTTCTCGAAAATGCGAAGGATTTCGGGGTTATGTGTATTCACCAAAAATGATTATAATTAACCCCTGCATCTAAAAATAATTTTTTTAGAACGATTTGAAATTTTTCAATTTTTGCCGTATAATCGGAACATTAATGTACCAGTTTTTTTATTTCCCGATAAACCATTCCTGAGATATAAAATATAAAGCGATACAGAGGTCGACATTCGTACGTTTCGTATTTTTGGACGCGGGGTATCTAAAAATATCTGGCAATACAAAACACCGGAGAAGGAGAGACAAATTTTAGCCGATAGCAATACTTCCACTCTGTTATAGTCAATGACAGCGAGTAAACTAAAACAACACGAGGGCGTGAGTTTGGCTCGAGCGATGCGTGGCGGAAATTTGAGTGGGACGGATTCGAATGGTTGACAGAGGTCGATGCACGAGTTTCGGAGACGGTTTTCTCGAGTTTGTAAGTTCCGCCAGAAAGTCAGATTTTTGTCGAGAGAAAGAAAATATATATATATATGGAACGAGAAACATTTTTCCCCATAAATTTCTCGAAAATTTATTTTAACAAGTGTTCAAAACGATATCCTTCGCATTCGCTAATTCCAATAAATCATACCGAACTTCTAAAATATCTGCAATTCATCTCAGCAAGGTTGATATTAATGTCAGAAGAAATGCATTTACACTTTACAGTCATTAGTCAACGTTCAAGAACATTTGGAAACAGATGGATTAGAGAATATCGTCTACATACAATTATCAAATCTTTCAGAGCGCGAATAAAAACGTTGAAGTTAATTGACGTCGCTTTTAACCAAGCTAGACGAAACCTAAAAATTAACTACGTACAACGTAAAAATACTCGATCTCCAGTGTTTCGCGGAACAAAGATATCAACAAAAGTTACACTCATTTACTATAGAAACGAACCAATTAACTTCGCTCTAGAAAAATAAAAGTAAACAAATCGTGACGAGTACAAATATTAAACCGTACGCGATGAACAAATTAATTAAAGGAAAAAGAAAGTCGAAGAATCTTTCCTACAGATAAAAGATTAATAAAGAGAAACTACGACGAATTAGACCACACGTTAAACTGAAACCGACTTGTACTCTTTCAAAAATTATTGTAGATCAAAACCGTACGCGAACGTTGGTAAACTTACATAAGATTAAGGCTTTACGATTCATGAAATGTACGAGAGGAATATTTTCTCTTCTGTTCGTTCTTCGAACAAAACGAAAAACTTTACCGGAAACGGTACATCTCGGTATTAAGATGAAAGTAAACAAGACAATTATTTTACAGTTTCAAAGTCGCTGGATGAAAATTCGCTGTCGTCGATGACTAATTTACGTTTGCATCCGATCGCGTCTCTTCCTGTTTCTGTCAAAAGGTCTGTCAAAGGAGTCGTTCGCGAAGACCTTCGAGTAGTCGCGTACAACGCGACTATTTCTGTACGAAGAAACCTCGAATGTCGCGTGAAACGTAAATCGTGTAGCGCGAAACGCGGAAAAACCAGTCGATGGACGCGACCGATCGGTCCGCGGGACAAAGTCGAGGAAGACCCTGGGAACGCGAAACCGTTCCGATCCGCGACGACCTTGCACCCAACTCCGATTTCGACAGGATCCAGTACCGGCTGGACGACGGACGCGTTTCGCGCGCGGTTGTTTTCAAACAAAGAGAGGGAATCCGAAACAAAGTAGTCAGCTGATCCGAGATGCATCTCTGGTGGGAGGGCCGAGGCGGCGAGGGCTTAAATAGCACCGCGTGGAGTTCTGCGCGTCAGTACCAGGCAGCGTCACCTGAAACGCTCTCGTTGCGATTCCTCTCGTTTCTCCTCGGAGCGCGGAAAAACCAGAAATACGCGAACTCGTACGTTCTGAATCGGTTTCCCTAAGACGAGGACCTCCATGCGTAGCATCCCGACGGAAAAGTGCATGTACAGGGCTCTTTGTGCACGATCAACGATAACCGGTGCCCGAAACATGATAGTTTCCTGATAGCGGGGGAACGAGTGCTACACAACGCTTCGAGGAGTAACGTTTGACAGATATTTTGTGCTCGAGAGGCATTCGAGAGATTACTGGTTCGCACGGATTATTCGCATTCGGAGAGATGAAACCACCGACGTACAATGACGAACGAGTGCAAGTATCTCAGGAGCAGGGAGAGAGCAACGTGGCCATGGCTGTTTGCGTGCAGTTGGCGGGCCGGGCGATCATCAGGGTGGTTTCCCGTTGCGAGGAGGCACAGGACAATTGCAATCTAGGTATGTTGTCAAAACACGCGATCAACACGCTTAAGAGTAAATTAAAACTTCTTAACAAGTCAACTACAGACGTCAATATAGATCTCTATTGGAAAGAGCAAAGCTGGCCTACATGTTCTCCCTTGAAACTGAAACACTTTTACACATCGACAAATCGCTTTGCTTTCACGATCTAACGCGCGTTACAAAATTACTTTCGATTTTCACCGCGATAGGGTTGCCATCGCAAGTGGTTCGCGCCAAGACACATTTGTGTGTTCGCATTATCGCCAGAAACGCGACGCAAAGAGGTATATTTCCTTCGATGGGTTGGCAACGCGTTAGGAAACCCATCGAGATTACCCTAACGCAAACGTTTGCGCGAACAAGGTAAATAATGCGCATAGCGAGCAACCACCGCGCATTGTTCAACTTATCAGCGACGCGTTATCGCCGTATCGATGACTAAGACCATTCATTTCCCGTACGGGATCGTTACGATTTTACAATCGTTCATCGAAGAAAGAAAGTGCCAGATCGGCCTTGGACGCGTGTAATCACGGCGTTTCAACTCGGTTTCTTTCCGCGGACGAAATCATCGCGCGAGCGAAAGTGTGATACCTCAAACGCGGAAAGATATCGGCGGCGTAGAAAGTACGAAACGCGGAGGAAACAGTTACGTCGATTCGGCGAACAATTCTATATGGTTCGACCGAGTCGATTTCGTCTTTTGTTTCCAAAACGGCGATCGTTGGAGCATAGACAAAAGGTGGAACGGTTTAACGCGAATAGAGCGCGCGTTACAGAGCGACCTTAAGGTACGAACCGTTCAGGTGACTAATAAAATTGGCAATGCGATACGTGTTTCTGGCCGGCCTTGATTCGTTGATTCGACCTGTAACGAGCTCGACTTTCAAACTACTGTCGCGAATTAGCTCGCGTTACGTTGCGTATGGCCGTTTGAAGAGGGACGTTGACACAGGATCGTAGGAGGATCGGTGGTAGTCGATGATCGTTACTTACGTACCACCCCGTACACTCCCAGCCCAAAAATGAAGCACGCGTGATCTGAGGATTTCTTTCTTCTATGGTTATACGTCCGCAGGATGAATCTGCAAAAGAATTATTTTATAATGCAAGGCTCGTATCGTTTTGACGGTGAGTGTACATTGCACGACTCGCTTCCTGATTCAACCCGGAGGAAAGAACGAGTCTCGGGTCCTTGCCTTATCCGTGCACCCGGATAGATTTGTGTCCTTTCTCAATGCCGCCTCGTCCAGCTTTGGTCCCGCGACGACGTCCACGGGGAAACCGTCTGGCAAAACAGTATTCAACAATGAGTTCTCGCGCGGCACCGTGTAAAATTGTTAAAAATAAATACTAGATTTCTAATCGGTAACTGGCGAAAGTCTCGAAGCGGAGAAAACGAGAGCGAGAGGTACTCGGTAGTTACGCTCAAGGCATCACTCTACGTACAAACGCGTGTCTCTGTAATAACGCTCGTTAGCGATCCACGGGAAGAAATGGCTTCGCAATAAGCTTCCAAGTACCCGTCGACCACAGATCCTTTTTGCAAAAGAGACAACGACCGACGGTCACTCTTCGTCCCCGAGCTACCAAGAAATCGAACTACTCCTCGAAGGCTCGACGCGTGCTCCGTGCCATTGCATCAAGTCACAAGTACAACGAATCAAACTAATATTCGGACCCCATATAATTTTTTTTAAAGCAAACAATATGCAATTTCTATTTAGCCCAGAGTGTCCCTGATCTCCGTTCCATCGAGTCAAGTCACAAGTACAACGAATCAAACTAATATTCGGACCCCATATAATTTTTTTTTAAAGCAAACAATATGCAATTTCTATTTAGCCCAGAGTGACCCTGATCTTAGATCCTGATCTCCGTTCGATTGAGTCAAGTCACAAGTACAACGAATCAAACAAATATTCGGACCCTATATAATTTTTTTTAAAGCAAACAATATGCAATTTCTATTTAGCCCAGAGTGACCCTGATCTGATTTGATCTGTATTTTTGAGGGGTCAGATATCGTGTTGGGACTTGAGATTTTAGTTCAGTAAACGCATCGAAAGTGTCGTAACGATTCGTACGCAATATACCAAGCGATAACTAGATGTTGGTCGGTGCACGTAACAGGTAGAGGTGTTCCTCGCCGGCGGCTCGTGCATCAATTCGAATAAAAGTGAAATGCTTAGTCGGGGTTCTGGCATAGATAATCGGTCGGATAAACATTGCGTTGCACAACTCGTGTCCGGTCTTTGTTCCTTGCCGGTGCACCGATTCGAGGTGGTCGCGTGGCTCTGCGAGCGGGGATTCCCCGTTAAAAATTAGCCCTGAAAGCAGTTTCGATACCGTATTAAAATAAAACAGAATCGCTTCGTCTAACAAAAATAGTCTACGTGAACGAGTTTTAGTTTGAGCCGCCGTGAGTCAACGGTCCATCACCAGGGAAGATCTCTTGCACGTTTTGGAGGCATACGCGTACAACGAAAGGTCAATCTCGGAATAGTGAACTGCCACGGGGCCTTGGCAGCGTAAATACGCACGCTTTGCATGCCGCGCGATAGTCGTTCCTTCTTCCTGATCCTTTTTACATGTATTCGCAACAAAGCCCTGCTGAATTACTCATTCGTTGCGTCATTTGATTATTTCTCTTATTGCCGTCGCGGCTATTCGAATTCAACTCTTGTTTTACATAAAGTCTATCAGTCCCTTAGATAAAACTTACGACGTATATGCGAGAAGAAAGCGAACTCACCGAGAAAATAGCTCTTCCTTGCGTTCTATGTTGTGCATCAGATCGTCTCATAAATCGTGTCGTACATAAACACAATTAACGTTATAAATGACCCAGTGCTTTATCGAGTGATTCAACCTGCACTTTGGTCGTTCGGTCCGAGCGTTGGCCTGGAAAAAAAAATAATTATATTAGTACACGTTCAACGCGAATAGATAGGTTATAAATAAATTTGTTTGGTCAGAGGTGGCTGAATTTCTGGTTTCGATTTAAGTACCGACAATAATTTCGTACCTGCAACGCACAGCAAGATTGGGTTCCTTCGTATCGACGCGGTAAAACGCGCGTGTATGCGACTCGTGATACGTGAATACAGGTACGCGAGGCGCCACCATGTATGGAAACGTAACCTTAAATGGTAACTTGTCGCCGAAGCCATTTACTACTTTATTGCAAAAAGTCATCGTCACTGTCAATACATACAGTAAAACATAGTCGGTTAGCCCGCTCGGTTAATAACGTTGGCATTCTCACGATGCGACGCGTTTCGGCGTAATAAAAAGACGCTACGCGGTATTCGACGGAAAAAAGGCGGTTCTTCGCGGTCGAAACTTTTCAAGCGTTCGATACCGTACGAACATTTCAAACAGTTACGTTATCTTGTATTTATTTAAACAACTATATCTTACCTATTATGCGGTTAACAATAAGGAAGACTCACAGATCGAATTTGCGTAGAAATATTCTTAACGATGAAAATCGCGAACCGTTAACTGGAACCGAATCGAAGGAAAGCGCGACCAGTATTGGAAGCGACGGCGCAGGCGTAACAAAGATGGCGGCCGAGAATCTAGCGCGGTATCAAACAAGCGAATGTCCCGCGTCTACTTTCACACTTTTGAAATACGTCCAACGTTATTTTCCAATTCTTTAAAATTAAAATTGAAAATTTACAAGGCGCAGCGACCGTGCCAGAAGTATAATTATCTGTGTAAACATGCAAGTGCGAAGAAAGTCTTAAAAAAGAATTATCGTTCTGCGTCCCGTTCTCGCGAAGCGTGAACTTCCGGAAAGTAGAATGAACGTCAAGGCCGGTGAACGGATCCTATTTATTCCTGATATTCGTCGAAAATAAATGTTCCGCGATAGGGTGGCTAGACGGCGGATCCGAGAACTCGTAGCGATTTCAGTCTGCCTTGGCAAGATGGCGAACGCCGTCACGAGAGTCGTGTTACGCTGCGAAGAAGCACAGGAGAACGAGAGCCTTGGTAAATTGTTTTTTACAAACGATACGAAAAATTAATCGACCGGGCTACCGGTACTCCGTTTCTGATCGAAATATGCGCTTGATCTCTTTCGATTCGTTGTTCCGCGCGATGATACTTTGATCTAATTTGTGACCTACTTTTTGCTGCTACAGGTGTAATCGCGGGTTTTATAAAAAAAAACATTGTGTATGCTGTTTAAATGTCAAACATCGTTGGTAGACCTTTCGTTCAACGCGAAGGGATACAGAGTATATTAAATTAACGTTGTCACGACCAGTGCTCCGAAATTGAACATTTCAGTAATTATGCTCGCGTAATATTGATACACTGACCTACTTCTACAGCTGATCTGTTAAAAGCACAATATGACGTAGCGCCGTATTTACGATTCGATCGCGACAATTACGTGGGAACACTGTTTTCCACAATACGCAATTTGCAATGTTATTTTTTAATTACTGTTGCAGATTTGTCGGAATGCCAATTAATGCAGGTACCTGATGCAGTATATCACTTAATGAGACACACGGAATTGAAAAGATGCGATCTTTCTGGGAACGTGATAACAAAAATTCCACCAAAATTTGCAGTGAAATTTTCATTAATCACCGGTAAGTCTGACAGTGTAACATACAAGCTGTTTCTTTCACGTTGCACATTCTAAGCTAAGAATATCAAGGATTTAAAACTCGTGTTCGTTTCCTCCTTGCTATCAGTAATTTTTTATATATTTTGCTGTAGTATAAACAGGTAATTGTTTCCAGAACTGAACCTGAGTCACAATCAAATGAGCAAGCTGCCAGAGGAACTCGCCGAGTTGCAAGCTTTAGAGAGGCTGAACATTTCGCATAATACCTTCATTGCTTTGCCACCTGTTACTTGTCGGATACCACAGCTGAAGCACCTGCATGCCAACAACAACTCTATCATCGGTAGGTGTCGTAAGTCTTTGTTATGCAAGAAGGCGTTTCGGTTGCTCGAATCGCTTGATCCAATTTAAACGATTATATCAATGTCTAAATCTCGACGCGTTCGTTCCTCAGACGTAGACATCGAGAGACTGAGGCACGCTCCAGTTTTGGAATTTATTGATCTACAAGCTAACCCGCTCACGCCCAGAATGCACGATCTTCTCGGCACCTTGACCCGGATTCGGATCGAATTGACGCCCAGACAGGTCGAGGAATGGGAAGATCTTACTATCTGAGGCGGGTCCACGCCGCATGGAGAACAATCAAATCTGCCAAAGGGGCGGATCGTCGAATATTCGTCCTGCGTGGACGTAGTTTGCTTCCGTTTATCTTGACTGAGATGGTTCAAGGAGTTCGCGAACGAATCGTTTCCGCGAACCATGAACGAACAGCAAGTATTTTGTACAGTGACTGTATATGATCCAACCGACAACGTGGCGCGGGCGATAAAGCAGGAAAAAACCGTACCACCTCGCCGGAAAGCATATAAACTCTTTGTAACTGACGTTCCTCGCGGTCAGTACTTAACAGCAAAGACTTGCCGGGTACCTGGAAACTTTCTGCATTGATCTCGTGAATAACCGATCGTCGCTTCCTCTTCCCGTTTTATACCGTGTGTTTTCTCTTTTTTTTTTCTAGATTTTATTCGGCCGCTCGCACGTTTGGCCGCGCACCGCTGTGATTGATGTACGCGCGTTGCATCGCGAGCCGCCGATCCAACTTATTACCATAATTTATACTAACTCCGTACAAGTATCCTGTAAATTTAAGATACGTTTTATTATTTTTTATGCGTGGACTTGACATATTGCGACATATTGTGTATAATCAATCGTGCGACTGCCAATGTACGGGCGATCGACTGCTGACATACTCGCTACAAACGAGCCGTCACTTTAATTTTATAAACACACACACACACACATACACAAAAAGAGAGAGATTTATATAAAGAGCATAATCCAGGTATAATTGTCGATTACGTGAGAATTGACAGCTTTTCTGTGTTTAGATTATGTATACGTATAGGCTTGCAAGGGAACTTTGCAAGAACGTTTATATTTAATTTATATCTAGCTATGTGTACATGCACAATACACATCAGAATGTATTACTCTGTATTTTTGATCTAGTCAATTGTCCGCGAAATGTTGCAATATACTTTACGAAACACAATCCCCTGTTTTTATTCTCTCAAACGCACCCTCCTTTCTATCCATTGAAAAAGTGTTAAGTGATGTTATCTGTTTTGCGTGTAGGTTCGGCACAGTAGTCGCATAAAATAACCAAATGCAATACATTGGTTTAGTACCTATATTTTTTCAATATTAATAATAATAATAATAATAATAATAATTAAACGTATAATGAGTCACAGAGTTAATTATCTACAATACTTGTTCATGGATATAAAATCACAAAATATACATAGAATGGACGCGGTTTAATGTTAAGAATTAAGGTAGACATACGGACTTTCTTTCCTTTTTTTTTTTCGTTACTTCTATCGTTACCTAGCGATTCCCGTTTCACTCTCGCAAAGTGATTGTAACAACACGTGTTAACAATCGGTTTGCACCAGCAAAAAGTTCATTCCCGGTCGAAGTCGTTTGCTGCGCATGAAAAGTGACTATCGGCTGTTATCGATTCTCAGGCGTATCGACCGTCTCGCGACCTAACGATAAATACAAAAAAGAAAAACGTCCTCCGTGGGTCGCGCGCGCGCTGGCATGGCCATTCGAAACGCAGCAATGCTTAACGATAAAATTGTATACGTCGTTCGCAGCGAATAATCACGGCGAACAAACTGGCAGCAGCTACGGCAGAGGCGAGGGCCACCGAATTATCTCTTTCATTTAATTTGCGTATTTGTGTATCTTATATACCGAAGCTACATTCCTTTTTTTTAATGAGTGATTATAGTATCATATATATAATTATATACATATACATAGTTTTTTTAATACGCGATAATATATACGACTAAACGATCTCGATACATCGCAATCGAATCTAGGACGAATCTAGGCATCAGTAACGGCGGTAGCTGGAACTTCACCTCCAAACGCGAGGAAACAGCGGCGTTTTTTTTTTAAAGAAAATAGCAAACGCCGTTGTTTCCCACATGCCCACGCGTATGAAAAAGCAAACACCGTCGCTTCGCGCGATACGTCGAATCTGGCACTCGCACACGTACCACTCGCTCCCATTCTTCCTCCCATATCCCTTGCAGTATGTACACAAATGTATCCTAACTAAATTCACATCCAGGCAACACCATAGAAAACGAAACTTGGCCGACCAATGTTCGGAATCTACTTGCTGTACAGAGCACCGACCTAATCACCTTCCATTTACGGTTAAAACAAACACGTCGATTAATGAGCTAACACAACGATAGAAAACAATAACGACTCGAAGTAAATTGTAAAGTAGCGGCACCACGCTCCTCGTCGCCGGCAAAGCCAAGAAACGCAGAAAAAAAATAATAGATTTCCGTCATCGTGTCCGTACCCGTGTTTTACTTTTACGAGACGTTACAGTTTCTTGACCCTCGGCAACGATCGTGAGTCTTCTGCTTTACAATCGAGTTGATACCATAAAAAAAAAAAATAAAAATAAGGTAGATAAAAACTCGTGCAGGTTACAACAATCGCAATTTCTGTGTGACGTGTAGGCGGAGCACATATTACATAGATGAAAACTAGTCACTTTCTTTAGTAGAGCTGCAAATTGTTCGCTTGTGCACGACTAAAGTACAGAGGCACATTTCCAGGGTCCACCGAAGCGATCGGTGGGGGCGTGCTTTTTTTTCATAGAAAACTGTACCGTACTTCAGCAAATATCGAACGGCGCGTACGATCGAACCCTTTCAACGGTCGGACGTAACGTCACTCTAAATAACCGTACCGATCTTTTATATCCTATTCGGAATTAATTAAGTTCAGGTCAGCGATCGATTCACTCGACGTAACCCAGATCCCGGAACGTGAAACGGCGTTTTACGTTTCTTTATCCATGTTCGATAAGCTGATGGAAAAACCGAGGAAAGTGTGTTGGGACGTAATTGACTAAACGTAACCACGTTGGCACATATTAATAATCTTCGTTCGAAAATCGTCCATTAACGTTTAGGCCCACGATTTAACAACGGAATATCCCCGAAATCCTGTGCCGATCGACCAACACATGACCCTCGACTGGTAGAAATCACGCAAGATCGCTATCTTTTATCGTCCAATGTACCGTATTGAACCAATAGCATCAATGACCTTCCTCTTTGAAGCTTTCCACTTCGTGATTGTTTAACGTCCTAAGAGAAGTGGCTAAGTGTTATAGAGATGACACTCTATGTAAGATGTAGGTACAAAGCCCTCGATCGGTTGAGATATACGTCGTACGCGCGTCCAGCCATCCCCTTGATCTAATTCGATCATGTACAACTCTTCTCCATCGTACATAGGTATGGAACCTTCGCTGGTCGCTAAAAACACAAACGTGCGATTTACATTTGCCCCAAAAACGGTTCTGACTTAACACTTTACCGACCGGTAGCCTATTAATCGACATTTTACCGACCGATAGCCGATAAATCAGTTTTTTTACCGGTCAACACTTTACCGACCGGTAGCTTATTAAACGGTTGTCATGAAAATAAAAAATATCACTGGATTTAATTACCCTGTAATTACAGAAAGAGAACAATATAGTAACCACTGTCGCAAAGTTTCATTTAACATTCCTATAAGTACAAGAAAAAGTAGATATATAATCTAGGATCAATCGGTACCGGTCGGTAAAGTGTTAATAGCAAATAACGAGGCTTCTCTCTAAAATAAAAAGATTCGACACAGTCTTTTGTTCGGAAACAACAATGGACGTCTGTCGTACAATACGCTAAATACTGAGTCGAGTAACACACGTACCATCGAAAGGATAAAGAGCCCTACACGTTCCCAATGGTGGTTGAGCATCGATCTCGTCGACATAATACTCCTCGCCGCCGCTACCAGGAAGAGACGTCCTCGATTCCCCAAGGCCAGATTCCGGGCTATTCGTGGAACTGTGCATCAGTACCGTAAAGCGAAAAGCGTGTCTAATTGGTCTAGTTTAAAAATTCTGATTCTGTGTTTAGATGAGTTCGGAAACTCATCGTTATCGCAACGATTCCTCCGTTAACAAGGAGACGGGGGGAAAAAAACAGAGGTGATAGAACCGTTCGCCTCGAGGATCCTGAGCAGTAGTCCGCAAAACAAATATCGTCGATTAAAAGCTTACCCGTGCGTGGGTTGAGGGGTGCCCGGAGCGCTCTTCTTGTGCGTCGGTTGATTGGCGTTCGCGTTGCTCACGCTGGAATCGGACGCTGATCTTGAAAGACTCTCCTCCCCACCCGAGTGACTGGATCTTCTTGAGCTCAACGGCCTCGTTGCGGATCCGTTGCTGGTCGGTTTCCGTGGCGCTTGACTGGGACTGGAAAATTTTCAACCGTACAATACAACGCTGCCGGGCTAAGTAGATCGTGACAGACGATTGAAACGTCAGCAAGGTCACCTGGATAAACTGACGCCGGCGCGCATTGCTTCCTCGAGATAACCTTGGAACTTTGCCAGCTCCGCGCCGAGTTTGTCCAGCTTGTTGCCCGATTGGTTCAATTGACCCTCTATACTCATTGGATCGCCCAACGCCGGATTCTGTTCGTACACGCCCTTCATCTTCATCAAACCGTCCCTGGCCGCCGTTTCCTGTTGAATCTTCGCCTGTATTTCGTCGAGCCTTTGTTGCAATCGCTTTTTGCGCTGGTTCGGCGGCAAATCGCTGCAGTCCTCCTTCGCCCCGTCGCCATACCCAGGCACGTTATTCTAGAATTGTTTCGATTAAGTACCAGTATCTATCGGTAACGCACGATCTATGAATGATTTAAGTATATGCGATGGAGAACAAAGGAGAAGAAAGCACGCGACGATTACAGGTACAATACAATGTACGAATTAAGTCTACGTCACGGTTGAATGTTAACGAGAACGTAAAATCAAGGTTTGCCAATGTTATATGCCTCACTATCACGAGCATACTGATCGAACCGGAGACCGAACGAAACTGTTTACGCTTTTCGTTGGTTCTCATGTATAGAGGTAGCTTTTGTTTACGGTTTCGTTCGACCTCAAGGTTCGAACTATCGACGAAATAAAATATAGGTTCGACTCGAGCGTATACAGGCACTTGTTTTTCGAAACTGTGATCCCTACACGAGTTATCGGACCTTGGACAGTTTTGGTAAACAATTGCCCGGTTACGCGCGACTATTTATGCAGAAATTTTGTACACATAGCAGAGAAATTACGTGAAAACCTCTAGACGGTTCTCGATATTCTGGTAAGAACTGTCAAACAAAAGACAATGGGCGATTGTAAAGAGAAGGACAGACCTTTAAAGCTATGCACGCCTCGATCAACTTCTGTCGTTCGCATGAAACAAATTCCAAAAGCGTATCATTCAGCGCATGAATCGGTAAACGATCTCAGGCGATAGCGTTGAGTAAAAACTCAGTTCCCTTTCTGTTTTTAACACATTCACTGCCTCGACAACAGTACATCTACTATATTAAAAGTATTATACGAGTTCAAAGTGCTAGTCACGACCACCATGGCAGTCAATGTGTTAAGGGGGTATTTCGATCTAGAATTTTGAAAAAATTTGTAAAAATAGAGGCTTGAATATGTTTGATTTTTTTTTTATAATGTTTTACATGACATCTCAAGATCTAATAGGTCGATTGACTTCAGACTTGTATAGAATGGTAATACATGTTGTAAAAATTAGGCTTAAAAATTGTAGACTTTCCAAACCGGAATACCCTCCTAATTTCGTCATACGTGAAACGTTCAAAGACTCTTTCGAGCCTCTGAGTCTTTACTCGACCGAGAGGATACATCTAACGAGTGGCAATCTCTCGGTACAGTTGGATGCAGAATAGATATATATGCTGGTGTTGCACACATTGGCAGGCGAGCAAGCGATCCATAACGTACTTACTAAGCACAATTGTATCCAAATTCATAGTCCACAGGTGATCGGAAACAAGAGACCACAGGCAGATCGAACCATCCACCAAATTAATAAAAAGTACAGAAGAAAGATAAGTTATGCTTGCCTCGCGGTTAAACGACGCGTACATTTATTACGATCGACGTGACCGGGCAAAAAAGTGGAGAAAGAACGTCGTACATGTTTCACAGAGAAAAAAAAAAAAAAAATTAAAATACGAATGGCTATGATTTGAACAAGTCGACGGATACCAATTGCACGGTATATGTTACACATGCCTCGAAAAGTCTGTGTGCACGTTACAGGCCTGCCGACCGACGACGATGCAACTGTGCGTTGGAAAACAACAATACAAAAAGAAAAAAAAAACACGAAAAGACAAGAGGGACCGTTTCGTGCATGTCGTAAACTATATCTTGTTCTTACTCGTGTTTTGACATTCTTGGCGAGACAGAGAGAGAGAGGGTGTAATTGGGATGCTCACAGTAATGTCCGTGATACAATTGGAAACTACGATCGTTTCTGGCGCGTACGAACAACATTTACCTTGTTGCTACTGAATATCCCGAAAATCCCGACCCTCTTTTTGATCTTGCCGCCGGAAACGGTGCCCTTCACCGTCAAATGGTGATTGTGTATCGGCTGCATCACCGGCTGCGACAGCTGACTATTGCTGTCGTACGTTTTAGCCACGGATAGATCCTCGAACGGGAAATCGCCCGGCGGTTGGAAACCGCTCTTGTAACGCTCGATCACCAGCATCGTGTCTTCTTTCTCGTTGATCACGTTCGCCGCTTTCTCGATACCGCCCAAACACTGGGCGATTATCGGCGCCACCGCTCGTTCGATTTCCACAGACTTCAACATATAGTTTCGCATGTTCTTTATCCGTTTCTCGTCCAGCTCCTAAAAACAAAACGATATCCGTTAGATTCGAGTCGATAAAACAGTCTTAACACTTTGACGGCCGCTGTCACGTATACGTGACTTCGCCAGCTAGAAGACGTTGGCCACTGTCACGTGTGCCGTGATCTACTGTATCAGTCGCCATTTTATTGTTACGTTTGTTGAAGTTACATTTATAATTCCTTGTAATAATATTCCTAGCATCTTCGTGCATTTCACTTTGGTCTACAATATCAGTGGTGGCCATTAACACTAGATTGCCCAAGGAAGTAATTTTGACTGCTTTTTAATTTCAATTAAAAAAACAATTATGTATGTAATGACACAATTTCTTAGAATTTTGTGACTTTTTGTACAACATATAAATACGTTTATTAATAATTGTAGTTACCTCCCCCCTCCTTCATTTCATTATATTGCCCAGAAGCAGTAATTTTGACTGCTTGGGAAATTTTAAATAATCAAATGACTCTTATTTTTGAATCGAGTAAATTTCTTATATGACCAGTTTGGCTCTATATTGAAATAACAGTTTTCATTTGTTTTTCGATTACCAACACATGATAACATACAAGTAAGTGATAAATTGTCGATTTGATATATAATATAATAAGCTAAAGTAGTACTTGTTATTCGAATCTTTATGCAGTGATAATTGTAATCTAACAAGTTGTTAAATTCATAATATTAAAACCTAATATTAAAAATTAATTTTAAACAAATTTTTTTACACACTAGTTATTCTTTCACAATGTAGTCATTTTGACTGCCTTTAGGCAATATAGGTATATACTAAGTTTCAGTCTTTCCAATGTTAAAGTGTTAAAATTAAAAGGCCATCGAGTCGCGATGAAAAAAAAAGAAAGAACTACCTGAAGGTGTTGAAACACTTCTGGCATGGCCGTGTGATAGTGCAGCGTCTGCATGTCGTTTGTTTTCTGCAATTGATTCGCGTACTCCGTCTTGGCCTCCTCGCTCTGTTGTGTTTTCAACGTCATGTTCATCCTCTGTTTCTCGACCTGGAAATATCAAGGAACGATGAATAAATCTGTACAGAGAGCTATTTCTCGCGTTATCTAAAAATGTTTCGATTCGAGAGATCGGAAGGTTAAAGGTGACGTGGGATTAATATAGTGGAAAGCGACGTACTTCCGCCCTCGAAAGATTAAGATCCGCGTCCGCCCTCTGATAATTCTCGACGGACCTTTCCGCCTCCCTGAATGCCTTCTCGTAGGCCTTCCTGGCGCGTTCCAGATTCCCGATCTGACCGGTCAGGGTCGTCATCAATCTGGCGCCCTCTTGAAGGTACTTTTTACGATCCTCCTTGAAGTCTTTCACGAGGATGTTCAACTCCCTCAACACGTTCGCCTGAAGATTCTCCGCGATCACTTCTCTCTGACCCGCCTGATCGTTCACCTCGTTCAATTCCATCTTGAATGCCCGACAGGGGCTGTACCTGCACGTGGACAAATTTAAGTAGAGAACATTTCAGCCATGGAAACGAGTGATTTCGGGTATTCGTTGCCACGACACGGAAATACGGATCGTATATCGTGGCTATCGAGTGGCTAAATTGGTCCGCGGTTTGGGCCCGTTGGAACGAAATATTGAAAATATTTTCGACCATAAAGGGTCAAAAGGGCCCGTTGAATCGCGGCGAGAACATCGATACTCGTTTCAGCCATGAAAACGAGTGATTTCGGGTATTCGTACGACGCGGAAATACGGACCCGAATATAGTGAGTCGAGTGGCTAAATTGGTCCGCGGTTTGGGGCCCGTTGGAACGAAATATTGAAAATATTTTCGACCATAACGACGAAATACGGACCGAATATTGGGACCTGTTGAAACGAAATATCAAAAATATTTTCGACCATAAAGGGTCAAAAGGGCCCGTTGAATCGCGGCGAGAACATCGATACTCGTTTCAGCCATGAAAACGAGTGATTTCGGGTATTCGTACGACGCGGAAATACGGACCCGAATATAGTGAGTCGAGTGGCTAAATTGGTCCGCGGTTTGGGGCCCGTTGGAACGAAATATTGAAAATATTTTCGACCATAACGACGAAATACGGACCGAATATTGGGACCTGTTGAAACGAAATATCAAAAATATTTTCGACCATAAAGGGTCAAAAGGGCCCGTTGAATCGCGGCGAGAACATCGATACTCGTTTCAGCCATGAAAACGAGTGATTTCGGGTATTCGTACGACGCGGAAATACGGACCCGAATATAGTGAGTCGAGTGGCTAAATTGGTCCGCGGTTTGGGGCCCGTTGGAACGAAATATTGAAAATATTTTCGACCATAACGACGAAATACGGACCGAATATTGGGACCTGTTGAAACGAAATATCAAAAATATTTTCGACCATAAAGGGTCCAAAGGGGACCGTTGAATCACGGCAAGAATATCGATTTCAGCCACGAAAACGGGTGATTTTGGGTATTCGTTGCAACAACGCGGAAATATGAACCGAATATCGTGACTATCGAGTGGTTAAATTGGTCCGCGATTTGGGGCCTGTTGGAACGAAATATCGAAAATATTTTCGACCATAGGGGGTCAAAGGGGACCGTTGAATGGCGGCCCACGCGAACGAATGCGAGACGAGAAAAGAAGCGCGCTGGGCCGTAGGCGCGAACCGACCGAGTTACTGAACTTATAAAGAGATCCGCCCACGCCTTCAGATAAGAGATTAGCTACTGTTTTCCGTCGTGACGCGCACGGAATGGCAAAGAGCCGTACGCGACAGAATTTTTCCTTTCTCGGGGCGTTCACTTTCCGCTTCGAGACGTTGGGATCTCTGCGGTGTAATATCACGAATTTCCATATTTCGTTCGATGAAAAACGGTAACCCCAACTTTGTCTAATTCGGAATTTTACAGAGTTACGAATTTTACCAAAGATTCAAACTATGGGATATTTGACTTTTGGTGGAATCGGGAAACGACCCGTTATAGAAATCAGCTGCGACCGACTGGAAGCATATCGGTCCCGGAACAGAGAGAATATCAGAAATCGATGTTCGGGAAAGAAACGAGGAACGCAAAAAGTCCGGGGGAATTCCATCGGGGAAACGAGGCGTGTATTCTTTCCAGAGATCGTTTGTCTCTGGACGGAGATCGTCTATTAAAATGCAATTTATGCGTCGGGCCAGGAAAACAAAACGACGCCATCTTTGTATTTCGAGCGTACGCGAAACGAACGAAAGAAACGGTGCTTTCTAAATTTTTTTTAAAAACTGAATAACTAAACGAATAATTAAACTGAATTAATAACTAAACGTTTGAATAATTTTTTAAACGGGAATTATTTTGAAGGATTTATTCGCGTCGGGGAGCGCATCACTGCCGAGCCGTGGATCCGGTATTACGCCTGAACGTTGGCTCATACTCACTGATAATCCTCCTCCTCCTTCTTCTTGGGTTGATAGCTCTTCACGAGACGTCTGCAATCAAAAACGAAACGAGATTACCGATGCACGTGCATCGTACGTACCGCGAGAAATATTGCGCGGGCTGACCATCTCTGGACGATGAATAATTTGCCGGTAAACGTTGGAGAGGAACGCGTCGTGTAAACGTTGTCTCCTTTTTCGGTACGAGACGTTGTTCTCGTGGTTCGAATCTCGGTCGAACGACGGGACGAAGCGAAAATGGGAACAGTTCGAAGTGAGAAAAAAAAAAGAAAGAAAAAGGAAACGTTACGCGGTGAATTACGGTTTCCGTGAAACGGACTGGCATTTTTCGAACATCGATGTTACGAATCGCGTTTAGTCATCCGCGGGACGAGAAAACAACGGACCGAGTCATTCTGCGTTCGAAACGACGGGGGCCACGGGCGAGCGATAAATGTGTGTCGACTTCTAAATACACTATCATCCGGAAGTTGACGTGTCCTTGATACCAGATCAACCATACGTTGCCAGTTCCGAGCCGCGCGCCGAAGCTGGAAAATGTACGGCGATTTCTAAAATACCCGGCTCTTTGTAAACCGCGAATCAAGTTCACGTGTGCTCGTAGATTCTCAATCCTAAAACCAAAGAAGCTTGGAACGTAATTATATACGAGTATTGGTACTCTCGTTTATTCGTATAACAATTTCAATTTGTGGGGGGGGGGTCGACTTGCACAAACTTAGAAAAACGCTTGGCGAAGTTGTCCTCGACAATATGGCCGCCGCTGTGCGTGCAAGTTATTTTCGAGTCTGCTCGAGAGCTCTGGCTTTCGCTAGGTCTGGGTTAATATCCAAAACATGGGACAGCTGGTTTCTGGGTCAACACGAGAGTTCCCCTTTCCACGCCATGCCTGGCTGTCTAAAAACTGCGAAAGCTATTTTCCAGGGATACGGTGAGGGTCCCCCCCCCTTCAAGCTTCGATCGTTGCCCCGAAAATTAACGCGGTCATTACGGAGCGGGAAAGTGTGTTTCTCTTCGATAACGAGTGATAGGGGAAAACTAGCCTAAATCCTTCGAGGGGATATTGGAAGTCGAGTGCTTGCGAGAGAAACGGGTCCCTCTGGCGGCGAGTACGGGAAGCAGTTGTACGTTTCCATAGTTTCTTACGGAAGAAACTTTTAAGTCTACTTTGGGGTTCGTTTAATAACGAGTAGTTTCTATACTCGATTAATTTTCTCTACGAAATTTTGCACGATTTATTTGCAACAATATTGCAAAAAAGTGCAAAATTGATGAACGTCTGCCATTGTCCTTTGCTTCGATGGATGGGAAGGTCGAACGCAAATGGGTGGATCTAGTTCCTCCGCGACGGAACGCGCTAATTACTCCCCCCCAGTGAAACTAGGAGATACCGAAACGGTCTCGATTCGAAGAATGTTGCACTTGCGCCGTTCGGAATGCGTCTAATGAAAATCAACGGCGCAACGAGGGAAACTGCCGCGCGGCAAACGGTACTCCATTTGTACGAGTAACACGGGCATGTATCGTTGAAATTACGGCGCATTAAGGCCCGGGGAACGTGCTCGTGATAATTTATATGCAGTGGAACGAACGTGCCCGGGATAGACGTAAGCGACGAGCACGCGGAATCATTCGCCGGGTTCACACGCGCGTACCGATTAAGGGACAACGATAACGTTTCGCGATAATTAAGTAACCAGATTCGAAACGCAACGTGCGATCAAAGACCACAAAGTAACGCTTAAACTATCGTCCGATTCATAGAAAGTATCGGATCGTACGGTAAGTTCACAGTTCTTTGTGTTATTTGAATAAAAAAAAAAAAATTTTTTTTACAGGTTTACCACGCGCGGTAGCATCGACGTACGGATAACATGCTTTCGGGACACCCGTTAGAACAAAAGTGTGCAACAGTAGACGGCATTCACGAGACAAACAAGGGGGCCCTTTAATACAATATTACTCCGGCTACATCTTGCGTCCGTGAACTCATGGGGTGCGTGAGACACGCTCATTATACAGGATGTCCCATTGAAATCGTTAACCTCGGATACTCCGCCCTTTGTTAATTTATGAACAAAAGAAAAAGCGACGTGCACGTCAAGGCTGGAGAGCGTGCACGACGCGACCGCGACGATAAATCCTCTATGCACGCGCTCGCGACAGGTGATTCCGATTGATAATGAAAACCCCCCCGGGTTCGAGACGCTTCTTACCTGAGCTTCGCGGCGTACTCCACCTCGATGGCGCATCGGTCGCGAATAAAGTGGCCATACCTTTCGAGGAACTCTATCCCTTTTTGCGTGTGCAGGGATAGATTCTCGAACTGGTCCTGCAACGAAAACAAAACGGACAAATTGAACGACGGGTAACCTTTTACGTTTTTCAGATCGTAACACGCTTATTTCCGTTACGATTTCGTTAAATTTCTTCTCGAGCGCGGGACAAAATGGCGTGTGTGTCGGTTCGCGACTCGCGGATGCACGTCCCGTGTTCGTCGACGTCTGCCAAGAGAGAACGAGACGGGCAATTTTTTTCGATCGCCAGAGACGAGCGGAGTCGTCGACTGAGAGAACCTATTGGCACACGTACGCTGCCCGTCCTACCCGGGACAATGAGCGGGTTTCGCAACGCTGTAACGGCCGGTGGAAAGATTTCTGACCGTTTAGCGGCTCGCCACGAAAAGTGAAACTGGACTCCGGGGTGTTGCGTTGCCGCAACGTGCTCGCTTGCCTGCATAGCGCGGAGACTAGAGGCCAGATAGACCCATAGGCCCCGCCGTTTATCGGCCTTATGAATCGCAAAACGCTGTTGCACGCCGTCAGCCTCGACTTGCTCTTTCTTCTGCCGACCAATTTCCCATTCAGATATCGGCCGACTTCCCGTGAATGGAGCACGTTACACAGGATGCTTCTAAATGACTGGTAAAAACCACGTACATTCTGTGTTTACCGTGTTCGATACCGCCGCGCCAAAGTGTGGAAAATTAAATCGATCGAGAGTGATTAACGAGACAAACCTAACCCCAATCTGCCAAGTTTTGTAGCCCCCATTGTTCCATGAGTCAGGGAGTCGCAACAGTGATCCAATTTAGTTTAACCGTCGATGTATCAGATTTCGATAAAAATGTTACGCGATCGTTATCTGTAAATCTGGTGTTGGTATTAGCGCCCAACGCCATAAAGGATATTGGCGAGATCGACAACGGTCGATAACGAAGTTATTGGTAAAAAAATAAGCAGCGCCATCGATCGTGACTCACCTATAGAGTTCGAGTTAAGTAGATCAAAGCAATAAATACGCGATCCTGAATCGTGTATTCGTTGGAAAATCTATCAAAGATCGTTGTTTGGTACGCAACTCGGAAGTCGAACTCGTGATAAATTACGCTATTATGCAACGAAGCCGTACAGGAAATTGAAAGTTAGCACGTTTAGACGAAACACTCGAGGTTACCGAACGCTGGTTAGAATTCGTTTTTACCCTCGTTGCTCGCCCGATTACCGTCTCGGAAACCTTACTTATCGATCAACCCCCGCATTCCAGCAAGTCAAAATTTTCACCACTGATTCACCTAACCTCTAAGAACGCATACCTTTATTCCTGCCCAAATACCCTACGTGGACGTGAACTGGTTAATCGAAAACACGATTCATTCATGCCAACTTTTTGGAATATTCTATAGTGACAACGGTAGCGACGAAGTAGCGAGAATTCCCATGGTTCTGGGAACTATGGAATAACGACACACTCGCCCGCAGCGGAGTCATGGAATGTAAGCTTTATCGTTCAAGGACGATCCTGTCTTTCAACATTTACGCTAGCCGCGGCTTAAGGACAAATCGAGCTCCGTTCCAGCGTTTACTCGGATCGTGTTCGAAGAAAGAGAGTGGCCGAGAGAGGGGAAACAGGGGTTAGAGAGAGACAGCAGAGCCGTGCAGCCGATCGAGTCGCCTATGCTGGTATTCGAAACGCGTTACTTTCATTTCTAGCAAGTAGCCATTCAAGGGCCACGCACCGACTGCGAGACGGGGGACCAGCAGATGCGTGTGTCTCGTACGATCCTAGTCTTTCCTTTCCGGAGGTCCACCTTAGAGTACGAAAAAAGATCGAGATCTCGTGACGCATCGACGTCACGCGTCCAGGATGTGGTCTCCCGCGCGGCCGTGCTGACCTCTCGAATGCATTCGAGTAATTAACTTTCGTTGTAAATACGGGAAACGTCGACTAGAAATGCATCGAGTCACCAAATCGTACGTTTCGAGCTGTCTTAATTGCATTTAATCATCGTTCGCCTTGTCGCGTGACCTACAAACGATCGAGCACGAAATACCATTATCGAAATAAACCTCGGAATCTGTTTCACGAGTATTAGGGTGCTTCCATTGTAAACAATATTTCAACATGGCGGCCAACGTGTCGAGTACATACGACCGCGTTGACCCGTTTTACACGATCGTTTTGATTCACAAAATCTATATTCGGACGAAATTTCTATTTCTGTCGCAGCTTCAATCTCGACTACCCATTCACCCAATTATTATTATTATTATTCGGGATTAAACCCTTTAGTACAAAGATGCAATATGTAAGGAATTACAGATGTGGATTTTACATGATGAATTTAACAAAAATAAATTAATTTACAATATGTTGCAAGGATAATTTTAGACTTTCTAACGATTGTTCAATTAAATCTTGTATTAACAAGCTGTTCAAGGAGAGTGCGGCAGAAACGTACGACACTCGATGCAAGAAAGTAGGATACGATTCGTAAGCCGTTTCACGGGGATGAGTAATAGGAACGATGATGCTATAGCCGTTGATCGATGATGCACACCCCGGTGCGCCGTATTCAGAAGCCAAGATTACAATGTTCTTTCGCAAGAGATTCAGCGATACCGATTCGCGTCAACCTCGTTTCCCCCGGTCGCGAATGGAAAATAATCGCGCGCTACGCACGATGTAAAACATGATACCCGTCACGAACAACGATATACGCGCAGGCGATACGATCCCGACCCGCGCGTATATCGATACTCGTTTAAATTAGATATCGAAGTTCCACGACGCCGGGGACCCGATCCAGGGAAACATTCTTCCCCGATCGCGATGGTCGTGACTTTCTCACTGTGATAACTGCACGCCAGAGTCCTATCGTGGCGCGAGCAATTTGCGACTAAATAACGGAGAACTGGTAACACAGGCGATAGTACAACTCCGGGGGACTTTCGAACGCACGGAACAGGAAAACCTATCATTTTTAACTCTTTTTTCTCGGACAACGGATTTTATTTTCGCGCCGCCCGACTATCGACGGTCTAATTATTCCAGCAAAACACGGATATTACGTGAAACGGTTCGAAGGAAATGCCACTCGGAACAGGATATCGAGCAGCTAAGAAATCTACCTACAAAGGCCTCGGTGATACTTTCTTAAAATATCATCGTTGTCCATTTGTTGCACAGCTGACTGTGTTCTTCCCGCGTAATCAGTTTTGCGAATCAGATAACGACGCAGCGTGCGAGAAGCGAACTGTCCCCCAACGGAAACACGACACCCGGCCGCTGCGTGTATTCGCAGCAGTCTAGACCGATTCAATGATCGAAAAGCTTCGTCACTATAGCCAGACCTATTCGATTATCAGTCGGTAGGACGCGAATGAAATTACAGTCCATTATCTGGAATCGATTTCCAGCCAGCACAGACCCGGTGAATCGGTCTGTGCGGAGTTTCCCCCCTCGGACCAATCCTACGTTTTCTGTGCCGCAGGTCGATAGATGGAAAACGCACCGCCCGCCCCTATGACTCACCCTGCCCGACCTTTTTCAAAGAGGTGCACTTGCACGTCGACCTAACCTTGCCTTGCACGGACTATACAGGTTGGTTGGCTCGTCCCCGGAGATAAGTCCGGGCCTTCCATTATGCACGCGACCGGCAGGTATCTTTGTCGGGACACCTGCCCTTGATATCTGCGACTTTCTTCTCGCTTTTACCGTCAGGCTCCTCTATGGACGTTTGAAACACGAGCTTCGACGCCTCAAAGGATTTCAGTCTTCCAAGATCAGCGTTGGAATTTCAAAATTCTACGACTGTCCTTAGAATTAAATTCTCGGTTGGATTACCCACCCTTAAGACGAGGACGACACGGTTTACTTTTTGATATTCTCGAACGAAGCACGTGCAGCGAATCTAATGGCGTATAATGTTAAAAACGTGCCAAGAATATATTTAATAAATTAATATATCAGTAACGCAGTTTACGTAAGCGCATACATTTCGTACGAGTTTAGCATAAGTTTTTCGCGTTTGCATAAATGCATAAGATCCATAGTTTAGTGATCATCGAACGTCGATAGAATGTCAATCAATTGTGTTTAGCGAACAACGGAACCATCGTGTGTCAGTGGTACTGAAAAAGAAAAAAAAATACGGATAATTACGGGTCTCCAAGAATGGACCGACGCTAATTAATTCGACGAGAGAGCACGGCGGAGGAAAAGGTGTTTGTTCGTCGTGGAAAACCGAGGAAGACCGGGGTGGAAAATCGATAGCCACGGCTGTGAATAACACTATCGCGGGAAGCGGGCGGGAAAGAACGTTGTAAAAATAGTTTGGTAACAAGAGACACGCGAGCGAGGAACGAAAGCCTGCGGACTCGGACAAGTGTGTATTATGAGTCACGAAATCGCGCTGGGGTGGTTTTTACGTACCCTCCGCCACCCCTATCGATCCTGCATTTCCACTGTACGCTCACGCGACATCAAAGAGAAACAGAGAGAAACGGGAGTGGTCGACGAGAGGGAAAGGGAAACGGATAGGGTGACGAACGGGACCAGACACCGCGAGCAACAGAAAGAGAAATTTGTTGCACCGATGAGACGAGGCGAGTCGCGAACCCGATGTAACAAAAAACGATCGCCCGTTATCGTTCGTTTATCCGCGCGACAGGCAATAATAGGCGGCACTCGGTTATCTGCATTGGTTACGAGCAACCATTGAACGATCGGGAACGGTATTTTGACACAGTAAAAAGTCATCGGCCGGCGTTCGTTAAATATTGACACCTGGCGATCGTGCGTTATATAAATAGGGCGTGGCTCGTCGTAAAACTTAAATATTTCGTCGCAGGTGTGTACCGTGTTTCGTACGGTAATAACGAGGCAAGATAGCGAAGATTAATATTTTCGATCAAACACCGTCCGCCTATCGGTAGAGTCTTTAGTCTTTAGGACTTTCGGAAATTAATTTTATCTTCGCCGATCCTTGACAAAACAAATTTCGCAATGTGGAATTTTTCAAGCACTGTTTACCGACGTTATATGCTTATA